GAACGTTTGAATGAATGAAAGCGTACGTAACACTGCTGTGCTGCTTTCCATACTAGCAAGTTTCCTCACTTCGCCCCCGCCAGAGTTTCCCAGGACAAGTTTCCAACCATGGAACATTTTATTTAACTCGTTATTTTAACACGGGGTGAGTCACTGGGAAAAGAAAATAAATCAATGTAAGTTGTTTCTTTCATTAAGCGAAGATGACATGTCACGAGTGCACATGCCCAGCATGCCCTATTTTAAGAGTGCAAAATAATTAAATTGGTTACACTAATAGCAAGCTCTGGAAAGAAAAAGAACCCCTCGCATATTCGGGGCGCTCTTTCAGATGCCACACCCAAAGCACCTGAACTCTAAGAACCTCCCTCCTCGGGGCAAGGCAGAGGCAGGTCCCGCCGGCGAAGACCCGGGTGTTCGCGCTCCTCGGCGACCCGCACGCAGGTCACAGGCTCCGGGGCGCATCTGGACGGTGCGGGCGACCGCACTTCCACGGCGGGCTCGGGAGCATCCTCCCCCGGGAACACCGCTCAGGGGCGACCCCGGTGGTCACCGCGGGCCCGCGCCGGCCAGGGAGCGCGCGGCCGATACTCACCCGTTGGGAATAACGGTTCTTCTTCACCGCAACGCGAGAGGTGCGGGGTTCTCACGACCCAGGCCACCCCGCTCTCAGATCTCTTCCAGAACAGCCGCCGGGGCAGTTGCGGCCATTGGAGCACAGACGCAGGCGGCGGGTGATCAAAACCCGTGGCTCCCGCCAGGCGCTCTAGGCGGAGACCGGGCCGAGCCCCAAGCCCACGCAGCCGGGTGAGCAGACGTTGCGCACGGAAGATTCCAGAAGGCACCGGCTCCTCGCGCGCGCCGGGGCCGCACCGCGCATGCTCCGCACCGCGCATGCTCCCGAACCGCCTTGAAGTTCAGCTACAAGGAGCAAGCGCCAGGCTAGCTTGTGGAGCGGACGTCGGGAGCGCTGTGGGGCGGTTGGTGACCTCTCAGAGTATGCGGTGAACGGTGCGTCCTGCCTTCGCTTCCCAGACGTAGCAAAAGTGCAGTCCATCCAGGTGAATGTCTTACTGCCCCAGAAAGCCTCCACCCTTCCCTGTCAGACGCTCCAGTATTTTGTCTGGTTGGAGACCGGCTCTGTGGGTTCCCCGGCTACCAGGGCCAGACCCGCATGGGCCACTGGGACTTGTAGTCCCCGGGACCTGGCCCACCCATTAGTCATCCCCTTGGGAATTAATCGGGTTGAGAACAACTCCATTATATAGCTTTCGAGAGCACTGGTTGATTTACTTCGAATCCGGGACCGTATTATTTATTGAGTCCCTACTGTGTGCTGAACACCTTGCTAGGATTGGTGGAGGGTAGAAGAAGATGAGTTCATGCCCCAGCCCACTGTAGGGTAAGCAGCAAGTGGCCTTGTAAGGTAGACCGTAATGAACAAAAACTAAGTATTATTAGTGCTAGTGGAGGTCCCAGAAGGACCAGAGTCAGAAAAAATTTCCTGGAAGATGTGGGGCTTGAATCCGGCTTTGAAATGTGGAATGCTCTAGATTACGGGAGAAGCTGGAAAAATCAAATGATGGAATTGCGGGGAGTATAAAGAAGAGTTTGGTCTGGGTATAGTTGAAGGTTTATGAGAGAGTGGTGAGCAAGGCTTAGGTGGGGAAGTGGACACAAGCGTCTTTTGCCCTCACTTACAGAAAGGGCCTTTGTTTTGAGTTTCTCTCCAGTGGAGCCTATAAGTACAGGCACCCAAGATATATCTTCAGGTTTAAATAAAAGATAACACCACAGGACTTACTTGTGTCCAGTTTCTGGACCTCATGGCCCTTGTTGCTCTATGAATTAATACATTTTTATCAATCCTATGATGAACTCATGGGTAGCAAAATTACATTGCATTGTGTGTTGGATATAATGTTTCAAAATATACTACAGTTTTTATAATTTGTTTTGTCACTTATTCAATTTTTTTAAATTTATTTTATTTATTTTATTTTTGGCTGCATTGGGTCTTCGTTGCTGCACGCGGGTTTTCTCTGGTTGCTGCGAGCGGGGACTACTCTTCGTTGCAGTGCGTGGCCTTCCCATTGTGGTGGCTTCTCTTGTTGCGGAGCACGGGCTCTAGGCGTGCGGGCTTCAGTCATTGTGGCACGTGGGCTTAGTAGTTGTGGCTCACGGGCTCTAGAGCGCAGGCTCAGTAGTCGTGGTGCACGGGCTTAGTTGTTCCTCGGCATGTGGGATCTTCCCGGACCAGGGATAGAGTCCCATGTCCCCTGCAGTGGTAGGCTGATTCTTAACCACTGCACCATTAGGGAAGCCCTCAATTTTTATATACCAGAAGTTTCAAGGGAAGTGGATCCAGTCTTTCTTGACCTACAGAAGCAGGTTGTGATGATTTCCGATTTAGTCCTGAGAGCAGTGGATGATTTAGTTTTGATGCCTTTCAAAGATGTGTACAAATTCACAGATCAGAAAATTCTTTGTCAGACTGTTGGTTCCTAGGTTTTCAGTTTAGAAAATAAGATCACAGTTAACTAAAAGATATTAATTTTCAAACTTAGGTAATGGAACACCTGGAAATCTTGATAGTTTTCATGAAACACTGTGAAATAATGCTGTGTTACACTTAATTGTGGAATATTTTGGTTAAGTTCCACCTTTTCCATATCCCAGTACCAGTAAAGGGTAGCTGGTGACATGTATTTAATAAATTTTAATTTGAAAAAGTGCTATCCATTGCTTTAATTTTATCATAACTTTGAATGAGACTAATTTTTTGGCATAGCATCCCCATTCAAATCAAATGGGAGAACATGATTTGTCAAACATTGCTATAAGGGAGTTCAGAAAAGATTCATGATACTATGTGACAATAAATGAACAAAGATAAAGATGAAACTGGGTTTTGGACTGAATTCTGTTCTGCTAAGGAAGAAAAGTGGATTAATACATTTGAAGTTATTTTCAACAAGAGCTGGGGAAAAACTGAAGGAAAAACAAATTTCTAGTTAGTTCATACTTAACCAAAGAAATATTATTAGATACCAGAATATGTATTTTGTGATCATTTCATACACTAGAGATTTTCCTGTAATTTTGTTCTGCTAACACTCCTGAAACCAAGTGGCAGGTGGTTGAATGTTAAATTTACACACAACATAGAATAGGCTTTAGGAAATTTTATTTCAGCAATCACCATAGTGATAAAGGCATTGCTGGATGTATTTGCAGAACCCAGAGATTTCTACATGCTAAGCAAGAGGCAAACATTTATACTTATAAAACACTTATAAAAATTGCCTTCTGTTTGGTATGGACCAGAAAAGGTTGAATGAATTACTTCACTTTAATTCTCAGGCTTTGACTGTGGACCTCCAGTTCATCTGATACAAAAATAGCTAATCTTCAATTTCCTTGTCTTTTAGAAAAAGCTGTAACTACAAGAATTGTAAATTAGCAATATCCTTGAAGAGAATATTGGATTTAACTGTTGGAGCCAGTTTTTTAATACAGAAAGTTGAATTTCTGTAAGAAGGTGGAAGTCTGAGTCATAATTTTTCCTTGCTTCCGCATGTGATTTTTCGATAGGGCAAATGCAATTTTCATCCAGATCTTCAATTTTATCTACTATTTTGCCTATAATCATTTATTTAGTATTTATTATAGTATTTATGAGACGATAAATAAACTAGTTTAGAAACATCTACAGGTCTGCAAAAAACGTGATTAATAATTTCTTCTACAATAAGATTTTTATTTAATAATTTATTATAATTTAACTATCTATAGGATGTGTCACTGCTAATGTTTTCCCTAGCTTTAGCAGATAAAATTTGCAGGTGTAGGCATCAGTAAGCCAGGTACTGATTTGAAGTTCATTTTTCATTTTAGAAGTTCTTGCAGAGTGGAAAGTAAATTCAAACTTCTCTTTTCCCAACATTCTATTCCTGTTGTATCCATTCTTGGTATGTTGGTGGGAAAAATCTTAAAGGTGTTGATTCTTTTCAAGAGTCATGGAATCAATCTCTTAAATGCTTTTTTTACTGAGTAAACAAAGGAGTTAGCTAACTTAGAACTGGTTCTCTTCTGCTCCAAGTCAGTTCAGTATTGTTAATCACTTTTTGGACCTCTCACCTTAATGTCCCATAAGCAGCCTCTGAAAACTGAACTCTTTAACTCCTTCCCCAATTATATTCGACAATACACAGAATGATACTACCTCTCAGTTACTCAAGCCCAAACCTTAGAGTCCTTGATTTCTCCCTCACTTTGTCCTACACATCTAGTTGCTCACCAAATTCTGTGAATTCTACCTCTTAACTGAATCTCCATCTTCCATTCCCGCTTCCACTTTTGGATTCAGATCTCCAGAATCTCTCATCAGGACTATTAAAATGGCTTCTTAACTAGTTTTCCTGCCTCCAGGGAATATCTCTTTGTTTAATCAGATTTTTTTCTCACTGTAAAGTTTTATACTTTTTTTTGGGGGGGAGGGTCCCAAATATTTTCATTGAAGTTATTCCTATGTATTTTGAAAAAGTTTTGTATTGCTGTTATGAAAGTGATTTCTTTTCTATTATATTTCTAGCATATAGGAAAGCTGGTAACTTTGCCATACATTCTCTTGTATTCTGCCACTTATCAACTTTCTCATTTTTTCTAAAGTTTTTTGATGGAATGTCTTGGAGTTTCTATGTATAAAACCTACCCTCTACAAAAGAATCAGTTTGTTGTCTCCTTTCCAATAGTGTTACCTCTAACTCTTTTACATGTCTTATTGGACTAACTAGTATTTCTATTAAATACTAAAGGTGATCAACAACTAAATACTAAAGGCAATAGTGTGTTTCTTTGTTTAGTTTTTAGTTAAATTAAAAAATTTAAATAGCATGTTTATCTCAAGCATCAAAATAATTGTTTTCTCTCAGTCATATGATATATAATTCTTAAAAATATTTCTTATTTATTTAGAAGGCGGAAATGAAAGAACCATCATGAAAAAGATTTCAAAGAGAAAAGAAGATATTTTTAGAAAAGTAAGGTATTAATGGAGTTTATAAGGATTTTGATTATACTAAATAGCTCAATTGTAAATGTAGGAGAATCTTGAAAAAATGTGATATATTTGGTTCTATATACAAATCCTATAGTTCATATGTTAAAAAATAATAAGAGAGTTTACAGATTAGTTATACTCTTTGGTCTGTCAATTATGTAATAAAGTATTAGAGGTGAGTTAGTTATATATTTATTTATCTATTTATTCCCTTATTTAAATATTTATTTCTCTGTTCTCTCAACCAGCTAACAATCCATTTCCTGCTTTGCTAAAAAAAAAAAAAGTTTTTCTTTTTTAAATCAATGAATGAGTGAAACATTTTTAGGACTGGTATCTACGTGTCGCCTAGAGTAAGTCCAATTAAGATTCATGTTTTATTCCTGCCTTCTAGATGGGGATGGGAAGTTATGAAAAGTATATCCAGAATGCTGGGTGAGATTATTGGGAATTGAAGGAGACATCTATCAATCACTTGCTGGGGTTAATGTCCCATCACACCTTCAAGGGTTACTGTCTCCTTGGTCAAGAGTGAAGTTAGGTATTTTTAATTTTGTTGAGGAAAATACTGAAGGCTTAGTAAGAACAGAACATCTTAGTTCATACTGACCTTACTCAGTAGTTCTTAAGTGTGGTACAGGAACCACTGGTGGATTTGGAGTTCTTTCAAAATCTATAGACTATAGACTATAGCTATAGACTAAGCTCTTACTGTGATCATGTCAGTATACCCTGCTTTGGCTTTTGACACGAATCCATGTTTTTACTGTGATTGGAAATCTGATGTGTGTCTGCTTGCTCTTCCCATTCCAACTGCACATTAGTTTGGTTAGCATGTACAGTTGTTATTTAAGGAGTCTTTTGCTATTCTATTTTTTCAACTTAAAATGAAAAACTTATCCATATTCTAAAAAAAACATTTAACGTTGCTAGTATGGTTTAATTTTAGAATATTGAGGTTTAAAAATTGGTAAAAGAAATAAATGCTCATTTTAAAATATTGAATTTTTGATAATGGTAGTACATTCAATTAGAAATACCAGTAGGCAACTAGAAATATGGTATTCAGGAGAGCAGTCAAGGTTGGAGACAGATTTGGGAAGCCATGGGAATCCATGCACTCTCCAAATTCTTGGAATGTGCCCACATTTAGGCTATGAGGAGAAGTGTGACCAAGAAAGGATACAAGGAATAAGTGGCCAGAGAGGTATAAGGGTAGAGGAAAAGGATATAGAAAGCTTTTAGAAAGTTATCAGATGCTACAGAGTACTCAAGTAATAGCTAACATTGATATAGTGTTGAGTTTCAAAGTATTTTCATATGTTTGATCTCATTTGACCCTCCTAAAAGGTATATGAAGTAGGCAGTATATGAACACCAACAACTATCTACTGGATTTTATCATTAAAAGGTTCTTTTTGATATTACAGAGAGCAATTTTTTAATTAAAAAATCTATCATATATAAAGAGCTCATACCCATTGATAAAAGGATGAAATTTAAGAAAACAGGCAAAGGATATGAATTGTCATTTTAAAGGAGATGACTTTCAAAGGGCTGATAAACCTATGAAAAGATGTTAAATGCCAAAACAAAAAGATACAAGGTAACGCTTCCCCCCTTTTTTTTGCAGATGTCAGAAGACACAGATAACATTGCAGTAGAAGAAAATGTAGACAAGCATCTCCAGAAAGGTTCTCACTAAGTATACCACAGCTCTAATACTGTTGGACTTTATTTTTAAAAGATATAAATGACTAATCCTATCCCAGGGTTTCATTTGGGAACACAGTTTCTTAAGGGATAAGTTCAAACAGAAACTAAACTTCCTATATAATACAAGTGGGTATAAGGAAATAATGGTAAAGTCAGTGCATGTAATAAAACTAAGTTTTGTTTTCTCTCTCTCTCTCTGCAAACATGGAGAATCTTCTTGTTCTTCAGACTATGTTACACCATAAAGATACAGAGATATAGAACCTGTTTCAGGAAGTTTCCAGGTCTCAGGGAGAAAAGTATATAAATAATGGTTGACTCCTGCTTCATTTATCCAGCAAATATTTATTAAGCACCTACTATGTGCCATCTGTCATTCTAAGTTCTGGGAATAGAGTATAAACAAACCAACTAATAATTTTTAAATTTTATCATGGAATACTGCAATTAAGAATGAAGATTCTCATGACCTATACTGATTTAGCTTTATGCTTACCCTTTATTTCCACCATTTTCTATTTAACCTTTAACTACTCAAAGGCAGGGAGAAGAAAAAGAAAAATACAAGGCAAAATGACCAGTAGGTCCTCCATTTTCTATTGTACCTAGGACTGCATAACCCCTGTCTTTCTCAATCCATACAGTAGATCATCTGGTGGATGAGAAGAAAATAACATGAGGTTTGGAGTACACATAGCAGCTGGAGCCTTCTTTATACCCAGCAAGACTGTTTCATTTCCTCTAAGAGCTGGCAGTATTATACTGAATTTACAAAACTGACATAAGTAGTTAGAATGGATGCTTGGAGACTTACCTCTCTTTTTTTCAGATTCCTTCCTCTTCAGTTTAATCAAGTTGAAGTAAACTGGTTTTGATATTTGTATATTCTGTGGACTATAGAGCACTTTATATAGAATATTACTGTTTTCATTGATTTTTTTCCTAAAAGGAAAAAGATAAAGGTTTGCTTACCTGAACCCTGTTTTTTTTTTTTTTTAGCCTCACTACAAAATTCAGTATTTATGCATGAGTATTTATTCCAGATGGAAGAGGGGGAAGTTTCTAAGCTTTATTTTCTAGGTTCTAAGCTCTCATGGGGCAATGACCCAGTCTTCATAATTGTCATGATCCAAAGAAATTCATGTTATTTAGCTATTTAATAAGTACTTTTGTTGCTGTTGCTGTTTAATTATATTATAAGAAAGTATCATGAACTCCATATTATGTTGGCTTCTTGATAGATTTAAATGTGGAAGAAAATCAAGACATAATAGAAACTCTGAGAGGCAAAGTAAGAGAAAAGCTAAAAAATGCCAAGGTAATATTATTTTTTCTTTCCTATTTTCAAATTTACTGTTTAAATCAACATATATCATGATAAACTTTTCTTTATCAAAAAGAGCTAAAATTCTATTTTAATATAGCTCCTTAAATCCAAAAAGCTTCAAGTTATTTTCCATGCTTTCTATTTCCAAACTTGAAGCCAAGAAAAGTTAAGTGATTTGGTTATGGTAACTAAATTTGACATCTCAGGAGAAAACATGTATATACTTTTTAAAAGAAAAACATTGAGAAGTCTTTGTTTTTATCCATTTTGGACAAAAGACTTATGAACATGATTATGTCTATATCTGTGAACATTAAGTTTTCCATACTATTTATTTACATTGTGTTTCAGATTAATCAAGGCAAAAAATCTTCAACTCAGCTTCTCATTGATAATAAGATATATCAGTGGTCTAAGGTGAATAACTTTTTTTAAAAAACTTTTTAGAACAGATTTATTGAGGTGTACTTTACATAGCAAAAATTCATCCATTTTAAGCGTATGATTCAATGATTTTTAGTAAATTTACAGAATATATAATCAACATTATAATCCAATTTTAGACCATTTTGTCACTCCAAAAAGATCTCTCATGCCAATATTTAATCACTCTCTATTTCTACTTGACATTATTTCTTATCTTAAAAAATTATAATAAAATATTATAGGTGATCCCCGAATTACAGATTTTGTTCTGAAATACAACGTGTAATCACATATTTGAAACTTCAAATGACAAAATAACTCACATCTTGGGCGAACTGCATTATTTAGAGTAAAGGCTAAGCAGCTTTAACAAAAAGATTCAAAGTAAAATGTCTTAATTAAGATAGAAGTTTTATTTCTCTCTAGTGTAATAGATAAGTAGTCCAGGCTACTAGGAGAGTTCTGCCATCTTCAACACTTAGTTTCCATCTCTGAGTCCAATGGCAAAGCTACTGTGTCTTCATTTGCTAACCAAAGGGGAGGGAGGAGGAAGAGAGCCATAGGATTGCAGATTGATCTCTTACAGGACAAGACCTGAAAATTGCACACATTATTTCCACTAAAGGAATGTGGGAAACAATGTCTCGGTATCCAGCTAAAAGTAAGTTCTATTATTAGAAATGGGAGAAAAGACAGCAATGAACAACTAGTCATTTCTGCCATAAGCAATGAGAGTATTTAAAAAATACTCTCAAATTTTAAAATGTAAGAGTGTATCTCGGGTTTTTAAAAAACTCATCTTTGTCTTCTCTGCAGGGTCCCTCTTGGGTGCTTAGTAAAAATTAATTAAATTTAATAGTAAAAGCAGACTCAAAAAAGATGATTGTATACATGTTCATTCAACAAATGAATAAAAATGAGCCTAACTTGGATTTAATTTAACTGTGAATAGTAAAAAATTGGAAGTTTATCAAGATAAGTCCACTGAATATCAAGAAAAGAGGTAAAAAGGAAGAGAAATTGGCTTCTAAGAGTTTCCATTACAAACTACTAGGAAGGGATATCTGCTCAGGAAGTTGAGGATTTTAGCAAATGATTTTTCAATGAGCAGAGACAGAGGGAAGTAAAAGTATATATGGACAGTTTATATATCAGTATTGTTGAAAGGTACATAACTTTTAAAGTTAATGGGACAGCGATATTGTAGATACAAACAGGATGTAGGATAAGCTTTTGTATTTTACATATTTTTGAATTCTTCAGTTCCTAGGAACTAGCAGATTTCCTCCTTCCTTCTTTCTTTCCCTCCCTCCCTCCCTCCCTCTCTCTCTCTCTCTCTCTCTCTCTCTCTCTCTCTCTCTCCCTTCCTTCCTTCCTCCCTCCCTCCTTCCCTCCCTCCCTTCCTTCCTTCTATTCCTCTCTCAAACCTCTCTAAAAACAGTTCATTTAAACGTGTGTGACAAAGAAGTGATAGGTGATTTATAATTGAAAGATTCAGACTTTACAGTATTGAAAAATGAGAGCCTACTTACAAGCAAGTTCATCACTAAGAATATGCCACTTTTAATACTTTTTATTATCTCTAAGTTCACAAAAGATTATTGGTGGGGTGGGGTGGTACTTGTATGTGAGTGCCTTCATACATGAGAGCACCCAAAAACAGGGAGAGAAAAGAGTTTGCCCTGAGTCCACATTTTGATCTAACTGTAAGGTAATACTCTCAATACTCTGACTAGAGTGAAGAGATAGATTGGGAAGATGGAGAAGATTTGGACCCTATATTTTAATTTTTTAATTTAAGAAATTTTCTAATTGAGATATAATTGACACATTATATTACTTTCATATAATTGACACATTATATTACTTTCAAGTGTACAACATAAGGATTCAATATTTGCATATATTGGGAAACCATCACCACAATAAGTCTAGTTAACATTTGTCACCATATATAGTTGCAAAAAAAAAGTTTTTTTTCTTGTGATGAGGACTTTTAAGTTTTACTCTCTTGACAACTTTCAAATATGCAATATAGCATTATTAACTAGTCACCGTGCTGTACATTATATCCCCAAGACCTATTTTATAACTGGAAGTTTGTACCTTTTGACCCCCTTCACCCATTTTGCCTACTGCCTCCTGCACCCCCGGCCTCTGTTCACCACCAGTCTGTTCTCTGTATCTGTGAGCTTGATTTTTTGTTTTGCTTTTTTAAAATTTCATCGATAAGTGAGATCATATGGTATTTGTCTTTCTCTGTCTGACTTATTTCACTTAGCATAATGCTCTCAAGGGCCATCCATTTTGTCACAAATGGCAAGATTTCATTCTTTTTATGGCTGAATAGTACTCCATTGTGTGTGTGTGTGTGTGTGTGTATCTTTGTCCATTCATTGGTTGATGGACACTTAAGTTGTTTCCATACCTTGGCTATTGGAAATAATGCTGCAATTTTATTGTTTTTTTTTTTTTAAATCACAGTTACCGGACCTTAAAAACAAAACAAAATACAAAAATAATTCATGAGCCAAACAGACTCAAAGTTAAATATTAACTTGATACTATCTCTCCTACTGCTTTTTGTTCTTGAATAAGATACAGTTACTATTACCATATTACAGAAAACTACTTCTTTCCCTTAAAAGCAGAAAAAGCTCTCACTTCAACACTGAATACTGGTTTTCCATTGTTTAACCTGCAGACTGAAGTCTCACTGGATGAAGGTCTTTCGTGTTTTATTCTGAGTGGTGAAGAAGACTCAACTTTAGGCCAGTCTGCAGAGCAGGTTGGATTTGTTTCCCTTCCTCCTACATCCTCATTCTCAGGAAAAATAACTCTTTATTAAAGGCATAGAATGAAATACTTTAAGGGAGGTGAAATTTTTATTATTGAGCTGCCTTCTCTTTATTGAGAAGCTGTCCATAATAATAATTCCTAACATTTATTGAGTGCTTACTGGATGCCCAGTGATATGCTAAATTTTGAATGTGGATTATCTCTTTCAATCCTCATCATAACCCTGTGAGGTAGGCATTATTATCATCTCTGTTTTATAGGTGAGGAAATAGGCACACAGGGGTAAGAACTGATAGAGCCGGGAAGTACAGGCTATCAGCTCCAAAGCCTGTGTTTTCTTTTGTTCTTCCTGTTCATTTCTCCAAGTGCCCACATTGTTCTCTGTAATCTCTATTACTCTTCATTGATTCCCCATTCTTCATCCCTCCTTGTACAATCCCAGACCCTTCTAATTTCTGTCAGTTCTTCCCAAACTCTTCAGCCCACTGTTATTCTAGGGCCGTCCTTTCCTCCAGTCCTAATCAGTCTCACTAGTCTTTCCCGTCTCCTGATTTGTCAGTCTCATTGGTCTCCCTTCTGCTCCCATTCCTCTCAATTTTCTCCATTCCTCTCTACCTTCAGATCTCTCTACAGTTTCCTTGAGCCCCCTCCTGTATTTCCAGAGTTCTACCCAGTATCTTCTGACACCTCCCAGTCATTTCCAAATCCTTCAGATCCTCCTTTTGAATTTCTCTTGGACCCCGCTTTGCCTTTCTACTTATTTCTCAGTCTCTTCCATTCCCCTTTCTTTGAATCCTGTATCCTGCTCCAGTCTTTACGTTCCTTTTGTTGTTGTTTGTTCCACAGAAAAGAGCTTTATCTTTAAAAAATATAACAAATTTATTATATACATTATAAAAACTTAATGCAGAAAACCATGAGGAAGAAAATAAAAATCATATGACATCCCACTGCTCTGAGATAAACCACTATTACCATTTTTTCATACTGTTCTCTATGCTTATACCCATATATGCACACACAGACTTTTATATAAATAGAATCACAGTATAGCAATTCCATTTTTCCAATTGCTCAGCCAAACCTTGGTGTCATCCTTGGATCCTCTTTTACTCACATGCCTCATATCCAGTTTGTCACAAATCCTGTTGGTTTTACCTTCAAAGTATCCAACCCACTTCCAGAACCCAGCCCACTTTTCATCACCTCCCCTGGCACAGCCTAGTCTATGCGGCCATAACCTCTCATCCAGATCATTGCCATAGTCTCCCTTTATTTTTACTATTGCCCCAACAGTCTATTTGGTATACCATACAGTGGTCAGGGTGATTCTGTTAAAATCTAAGACAGAATGTTTTTTTTAACACCTTCTAATGGTTTCCTATCTCAAAAAAAAGCTGAAGTCCTTATAGGGGCTTCCACGGCCCCCTTAGTACCTCTCTGACTTCTTTTCTCACTAGTTTCCCCTTCTCCCAGCCAACTCCGGCCATACTGGCCTCCTTCCTGTTCCTGCCTCAGGGACTTTGTACCTTTTAACTGTCTAGAAATCTCTTCTCTTATCCTCATGCTCTCTCCCTCACTACCTTTGGGTCTCTGTTCAAATGACACATAATTAAAAATACTGTGCCTGAAAACCTTATGTAATAGTACCCCCCAACCCCCCAACCCCCCATCCCAGTATTCTCTAGCCACTTACCTTGCATCATTTTTCTTTATGACATTTATCACCACCTCGCATGTACTTCTGTCTCTTTGTTTATTTTCTTCCTTGAACATATCGGGCACTCCATATTTGAGTGAATATTGAATAAATGAGTATCAAACATGCACATGCTCTGCCAAGTCACTTGATACCCCAGAATCCCATGATATGGGTTAAGGAGTGGACTTTTCAGGGGAAACGAGAAGGTCCACCCAGCAGAGGGCACCAGGACGCAGCGCTGTGGTTATGGCTGCTTTTCCTTCTCACAGGGAAGACATGAGAGAAATTAGGTCAGTGGGCAAGTAGACTGGGCACAAGGAGGTCCAGGCTTGGATGTGGGTTGTTTAGAGAAGTTGTTTGGAAGAGCCATCTGCCCTGCACCTGGTAAATTTGGGGACAATGGGAATCTACTGTCCTCATCACAGGGAGGAGAAAGCTACTGTTTTGTGGGAGGCTGAGTGTGACTGTGGCTCCTTCCTACTAGGAGAAAGGGGAGGATCTCTCTCTCTCTCTCTCTCTCTCTCTCTCTCTCTCTCTCTCTCTCTCTCTTTTTTTTTTTTTTTAACCACACCGTATTCAGGTGCATTCATTTAGACTTATGCATGGAAAATTAGGTGGTTGCCTTCTGACCGCATGCTTCCTGTCACACAACAGCTAACAGCACAGACACTGGTCTGCTGTGAGCTGCATAGTGAAGACCAGGAAGGTGATTATATTGGTTGAGATCATAGCTTGTCTCAGGCTAAACATATGGGTAGCTGTAGTGGGGTAGGATTCATGAAAGAGACCTACATGGTTATAAATAAAAGGCTGGGATCCAAGATGAGAGCCTGACATGACTCAGCCATCAGGGCAGACCTCAGCTCTGAAGGCAGGTTAAAAGCCCTGGCCCACACCAGGGGTGCGGTGAAGGTAGCTTGGTAATGGGACCTCCAGCAGGAGCAAAGAGCCCCTCTTTGTCTGTGATTGGAATATTCAAAGAGATCCCCTATGTGAAGATCCCCCAAATCTTGCTCCTAGGTGCCAGTGTCATATCTTGTTTGACTTCTGAAAATGATGCCACAAAGATTTCTGGATATAAAATACTTTCTTGATTTCATGACAGGGATATAGGGAAGGTATGATGATGTGATGACTTGATGTGAACCTAGGTGATGCTTAACCATGTTACTCACTTAATTTTGTCAGAGTTGATCAAGGCCATCTACGGTTATCTATTCAATGAAATTCTATTATTAATTCTTTTAATTTAATTATTTACCCCTAAATGTATGTTTTTGAAAATTAAGGGGTTTTTATTTGCATGACTCACATACTCTGTCTCCTTCTCTGTTTCAACATATGTAGATTTTAAGTTAGACAACTAAAGTCATCCAAAATAAATTGGTAATATTTTTTGTGAAGAGACTCATATAAAATTTCTGATATAATATAAAAGTATACATTTTTATATTTAGTAATATATCTGTTTCAATACCTACATTCAGATTGTTTGTAACTTTTATATATCATATTTCAGAAATGTATCATATTCAATCACACTGCCACAGACTTCTATTTGTATCTTTACTTTTCTTTTTTTTCTTAAATATCATCCAGAAAACAGCATGACTACTCCACATCACCTTAGGTAGTACTTCTTTCTGAATGGTGGAAAAAAATGGGGCTGAAGACCACATGGCTTGATGTCTCTAGACTTTGCCCTGCACTGTGAATTCTCAACAGTTGAAATATCATAGTCCAATATTTCAGAACATTTTCCATAGGAGAGGAGAGACTTGAATTGTAGTTCTTTTTCAGTAGTCTTTCATTGAGAATTTCAATGAAGGGCTATGGAAAAATCATATTTTATAATATTAAGCCTTAAGTGAGTTCCTCTGTGTTCAATGAAATTTCATTGTCACACAGTTTCAGCTTGAACTTGAACTGGGTGGCATTGATCAGAAAGACTTCACAGCAAGCTTCTAGTACCTTTCATTTATCTGCCTGTTAATCATTGAGGACAAACACGTATACTTATTTTTCTTTTTGGTATTCAACAGAGATCAGTAAATGATAGTTACCACAAACACTTTTCACTTGGTGATAATTTTCAAAACTTTGCTGAGGGCCGAGATGAAGATTTTATGGAAGAAGTCGTTTTCCTAGATTTACTTGAAGTAAAGGCTGCCGATTATGAAGATGATCAAGAACAAGTAAAAAAACAACAGGCAAATATTTTTGTTCCAAGCAATTCTCCGGGTAAAGTTTTTACAAGAAAATATTCAAGTCATTAATGAATCATATTGTAGGATAATAGCTTCTTTGTATGCTGGATAGATAAAAAGTACTGATTTAAAATTATAGAAAATTTTCTATATTTGTTCTTCATGCTTTCTCTGAGTTAAAGGGAATTGGTTTAAAGAGCTCATTCATTGTGTGTGTGTGTGTGTGTGTGTGTGTGTGTGTGTGTGTGTATGTATATGTGTGTGTGTGTGTGTGTGTGTGTGTGTGTGTGTGTAGACTTTCTGCCAGGCTTTAGTGGTAGAGTATAAGATAGTTCCCTTTTGCTTCTTGTTTGGTCAATACCAGTGTAATATTTTGGACTTTAAAGTAATATCTATGTTTTGTTATTAAGTGATCAACCAACTTAAACTGCCAAAAGATATGATGCCACGCATTTTAGAAGAAGAAGGATTCTATGTTCACAAAAAGCCAGAAATATATAAAAAGACCTGCAACAAAATGGAAAATCGCCTGCTTAAACTAGAAGAGGCAAGTTCACTAGCTAACAAGGGAAACCACTCACTGATGGTGTGTGACATTTGTTTTTAGTGTAATATTTACTTACTATATTCTTAAATATTTTTGATAGGGGAAGTGTTGGTTTGAAGAAAGTGGAGAAATAATGTCCTTACCTTCACCTGTTAGACGGTCATGGAATTTCAGACTAAACATAAGTAAGGAACCTTTAAATCCAGCACTGAAGACCATATACAGAAAGGTAACCAACAACAGTTTATTTATGATTATGGTTAGAGTTCTTGTAATATCAATTATAACTTATATACTTATTTTTGTGGTGTTAATTCACCTTTTAAAGATATTAGTAAGTCTAGTAAAGGCAAAACTATGATGAAATATTAAATATCCATTTAAATTATGTTTTCAAGGAATATTTAATGATATGGAGAAGTGCTCAAAATAAAATGTAAAGTTAAAAAAAGCAGAATGCAAAATTTCATATGATCCTAATTTTATAAAAATAGATAATGAATGAATGAATTGATCAATGAATGAATAAGTACGTACATATATGTGTATGTAGATAAAAAGACTAGAAAATATATCATAGCTAATAACTATCTCTGGATAGTAGGACATAGGATTATTTTTATTTTCTTTGTTATACTCTTTTCTATTTTCTAAATTTCAGAAATGAATATATGTTATACTTATAATTAAACTAATTTATGTGTATTCCAAAAGACATTATGAAAATTAGCAGTCCATTAACCTAATGAGAAGAAATATTTAGACAGAAACAGTTATGTTAAAAATTTGGCTTGAAAAAATTTAAATAAGAATTTTGTACAAAAACCTAATTGCTCAACCACTTGCATTAACCATTCCATATATAGGAAATATGGCTGTAGGTAGATACAAAGTGGAAATAATACTTCCTAAAAATACCATCAACCCTTGAACAATGCAGCAGTGGGGCACCAACTCCATGCAGTCAAAAATCTGCGTACTGCTCTCTCTGCCTCAAAAATAAAGAAATTAATAACTTGCTCATCCAAAGGCAGGAAGCTCAGACAGTTTGGGTAGACTCAGGACTCAAACCCTAGTTCTTTTGATTCCACACATTGTGATCTCTAATCGAACACCAACTTTTCCCCACACTTAGTTAATTTAAAGATCTGTAAAATGAAAATATAGATACTGTAATTATTGAATAAATCTGTGTATAAGTGGACAAGCTCAGTTCAAACCCATGTTGTTTAAGGGTCATCTGTACTTACAGGACTTCATTCTCTATTCCCTCTGTTGCTTTAAACCTGTGAGTTACTTCTCCTCTTCTAGTAATTATATGCCTTCTGTAGTTAATGCTTTTTCCTTACAGTTGCAGTTCTGTGTTTCTTGCATATTCGAGTAACTGCAACATTTTAACAGCAAGAGCACTTAGTTCCTTATAAGGCTGTTACTTCTCAGCCTCCATAGGAAATGAGATTTCTCCCTAAACTGAAGAGATTTATACCTTTGGAGATCTCTTTCTGTTTCTGTAACATGTGAGGATCTTCTTTCTTTATGATATATGCTCTCTTTTCTTCTCCACAGTTTCTATTTCTTTCCCAGAGAAACTAGAAAATTTGAAAAAAAAAGTCTTCCTTATGTTGTAATATGTTTTTTATATCTTTATACCACTCACAAATTTCTTTCAGGATTTTCTAAAAATACACCAAAACTTTTTGCTGCTAAGAAAATCTTTTACCATTTTACCATGCAAAATGCATTTAAGCTTTAATTAATTGTCCTACTTTTTTTTTTTTTTTTTTTTTTTTTTTGCGGTACGCGGGCCTCTCACTGCTGTGGCCTCTCCCGTTGCGGAGCACAGGCTCCGGATGCGGAGGCTCAGCGGCCATGGCTCATGGGCCCAGCCGCTCCGCGGCATGTGGGATCTTCCCGGAGTGGGGCACGAACCCGTGTCCCCTGCATCGGCAGGCAGACTCTCAACCACTGCACCACCAGGGAAGCCCAGTTGTGCTGCTTTTAAAATTAAAGACGTATACAAAGATTTTTATCATGAATGAGTGTTGACATTTATCAAATGCTTTCTCTAAGCCTATTAAGTATTGTAATAGTATTTTCTTAACTTTTAATGTGGTGAATTACACTGATTTTCAAATATTTCTGAAATAAATCCCATTTGTGATGCATTTTCTTTTTATATATTACTGAATTTGATTTTCTAATATTTTGTTCAGGATTTTTGCATACATGTTCCTGAGATAACTTTTTCTTTGAATTTTCTTCCTTGTAATGTTCTTGTCAGATTTCCATCTAGGTTACACTGGCTTCAACACAATTTGGGGTGTGTTCCCTCTTTTTCTCTTCTCTGGGAGAATTGTATAAGATTGGTGTTATTTCTTCCTTAAATGTTTGGGAGAATTCACTGCTGAATGCATCTTGGCCTGGAAATTTATTTGTGGGAATGTTTTCTATTATAGACATATTTTAAAAAAAAATAAAAGACTGTCCAATGGAAGCACATCTTGTGTTTGTGGATTGAAAGACTTAGTATTGTTAAAATGTCCATACTACCCAAAGCAATATACAAATTCAATGCAATCCCTATCAAAATCCCAATGGTATTTTTCACAGAAATAGAAAAACAATTCTCAAATTCATAGGGAACTTCTAAGGACCCTGAATAGCCAAAACAATCTTGATAGAGATGAGCAAAACTGGAAGAGTGACATCATCATCATGTCAGAATAAGAGTTTTCTACCATCTTTCTCTCCAGAGAACACTGATTTTGACAATCACCCATGGACAAGAGTGCCATTATGGAATTCTGGGAGTCCAGTGGAGAAGTTCCAGCACACCACTGAAGTAAATGATCTAGAATTCTGAGTTGGTTGTTATTCTTCTTTTAGCACTTTGAAGATAACTTTCCACTCATTTCTGAATCTCATTGTTTCTACTGAAAAGTCAGCTTAAAGTCTTACTGTGGTTTTCAGTTTTTCTCTTTGTCTTTGGTTTTCTACTATAATATGTTAAGGTGTGACTTCCATTGTAATATGTTAAGGTATGCTTTTTCTTTATACTGATCCTGCTTTGGGCTATTAGGGCTTCCTCAATGTATGCCTCCATGTTATGCATCCATTTTGGAAAATCCTCTGCCATTATCTTAGCAAATACTGCTTCTGCCCTTATCTCTTTCTCTTTGTGTTCTGGAACATCAAGTATACATATCCATTTTATCTTCTGCTTTTGCATTGTTTTCATCCCTTTTTCCCTCTGAGTTTAGTCTGAATATTTTCTGTTGCCCTGCCCTCTAGTTCACTTAGCTAACTTTCTACTGTGTTTAATCTCCTGTTAGATCCATCTAATGAATTATTTCCCCTTCTTCATTTATTTTTTACTTGAAAAGATTTCTCTTTTTTTTACCTTAAGGAAAAAGCATTCTGTGATCTTTGTTTTTGTGTTCCTTCTAGTTTAGGCTTAATGTCTAAATACTTAAAAAAATTTTAATTATTTCTATTACTCTATTGTTACCTCATTTCTGAGTTTTCCAAATTCTGGTTTGTGTTCTTTAATGTCATAAATTTTCTTAATGTCTTTTGGCTTGTTTTGTAATCCACATTTCTATTTTTATGTTTTTGAATGTCTTTCTGGTATGCTTTGATTGTGGGGATATTATATTACTGTTTATTCATTTTTATTATAGAAACTTTGTATAGATTTAATCTTGAGCCTTTTCTGCTGTTCATTCTTATATTAAATTAGTTTTCCTGAAATTTTAGGAAAAAAGCTTGTTTCAGATAACTTTTCTGATGTCACAGAATTCTGTTGTTTTTGTGTAGTGTTAAACAATATAGTGGCTGTATTCTCCTTCCCAGATTTTTTTCTGTATCTTCTATTAATCTCTGTGGTCCCTGGCCATCTCAAGTTTTATTCCACTTCCAGTAGTTTCTCTTTAGTGTGAAGCCTTGTCATAAAATTTTCTAGGGAGTAGGCACCCCTAGCTGCTTCAGAATTCCTTGCTGTAACCCATAACTGGAGGAGACAAAACCTCTAACAGTTTTAGCTGATGGCTTTTTTTTTTTTTTTTTTGGCTGTGTTGGGTCTTTGTTGCTGTGTGCGGGCTTTCTCTAGTTGCAGCGAGTCGGGGCTACTCTTAGGTGCGGTGCGCGGGCTTCTCATTGCGGTGGCTTCTCTTGTTGCGGAGCACGGGCTCTAGGCGTGCAGGCTTCAGTAGTGGCGCATGGGCTTAGTTGCTCTGCGGCATTTGGGATCTTCCTGGACCAGGGCTCGAACCCTTGTCCCCTGAATTGGTAGGCGGATTCTTAACCACTGTGCCACCAGGGAAGCCCCCTTTTACTCTATTTTTATAACACATTAATAATAGGTACTTTAAAGTCCATATCTGGTAACTCCAATATCTGGGTCCCTGAAAATCTGTTTTTATTATTTGTTCTTCTCTCTTGATTTTGCGCTTTTAGTCCTGTCTTTTATTATAGTTGGTATTTTTTTATTATATTCCATATATTATATATGAAAAGTTGTAGAAACTCTAGATCATATCTTCTTGCAGAAAAGTTCATTCCTCTACTTTTTAGGCATATTGAGTGGGGATAATCATCTTAATCCAATCAGGGACTTAACTGATTTCAGACTGGGTTGCAGTTTTGTTAAGGCTCAATCTGTATCTAAGTCTTCTGTTTACCTAATCTCTTCCCTGCTTGACTGTAACCAGGGTAAGATTTTCTTTTTGTTTTGTTTTTTTAAATCACTAGCACATATCCAAATGCCTAGCATATAGCAGACACTCAGTGAATACTTATATAATTTGTAATGGAATTCATCACTTCAGTAGATGTAAGCTTTTAGGGTCCTGTATAATTTAGAAGAGAAAGACATCAGTTGACTGGCATAATCTTAGAAAATCCTATTTTCTTCATGGTGCCTATCACACCATGAGAGCCTGGCAATGTCTCTGCCTCATCGTAATTCATAGTATAACACATTTACCAAGATTTTATAAATGACCCCCTCACCCCCACCCAACAGTGCAATATCTTTCTGTTTTTCCCCAGTTACTATAAAATCCATCTCCATTAAAAAATTAAAAAATAAAAGGATAAAAGAGGAAGGAAGGGAAATCCCTGGTATTTATTTTATCTTGTTTTTTGCTGTTACATGGCATAACTTTTGCATGTTATGGTGACAGTGTGTTTTATTTAAATTTTGCTCAAGATATAGCACAGATCTTTTAACATAATTATTGGAGACCATTGCTCTTGGAGAAGGAGATCCTTGAAACAATGGCAGTTTGCTGAATGAATGAGTGAGTGCATGAATAACTGAATGAAAAAAGCGATGATAAGTAAATGCAGAAAATATAATTTTTGGATAAACATTAACCACTATCCAGATTAACCTTTGTAACCATCTGGAATCCCAAGTTGGAAACCACTGGGCTGAACAAGTAATTTTTCCTCAACTGCATCTGTTCTAGCTTCATCCAAGCTAATTTCAGTATTTCATGGACTGTTAGAGTTGGGAATAAATGTAAATGTCACTTCATCAAGCATGTAAACTGAGTATTAAAATTCATTCTGTAGCAGCATCCTTAACAGCTAATGTTCTCAAATTAGTGCCACACAAATGCCTCTGCCTGCCTTTCCCTTCTATCTTCTCTACATTTTTTACTCTGCTCAGCCAGCCATGGAGGCAAGGTTCATTTGGGGTTTCTCACTGGAATAAAAATAACATAAGGGCCATTGAAACAGAGATAATAGCTCCCTGAGTATCAAAATCCTCTCTTTGCTGTTGCCTCGGCCAGGTACTTTAATACTCTGTCATACCTCTATTACCCCAGGTCTTATTTGCTTGTTTTTTGTTGACTAGTTTTGCCTAATTATTTACTATATGCCCTTTATTCCTTCTTCTGGCATTCCTCTTATACATTTACCTGGATTTTATACATGTGCATGTAAAAGTTATGTTTATGCTACCCTGTAGTTTATTAAGTATTCAATAGCATTATGTCTAAAAAAACCCAATGTACATACCTGAATTAAAAAATACTTTATTGCTAAAAAATGCTGTCATCTAAGCTTTCAGGGAGTCATAACCTTTTTGCAGTGGTAGCATCAAAGATCACAGACCACAGATCACCATTACAAATATAATAATGAGAAAGTTTGAAATATTGCAAGAAGTACCAAAATATGACACAGAGATGGGAATTGAGCAAATGCTGTTTGGACAAATGGTGCTGACAGACTTGCTCAACAAAGGGTTGCCATGAATCAATTTTTACAAATTAAAGAATTTGTAAAAAAAAATGCGACATCTGAGAAGTACAATAAAGCAAGTTACAATGAAGTGAAGTGCGCCCGGGTCTCAAGCTACATGGCCACTGTATTTCCAGAACCACCCATCTAATGAATTACTAATTTCAGATATTTTCAGTATATTTTTAGCTTCAAAGTGTCCATTTGACATTTGATTCTTCTGTATATATTCCAGTTTTCTTGTGGAATGCTCTATGTTTTCATCTTCTCATCTTTTCATGTATTTTATCTTTTACTCTTTTTAAAATCCATTAATAGTAGCTATTTTAAAGTCCATATCTGATCAAACTCCAATATCTGGGTCTCTGAAAATCTGTTTTTTTAACTTGTTATGCCATGTAACAGCATGGATGTTTTTGTACTTTCATCTGGTTTTTGATTCATTGTTGCCTAGATCTTTGTTCTTATGGTCTAACACACTTAACCTAGTTCTAGAAGTTCACATAATTCCTTCAGTCAACTGCTGCTTTTAACCAGTGTCATGGAGCTTACTATCTCCCAAGAGAGCTCATTCCAGTATTAGGCAGTTCCAATTGTTTATTGTTTTCTGTGTGAATTAAAATCTGTCTCCTGGATCACTATTGCTCTTTTGACTTTGGCCATAAAGAACTCATAAACTACCTCACTTATGTGACAGCTCTTCAAATATTTGAAGCCTACTTCCACCTTTAGCTTTTGCTTTCCAGTCTAAACTTGCTTCCTTTGACTGCTGTTGGATATTCCGCCATCTCAGTTACCCTTCTCTAGCATCTGAGCACCACAATCAGTAGGTATTGAATAGGACAGGACCGAGGGCAGATGTTTGTGTTATTCCAGTAGAAACCCAAAGCAAGTAAGCAGCATGGTTATTCGTCCAGTACTGAATCTGCTTAATAAGACAGGCATCTCTAGCTTAGCAACTTGAATTTCCAAAATTATTCCATTATAATTTGGTGGTGTAAAATGGAAACTGTTTATTTCCTTGGTGGTTTTGCCTGGTTAATGACCAATTTACTACCGATTACTAAATTTTATAGGTGGAATTAAGTGCAGGTTTCCCTTTCTGAGTTGGCCTTTACATTGAGAATAGAGACTTACAAGATAAGGATAAAACAAAAACAAGCTTTATTAGTATTTTCTTGCCTCCCCTCAACCCAGAGAGGAAAAAGGAGGAGATTCCTAGCTCAGGAGAGAGGAGGGAGGGAGAGATGTAGGCATCATCCTGGTGACCTACAGTCCTTGAGAAGCACTGGATATGCCACACCAGATCAGGGGTGGGACAGCAGTTTTTTCAGTGTAATAACAGGTGTAATAGCAATGACACAGACTGGAGGGTATGTTCTACTACTACAGATTGATCTAGAAAGAGCTCACGCTGTGTTTTTTAGGTGGTTGCAGTCATGGCTCATATCAGGAGTGGCTAGCCATTCATGAATTAAGCTGTACGTGCTAAGTGACCCATTAACCTTCTCAAACTGTATCACTAAAAACTAATCACATGAATATTCAAACATAAGTACTTAAATTCAAAGTAGTGTACTAAAACACTGTTGAATCATTTTTAATACAATCTAAGGCCTACAGACTTCAACTAATTTAGGGACAATCTGGTTTACAAATGGAGACAGTGTCACGTATAAAGAAGGATGGTCTCCTTATAAAGTAACATTTGCTTAGAGAGTCCAGGCCCCTCCAGGGAATTTTCCAGGGAATTACCAACATATTCACTTAAGAAAAATGTTTTAATAAGGGTTTGTCATTTAACTCTGGCCACAGATGACTGTTAGAACATCACATAGTGAACTATTGACCCACCAGTTCTAAACACCATTTTTCATAGTGCTCCTATAGGAAATTATTTGGCGGCTTATAACTTGAAAGTTCAACCTCTACCAGCACACAGTAGTAAGGTAGATGACAGTAATTTATAGCAAGATGATTAAAATGCTGCAGTATAAATATATTTTATGAAATCAAGGGCAAATAAGGAGCAAATAATTTTTTTTTCTTTTCTGTCTCTCAATTTTCTTACAGTTAACATATTACTTTTTAAAGAAGTTACTTGTAATTTCAAAAGAAATAGAATAAAATTAATATCCTGTAAATATTTTTCTTTAAAAGGCAGTGAAATCTGATCTAGAAAGCTCTATTAGGAACAAAATGGAAGGTCAAAGGGAAAGGTACCAATTAGATCTCAACATTGTGGGTTTGCAATTCAGTCATCATCCTCTCTTCAATCAAGAGCAAGTGTTATGTGCTAGGCTGCTCCAACTTTATGAGTGTTTTCAGGACAGGCAGCAACAGAATTTACCTCAGCTGCTTTATGAGAAGGTAAGAATGGTTTTCATTATATTTACAGAGCTGAACGTTTAATATTGAAAGAGAAAAGAGACTTCTTAGTACAGAGCAAGCTATCATTGAATATGTTCCCTTAGCACTTTGAATATTTAATCAAATAAAAGAATGGTTGATTTCAGTTTTCCTGAAAAGAAGCTATAGGAATTAACTGGCCAGGGAGGCAGCCTCAAACATATCCTGCAGGATATTTAGCATCTATAAATGTTTGCTAATCAGTGGTATTCTTGGTCCTATGACTCAAGAAGAATATTTGAAATCATTACTATTTAAAAGAGCCAAATGGCTGTTTTCAATCTTGTAAGAGTGTATTTTTGATAAAAATATTAGTGACCTTGAATCTCTCATCAAATATGAAGAGTGTTAGTCTGAGAATGATTGATCCAAGTAGTCATCTAATGACGTCATAAAGGGTACATAAAATCTGAAGAGAAATCGAAGGAGTACCCACTGATTATTTTTATGAATTTGCACCTCTTATCTAGACTCTGTGCTGAGTTTTTGATACATGAGCATTTTGTTAACTAGTGTTCTCTCTGAAAAGATATTTTGATAGGTCTCATTCAGCTAATTAATACAGTTAAAAATAAATATTTAGTGAGGTATTTAGCTAAATATTCAAAACTAATAGAGTCACCAAGATATTCCAATAAGCTGGAAATGAATTGTACCTTAATATATCTGCCTTTTAAAATACAAGTGCGAAAACTACAGGACTTAATCCATCTGATTGAATTTTCACATAGCAATTGTGTGGGAGAACTTAACAGATGAAGACCATGAATTAATAAGGTCAGAATATTTCCTAAAGCAAATATTGAATATTCTAACTTTTAGTTTAATATGACCATTGTTTTTATGAATGAAGGAATCAACTCTGAAATTAAGATGTAGGTCATTGAAAAAGTGACTTGATTTATAGATTTCTACTTAATAGACAGTTTTCCAACAGTATTGTATAATTTTTGAAGTCTGATCTAGCAATATCAATTATATTTCACTAGAGTACTATCTATTACTGTACATAAAAACTCTACATTTGTTTTTCATGTAGCATGGCTCTCTGTATAAAATAACATTTGGGGATCATTATTTGTAACATGTTTTTTATTATTATTATTATTTTGATTCTTAGGAACCCAAAGTAATTTCTTAGCTGATTTTTACTTTTCTTCAATTTATTCTCTTATGTGCACATAAACATTTTCTCCAATTTCCTGGTAAATTGTAAAAAGAGAAATTTGGTAGGTCATGTTCATGCCCTTCTAAGATGAAAGAGAAGAAGAACAGTAGGGAGGAGGAGAAAAGGCCAAGTGTACAGAGTGTGTCCATTGGTCTCCTACCAAAATACTGATATATAATGTACGTATCCTTTTAGTCCGTTGGTGTGAAATGTATGGCTCTGCTTGTTCTCAGTGGGTTCAAACCAACTTCAGAGTAGTGGGAAACTCACTGACATCCAAGGAATTCTGAAACTGGAATATGTCCCTTTATATGAGTATGAATCTCACTTAAAGAACAAGGAGAAATGCTGCAGACAGTATTGGAGAGTAGAAAGGATCCTCAACTTGGCAGCATTCTGCTATTTTTCCCTCTAGTTTTTTTTTAAATTACACAAGTAATACAGGAGTACATTCTCATTGTAAATGATTCAGTGTAGAAGTTTCAAAGTGTGAAAGACCCACTTCAATCTTCACCTCATGGTTTGAACTACAGCTTTAAAGTTCTCTTTTCCATGTATCTGTGTGTATACATATGCCATGATAGTTTTCAACATAAATTGGATCTTCCCATATGTATTATTTGGCAACTTCGTTTTTAAAACTAATTCTGCATCTTGGAGCTTTTTCCATATCACTATATATAGACCCATAATATACCTGTATTTTAATATGTTTAATCACTTCCCATTCACGACACTTAGGTCATTTCCATCTTTTTATGATTACAAATAATAAAGCAATGAACATCCTTGTACCCATATATTCGAGCACACAAGTGAAAACTTCTTTCACACAAGTGAAATCTAGGCTAGATTCATAGAAGTGATATTTTTTGGTCAAGGGTAAGGGTGCATGAAGTTTAAATTTTATTAGAGAGTAATGAATTGCCTTTCCAAAAAAGGTTTTCAGTTTGAATTTCCACTGACAGTACAGGACAGACCCCACTTCCCAGAGTCCTAACCAGTAGTTGATATTATTTGCCCATTTTTCTGTAGCTTTGTGTATCTTTATAAGAGTTTTCATATATATACACATATACGTATATATACATGTACACACATACACACACACACTGGATGTAAGTCCATACAAGATATATATCTTTTGAATATGTTTTATATATTTTTGTCCCATTCTGTTTCTTGCTTTTTAACTTCATTTTTCTTATCTCTTGGAAATATTTAAAATTTTATGAAGTCAAATCTGTCAGTTTTTTTCTTTGGGGATTTTAAGTTTTGTTGTTCACTTACTACGCTTCCTAGATTTGTATCAATTAGCATACCTTTGGTTACAACTCACAGAAAACTCTCTCTCAATTGCTTTAAACAATAGGGAAAAAGTATTACCTTCTGTATCAAAAGTCCGAAGTTAGGGCAGCTCTACAGTTGGTTAATTTGATGGCTCAACAATATCATCAACAACCCTGGCTTTTCTCTCTTTCTAACCTTCATCTTCAGAAAGTTGACTTAGTTAGCTCTTCTCATGGGAACTAGCAGAGTGGCTGCTCCAGCTGAAGGCATGCTGGCCAGACACACAATACGCAGCCTAGAGTCTCACTTTGAGAGCCCTCTCCAACCTTTCCCTTACACCACAGCAGATTTCCCCTCATGTCTCATTGCCTAGAATTATATCACATTATCATGCCTAAACCAGTCACGAGAGAGAAGAATGACATTGCTACAAATGGCTAAACTCATCAGGGTTTACGTCTAAAATAAATGGAAGAAGATTGAGCAACTGAACAAAATTGGGGCTCTGCCTACCAAGAGAAATGAGTATTCAAGGGTGACCAATAGTGTCTGGCAAACCAAAATTATAAAGATGCCTTTCTAAGGATGCTCAGCATCACTAATCATTAGAGAAATGCAAATCAAAACCACAGCGAGGTATCACCCCACACTGATCAGAATGGCCATCATCAAAAAAATCTACAAACAATAAATGCTGGAGAGGCTGTGGAGAAAAGGGAACCCTCTTGCACTGTTGGTGGGAATGTAAATTGATAGAACCACTATGGAGAACAGTATGGAGGTTCCTTAAAAAACTAGAAATAGAATGGCCATATGACCCAGCAGTCCCACTACTGGGCATGTACCCTGAGAAAACCATAATTTGAAAAGAGACATGTACCACAATGTCCATTGCAGCACTATTTACAATAGCCAGGACATGGAAGCAACCGAAGTGTCCAGTGACAGATGAATGGATAAAGAAGATGTGGCACATATATACAATGGAATATTAGCCATAAAAAGAAATGAAATTGAGTTATTTGCAGTGAGGTGGATGGACCTAGAGTCTGTCATACAGAGTGAAGTAAGTCAGAAAGAGAAAAACAAATGCCATGTGCTAACACATATATATGGAATCTAAAAAAAAAAAGGTTCTGATGAACCTGGGGCAGGACAGGAATAATGACGCAGACGTAGAGAATGGACTTGAGGACATGGGGAGGGGGAAGCGGAAGCTGGGACGAAGTGAGACAGTGGCATTGACATATATACACTACCAAATGTAAAATAGATAGCTAGTGGTAAGCAGTCGCACAGGGAGATCAGCTCGGTGCTTTGTGACCACCTAGAGGGGTGGGATTAGGGAGGGTGGGAGGGAGGCTCAAGAGGGAGGGGATATGGGGATATATGTATACATATAGCTGATTCACTTTGTTATACATCAGAAACTAACACAGCATTGTAAAGCAATTTTACTCCAATAAAGATGTTAAAAAAAGTCTTTCTGTATATTCTCCTAATAATGTGTGTGTGATATGTAATTTCTAGCTTTTTATTCTATCTAGAGTTTATATCTGTGTTTTCTGAGGTCAGGCTTCAGCTCAATTTCTTTCCCCTAAAAGGTTAGCCTATTATTTCTACTGATTTAAAATTCTGCCTTTATTGTAAACCAGCTTCACATATTTACATAGATTTAAGGACTATCTACTCCACTGACTTATTGGTCTGTTTCTGCCCTGTTTTAATTACTATGTTTAATTATTAAATTATGATGTGTAAGGACAAGTGCCTCCTCATTGGTTTTTTCCTAGGATGTATTTGCATATTCTTATAGGGTTGATCTTCCATATGAACCTAAGAATTAGCTTGTCAACTTCTATTTTAAAGATCCTATTACCAAGGCTTCCCTGGTGGCACGGTGGTTAAGAATCCGCCTGCCAATGCAGAGGACACGGGTTCGAGCCCTGGTCCAGGAAGATCCCACATGCCGCGGAGCAACTAAGCCCGTGCACCACAACTACTGAGCCTGCACTCTAGAGCCTGTGAGCCACAACTACTGAATCCCGCGCACCTAGAGCCCATGCTCCGCAACAAGAGAAGCCCGCACATCTCAATGAAGAGTAACCCCCTCTGAGAAAGCCCTCGCACAGCAACGAAGACCCAATGCAGTCAAAAATAAATAAATTAATTAAATAAATAAAGATCCTATTACCAAAAGAATCTAAAAAAAAAGAAAGTGGATACATGTATATGTATAACTGATTAACTTTGCTGTACACCTGAAACTAATACAACATTGTACATCAACTATACTCCAACAAAAATTTTAAAAAAGATCATATTACCATTTTTATTGTAATTGCATTGTTATATTGATTTTGAAAGAAATTTTATCTTTATAAAATTTGGGTTTCCTCATCTAGGAATGTAGTATGTCTTCACATTTGTTGACGTCTTCTCTTATGTCTTCCACTAAAAGTTTATATCAGTTGACTCTAGTCGTGGAGTTGCCAGAAACTGTCGCTAACTGCGATAGACGACTTCTGCACATTTTAGGGTTTTGTTTCCTCCGGTTTTATTTCTCTGTCGATATTCTCTGTGGTATTTCTGTCTGTTTTATACTTTCCTCCGTATATTTTGCTGATTTTATTTTACTTGTTATCCTATGTTGTTATACACTTATTTTATAGTGAGATATAGATGTGTTGATATAATTATAAAATACATGTATGGGTGTGGTTGTGATGATGGTAGTGGATATGATAAAGAGAGATAGATATCTTTTCTGTAACCATGGGATTTTAGATAGAAGATAAGATAGATGCCTGTGCTCAATATATCATCTTGATTGATTGGCATTTCTTTATATTAATTGATTAATTACTTAGAAGTTTCAAGGTATAATGTTTGTTTCTTAGACAAATATTGAGGCTCTTCTCAGTTCTGCCCCAAGGTGCTTATATAAAATATATTTTGGAAGACAAGACAGTAATATACAAAAAGTTATACACTTGTGCTTCTGCTGCTCATACCTAGACCTACAGGTGAATTGGCATGATGGTAACAAGTGGCTGAAATGTACCAAAAAAGCTCTTTTCTTTGTTGTAGCTTAAAGCACTGAAGGATGCTACCAAATTAGCAAACGAAAATTTGGAAACAAGCCAGCTGACCAGAAAATCTTTACAGGATTATTATTGGCAGATAAGGTAGGTTTTAGGCCATTCATGTACTCATCAAGCATTTATTAAGTAATTTCTTTAGACAGAGTATAGTACAATGCTATGGATGATATAAAATAAGAAAATAACAATATCCTTACTCTTTTTTTAAAATTAAAGTATAGCTGATTTACAATATTTTGTTTCAGGTGTACAGTAAAGTGATTCAGTTGTATTTTTTTCAGATTATATTCCATTATAGGTTATTACAAGATATTGAATATAATTCCCTGTGCTACACAGTAAATCTTTGTTGCTTGTCTATTTTAGGTATAGTAGTTTGTATCTGTTAATCCAATACTTCTAATTTGTTCCTCCTTCTCTCCTTCTCCCCTTTGGTAACCATAAGTTTCTTTTCTACATCTGGAGTTTGTTTCTGTTTCGTGTATAGATTCATTTGTATTATTTTTTAGATTCCACATATAAGTGATGTCATATAGTATTTGTCTTTCTCTTTTTGACTTCACTAAGTAAAATATTCTCTAGGTCCATATGTTGCTGCAGATTACACTATTCCATTCTTTTTTATGGCTGAGTAATATTCCAGTGTGTGTGTGTGTGGCTGTGTGTGTGTATTTTTTTTTTCTTAAGCCAATCATCTGTTGATGGGCCCTTGGGGTTGTTTCCATATCTTTGCTATTGTAGATAGTGCTGCTATGAACGTTGGGGTGCGTGTATCTTTTCGAATTAGAGTTTTCATTTTTTCTGCGTATATACCCAGGAGTGGGATTGCTGAAGATCCTTAGTCTTTAGGCAGTTATAGAAATGGTTCCAACCTTTTGTAAAAACTCATTTTTGTGTAAGAATATTTCATAGAGGTGTCACATGAAAGTAGTTTTACAGTCTATTTTAAAAAAATACATGTTGATTAAAAACTACTATGAGCTTATTAATACCTTTCAATTGACTTGGATTATATTTATCTCAAGTGTTTGTATATGTTTGAGAATTAGTCCACATACACATATGTGCAGGATATATTATTAATTCCATCTAAAAACAATACTCAGATAGTATATAGAGTTAAGGACCCCTGTAAAAAAACGTGATCTACAAGTTGGGAATCATTGGCTGATAGACTTGTTGGGAAGAGAAGTTAGGAAAGAATAAAATAACTGGAAAAATAATTTCAGGACAACACATGATTATGTGTCAAGGAATCTTCAAAAGCAAGAAGGCTCTCTGGGAGCCTTTTTTTGGGTAGAAAGTTAAACTGTGCACAAAGATATGACAACTGTGAGAGTGATTTGATAGTTAAAGAATTTCCCTGACTCTCTGCCCATTGACCTGAAATGGCTCTACAAGCTCTTAACCACTAGAGGCAAGTTGTTTTAAATAATTGGTTTCCTAGAATAACCTAGTTAAATGCAAACAATATTACTTGAGGAAGTTGACATATGTCTTGTACAAGTACTGGCACATAGTGAACTCTCAATAAATGTTAGTTGAATGAATGAGTGAATGAACAGAAACCTTCAGTATTTACAAAACAAACTAGTGTTATTTATAAAATTAACTACAACTTAAGGCAAAGAACAGTCATGGCATAAGGAACACAGAGCAAGTAAGGAAGGATTGAGGAGCAAAGAGAGTGGTAAATATGTGGGTAAGTCTCAATGAACAATCATGTAGTGATATAATGATGTCTTACAGTGTATAAAAATATAGAGAGAGTTAAAATATAAAACTTTTAGGGCTTCCCTGGTGGCGCAGTGGTTGGGAGTCTGCCTGCCGATGCAGGGGACACGGGTTTGTGCCCCGGTCCGGGAAGATCCCACGTGCCGCGAAGTGGCTGGGCCCGTGAGCCATGGCCGCTGAGCCTGCACGTCCGGAGCCTGTGCTCTGTAACGGGAGAGGCCACGACAGTGAGAGACCCGCGTACCGCAAAAAAAAAATAAAATAAAACTTTTAGAATGGAGTAAAGAATGGAGAAGCATAAATGTAATTAAAGATACTTGCATTGACTAGGAGGAGAAAAAGGTAAAGCTTAATATTAGACTTTGATAAATCAAGGACTTAGATTTTAACTTATGACCTCTAAAGAGAATTTAAAAATATGTCTTCCAAATCAATTGAAGAGGAAAATAGTATAATAAGAAAATACTCAAACTATCCAAAAGAAGGCAAAAAAAAAAAAAGAGAGAGAGAGAAAAGGGACTGTAGAGACTGATGAGACAAGGGGAAAGCGTAAAAGAAAATGGTGGAGTTAAACCTAAATATATCTAAGTGAGTTAAGTGATCCATTTTTATCTAGACTGGATTAAAATAATTGGATTTTTTTTCTGGAATTTTTCTTTGTGGCACTTATGTCCGAATTTTATTTTATTTTATTTTTATTATTTTTGGCTGCATTGGGTCTTCGTTGCTGCGCACGGGCTTTCTCTAGTTGTGGCGAGCGGGGGCTACTCTTCGTTGCGGGGAGCGGGTGGCTTCTCTTGTTGCAGAGTACGGGCTCTATGTGCATGGGCTTCAATAGTTGTGGCACATGGGCTGAGTAGTGTGGCGCATAGGCTCAGTAGTTGTGATGCACAGGCTCAGTAGTTGTGGCACACGGGCTTAGTTGCTCCGTGGCATGTGGGATCTTCCTGGACCAGGGCTTGAACCCGTGTCCCCTGCATTGGCAGTCGGATTCTTAACCACTGCTCCACAAGGGAAGCTCAATAATTGGATTTTTAAAAATCCAGTTATATTTTATTTAGGAGAGACTTATCTAGAACATAGGGATATAGAAAGTTAGAGAACAAAATAATGGAAAAAAATGCCACATAAACACTAACAAAAGAAAGCTGGCATAGCTAAGTTAGTATAAGATAAAATAGATCTTTAAGGCAAAAAGCTTTACTAGAGCTAGAGGGCCACATCAGAGTATATGGTTTAATTCACACGTGTGCATACACACACACACACACACACACACACACACACACACACACATATACATATATGCATATCATAATATGGCTGCAAAATTTGACAGAAATATAAGGAAAAATAGAAATTCACAAATGTATTGGGCAATTTTAACACATTCCTCTCAGTAATTGATGGAATAAATTAACCAAAAATTCTCATTAAGGATATAGAAGATTTGAACAACATGCTTAATAGACTTGACTTGGTGTATTTGTAGAATATTGTACCTAACAACTGCAAAATACCACTGTCTTCAAGAATACATGGAACATTTACAAAAATTGACGTTATGTTATCTCAACAAATCTCGGAGTCTCAATATATTCAAAGGATTTAAATCATTTAGTGCAGAAACCCAACATAAAAATGCAAAAAATATTGCTAGGAAATCTCCGTATGTATGGAAATTAAGAAATACAGGTCTAAATAATTTGTTAACCAGAGAAGACATCATATTGATCATTGGAAAATGTTTTGAATTTACTGATAAAAAACTAATATGTATCAAAATTTGTGAGATACAACTAAAATAATTCTCAGGAAAATTTGACTATTTAAATACATATATTAGAGAAAAAGAAAGGTTGAAAATTAATGAGCTAAGCATCTTTCTTAGAAAGCTAGGGAAAAGGATAGAAGGAATGAAATAAAGAGAACAGAAATTAATAAGAAAGCTAGGATAGAATCAACAAATCCAGATGTTTGATAAAAAATTGATAAACTCGGGACTTCAGTTTATGAGGTTATATTATCCTTGAAATTAAAACCTAACAACAACACAAAAAATACTGCAACCCAATTTCATTCACGAAATATGCTAAACAGAATTTTATCAAATAATATAGCTAAACTGTGGTCATTCCAGGAATGCAAGGATGATTTAATATTAGAAAATCAATCAGCATAATTTGCCATACTATAGTGAGTTTGCAAAGTCAGGAAACCAGTAATAGTATATTACTTCAGCATCCAAATAATCTGCTCACTACCCGTCAGGCAAAGTACCTCTAAATTTGAAGCAATGGTTCTAATTGTTAATCTGAAAAAATGTATAAGAAATATACTACAGAATGTCCAGAAAATCTGGAAATACATGGATGTTAGCAGAGCACTTTTGAGTAGTGAAAAATCTTTAAGAGGTATGAATCTCTAAATGGAATTTCATTCTCTACATCAAGATGTGGGTAAAATGAAAAAAAAGGAAGGGTGGGGGGCCCCAGAAGAGTTAGTACAATACATTCTTCCAGGCCATTTGTAATGACTTGTACTGTAGTTCTAATCCACTAACATATTTTTAAAATTTTATTTGTTTTTGGCTGCATTGGGTCTTCGTTGCTGCGCGCAGGCTTTCTCTAGTGTGGCGAGCGGGGGCTACTCTTCATTGCAGTGTGTGGACTTATTGCGGTGGCTTCTCTTGTTGCAGAGCACGGGCTCTAGGCATGCAGACTTCAGTAGTTGTAGCACGCGGGCTCAGTAGTTGTGGCTTGCGAGTGCTAGAGCACAGGCTCAGTAGTTGCGGTGCATGGGCTCAGTAGTTGTGGCTCATGGGCTTAGTTGCTTCGTGATATATGGTATCTCCCCAGACCAGGGCTCAAACCCATGTCCCCTGCATTAGCAGGCAGATTCTTACCTACTGCACCACCAGGGAAGCCCCACTAACATATTTTTAATCTAACATTATTGTAGGAATACAAAACAGCTCTATGACTTAGAAAAGGAAAAGGACTTCTCCCTACTACAGAGTATATTATGGACTTGGAAACAGATGAAATCCCTTCGACAACGCCAAGGGTTTACAAGCACCTCGATAAAGTTGCAGTTTCAGAGGTGAGTGGCTGCTCTATTTGTCCTTATAGGTCTCCTGAGGAGCTGCCCACGAATAACTGGGAATTCAAAGTAACTTGGAAAAGAAAATCCAGAAGCTAGTCAACTATTTGACATAGTCAACAAAGAACTTGTATCTTGAATGTGTAAACAACACTTACAACTTAATAAGACAACTCAATTTAAAAATGGGCAAAAGATTTGAACAGACACTTCATTAAAGAAGGTATATGGATGGCAAATGAACACAGGAAACAATGCTCACAACATTATGTTATGTCAGTAGGGAAATGTAAACTAAAACCGCAATGCGATACACTACACACCTATTAGAATGGCTAAAATCCAAAAAAAAAAAAAAAAAGAAAAGAATAGAGAGAAGAAAGAAAGAAAAGAAAAAGGCAATAACAAATGCTGGCAAAGCAACAGGAACTCTCACTGATGGCTGGTGGAAATGCAGAGTGGCGCAGCTACTTTGGAAACAGTTTGGCACTTTTTGATAAAGTTAAACATAGACCCAGCAATCATACTTCTAGATGGAACATGTAAGTCACAAAAACATATCTAGTGGAGGAGATAGTTACAAATTAAAAACTTTGCTTGTTAATCACTTCTTAAGCTGTTTGTGAACCCACAGTGAAATAACTGGTTCTCTCCCACAAGCCGTTGTCCTGGGTTTTTTGTTTTTCAAAACTATAAAAGATTAGTATAATTTCAGGCAATTAAGAAAGATGTTTAGCTTTGTTGATTTTTTTTCCTGCTGTAGTATTTTTTAACAAAAGTGCTTCTGACAGTTTCTAAACCTAACCCAGCATGGACTCTGTTTATCTTAGGCTCCTGAATTCATGTAAACTTGCTGACTTGCCTCTCATATTTTAAACCGCTCTAATACACTCTTGCATTATGCACCCCTCTTCAGAAAAGGAGAGTCACAGATGCAATAAGCTCGTTCAGAACAGTAGCTCTGGACCAATATTCCTGCTCACCACCTACTCTTATTCTACTAAACTCCAATCCCACTTGAGGCCCTTTGCATTTGTTCCTTCTGACATTTACCATTCAACTTTCCCCGTGGACTTTGGCTTGGGTTTGCCTCTCCAGATTGCTCCTGTAGACTTCTGAACTAAACCCCACAGTGTCAGTGATGAGTTTGGCCGCACAGGACTAGCTAGCCCCAGCTACACTAAAATGGGGCATTTCACTTGATCAAAGTATCATTCTTTTTTTTTTTTTTTAACATCTTTATTGGAGTATAATTGCTTTACAATGTTGTGTTAGTTTCTGCTGTATAACAAAGTGAATCAGCTATATGCATACATATATCCCCATATCCCCTCCCTCTTGCGTCTCCCTCCCTCCCACCCTCCTTATGCCACCCCTCTAGGTGGTCGCAAAGCACCAAGCTGATCTCCCTGTGCTATGCGGCCGCTTCCCACTAGCTATCTGTTTTACATTTGGTAGTGTATATATGTCAATGTTACTCTCTCACTTTGTCCCAGCTTCCCCTTCCCCCTCCCCATATCCTCAAGTCCATTCTCTACGTCTGCATCTTTATTCCTGTCCTGCCCCTAGGTTCTTGAGAACCATTTTTTTTTTAGATTCCATATATATGTGTTAGCATACGGCATTTGTTTTTCTCTTTCTGACTTACTTCACTCTGTATGACAGACTCTAGGTCCATCCACCTCACTACAAAGAGCAAAGTATCATTCTGATCAACTAGAAAAGCTGATGTTTGAAGGTGCTCCTGGGAACTCTGTTTCCAGGCTAGGTGTATCACCAGCAACCTCACCACAGGCCTTCACCTTGTGAACCCTAATTGAATAAGCTTGTAGCCAGGCCTATGTGAAAGACAGTACTTATGACAGGAAGACCTGGGACCTAGACACTAAGCTCAGCTTATCTTTTCTTCATATATTTGGTTTTGGGCATATTGAATTTGATAAGCTTTTGAGACATCCCTAAATAAAGCAACTGAATGGGCAGCTGGATGTATGGTTTGTACTAGAAAGAAAAATGCTGAATTTTTATGGCAGAGTAATAGTAATTGAAGCCATGCATGTGCATGAGTCTGCTTAGGAAGAGGGTAGAGAATGAGATGAAAAGAGGGCCGAGAGCTAAATCTTGAGAAACTGCCTTGAATGGCTTGATAGAGGAGGAGAAACCAGAGGAGGGACAGAGAAACACCAGTTAGAGTGTTTTGCCACAGAGGCAAAGAAAGGGGAGTATTTTAAATAGGAGGGAGGGTTAATAGTATTTAATGCTTCTGAAGTATCAGTTAAGTCTAGGACTAAAAATGTTCATTGGATTTCCTCACATGGAGGTTACTGATTGAGAAATTAGAGCAGGTTTGATGAAGCGATGGTGGCAGAATAAAATAGCAGGAAATTGAGGATATAGTCCTGTCTTCTCATTCAGGCAATAAATTTTCCTTGTCACACGTTACCAACACTACATTAAACTTAGAGAAACTGCCTGGGTAAGTAGCCACAGACCTTGTTGTAATTTGGCTACTGAACCCAAACCACAGCACTGGTAAGTAGCACGGTGAACCCAGATTCCTGTATATTGTCTTCACCTGTGTTCTCTGTTAGGCTCCTACTTACCTGGAAGGGATCCAGATAACTGTCAAAGGGGCTTTTAAAAGATATAGAAAGAGCAATCTATTCAAGCAGGAAAATCCATGTCATTTCCCAGAGCTACTGAATAGAAAGGAGGAAGCTATGGAACCAAGATCACTGTCTCAATGATCTCCTCAAAAAGAGAGTGCCTGTTAAAACACCTATTGTCTAAGTACTGTACATTGCCTGAGTTACTCTACACTGGAATCACCTGGGAGAGATCTAAAAACCACTATTATGATTTAGTTGGTATGAAGTATGGTCTGGGCATCAGGAACTTTAAAAATGTCCCCAGGTGAGTTTAATATGTGACAAAGTTTGTGAGCCATTGGATTAAACAATAAGTTAAATGACTTTCATATTGATTACCCTGAATCAGAGGAAAGCAATAATAATATTTGTTGAGTGTTTGTTATACTCCAAGCACTGGACTGAGCACTTTACATGAATTAGTGCATTTAATTCTCATAACAACCGAATTTTCAGATGAGAAAAGTAAGGCATAGAGTACTTAAGTAACTTGCCCAAATTCCATAGTGTCAGTAATGGGTCTGGGCTTCAACACAGGTAGTCTGGTCTCTAGCCCATATAGGTAGTATCTACACTAGGTTCCCTATATTTTACTGCAAAAGGCAAAAAGCATATGATATTTTACAATGATAATGAGATATACTTCACATACCATACAGTTCATCCATTTCAAGTGTACAGTTCAATGGCTTTTAGTATGTTCACAGCACTGTGCAAGCATCACCACAATTATCATTTTATAACATTTTAGGCACCCCCCCCCTCCCCGCTGTAGAACTATCTTCCTATTAGCAGTCACTCCTCACGTGTGTAGATATAGTTTTTGTTTTTCTTGGGTATATACCTGGGAACGGAATTGCCGGGTCATATGGTAACTCAGTGCTTAACATTTTGAGGAACTGCCAGACTTTTCCAAAGCAATTGCACCATTTTCTATTCCCAACAGAGTATATAATACTTATCAAAGAATCTCCTTTTTAAAAGATTAAAAATAAAAAACTGAACTTTGAACTGAAAAGAATAAAAAGTCAACTCGCAGACCAATTATTTTCTGAAAGGGTTCCAGAGAACTGGGGTTTTGCTGGACTACTAATAGAAGAGGAATAATAGTAATACCTACTTCATAGGGTTGCTGTGAGAATTAAATGAGTTAATATGTATAAAGTACTTAGAATATTGCCTGGCATGTGCTTAGTAAGTACAATGTAAAAGTTAGCTGCTGCTACTACTAGTAGTAGTACTGGTGGTAGTAGTAGTAGTGGTGGTAGTAGTAGTAGTTGTTAGTGGTAGTGGTGGTGGTGGTACTAGTTGTAGTAGTGGTAGTAGTAGTAGTTGTCGTCATTGTTGGTGGTACTAGTTGTAGTAGTGTTAGTAGTAGTAGTAGTTGTTGTTGGTGGTGGTGGTAGTTGTAGTAATAGTAGTAGTAGTTGTCATTGTTGTTAGTGGTAGTGGTACTAGTTGTAGTAGTGATAGTAGTAGTAGTAGTAGTTGTCATTGTTGTTAGTGGTGGTGGTGGTGGTGGTAGTTGTGGTAGTGGTAGTAGTAATGTCATGAACTGCTTACTGTTTATGCATAAACCCCAAGGAGTATAACTGAGATTTACCACTTAATATTCCTATAGTGTCCTGCCCTTACACATGGTCATGTTCTCACAGCTTAAAAAATATGAGAGGGACTTCCCTGGCAGTCCAGGGGTTAAGACTCCATGCTTCTACTACAGGGGGCATGGGTTCAATCCCTGGTCGGGGAACTAAGATCCTGCATGCCATGTGGCACAGCCAAAAATTTTTTAAAAAATATGAGAGGAAGCAAAATGAGAGGAAACATGGCATGTGTCCTTAAATTTGTGTCTTCCATCCCCCTTGGTTACTCATTCTCACCAGAGTGGTTTCTTGATATCCTTAGAAAAGGCTGAAGACACTAAGTAGGGAGAAATCTGTGAAAACTAAGAACAAGTTTATGAAATTTTATGTATATACATATATATGTGTGTGTATCATATTGATAATTTCCTTGGGATGTAAAATTATCTTATGTAAGAAATTGTGGTGTGTGTGTGTGTGTGTTGGCAAGATCTCTAACAACTCTCAAATCCATTATTCCTGCTTTAAATAATTCTATTTATTATTAATTAGGATGAAAATGAATAAATATGATGAACAAAAACAAGAATTGTCAAAAATATATGAGATTCAGAAGAAAACTGAAGGAAAAGCATTTAAGAATGGGGAGAAACAGGAGGTATTTATATTGCAAAATAACATTCAACTCATCTTAACTAGTTATAATATTTGTTTGGTAGAATAGGAAATCTTGGTATTTGTAACAGTTACCCAAGAAAATGACAAATATAAGAAATAAAGTTTAATTTTAAGAATAATTGTCCTAAGCAATGAACTTACATTATAAATTATATATTTATTTTTCTGTTTCTAGAACTTCTCATATTTAGCTTCAGAATTTGAAGAAATAGATATTGAAAGAATAAATCCAATTACCTTGATGCCACAAATTTCTTTCACAGCAGAATTAACAAACTTATCTAGATGTTCACTGTAAGCATTTTTAAAGGATTATTTCTTCATTATATATTGTCTAGTAATTGTATTGTTTTTTTAATAACGTTAGATTTCTTGAGTGAGTACCATATACCAGGCACTTAGCATGTTGAGTTTAAAAAATATATTTGCACATTTAATTGCCACTATAGCTCTATGGTATTATCTTCATCTTAGAGATGGGGGTCACACTTCTAATTAATGACTGAGGTGGGACATAACCCAGTTTAGTTTGATGGTGTTTTTTGTTTTACTATGGTAGTAATTTTTTTTCTGGTATAGATAGGTGGAATATAAAGCCACTGTGAAAAATAAGGTTATATGGTCACCCTTGCTTGTTGAAGGACCTCCTGGATTTCATAGAAAGTGTTTGGTGTAGAAAGGGCCCTCTGGACAATTTTCTACTTTGACAATGCAAGCTTCTTTCCTTCTCAGTTGTGACGTCTTCCTTGAGCTTTAAGGTTTTCTCCCTACTCCTAGGACATCCATGCATAAACCAATGTCATGTCGATCGCCATTTCTCCCATCTCTAAGCCTTTGGATCTCATCTCCCTTAAAGAGGATGTAGCAACTTAGAGCACTGAACTAGGTACAACTTTCCAACATCTCTGTCCCATGGAAAACTTGGTACAGATTCATCTCTGAGTACTGTGAATGTGCATCATTTAGCATGGTGTTGGAAGGTAGTGTGTGCCCAATAAATACTCATCTTCATTAAATGAATGAATAGGTGGTTAAACTTTTAAATGAACATAAAGAGTAGCAAACACAAAGGCACAATTATCATTACGTTCTTTCTGACTAGAGAAGTGCAGCAGTGAAGCAATGTTTTATTTGTTCTACACCTACTTCCAAAAAGGGGCCAAGATGATTTATTATGTAAGACACCCATGCAAAAGGACCATCTAAATGGGGACAAGAGAACAGCCATAAAATGGAAGTTGGAAGTAAAAAGGAGAAAGAGAAGGAGGAAGATATTTGTGCTGGAAAGCCTAGGCTAAAACTTAGTGGAGGTCAAGGCAAAAGGCAATATAATGCTTTATATCTTTTCAAAGCTATTGTTGTGGCATTGCTGTCATTATCCATTTAAAATGTCCAGTTGAATAAGAATTGATTCTTTAGAAAACAATAATATAGGGCTTCCCTGGTGGCGCAGTGGTTGAGAGTCCAGCTGCCGATGCAGGGGACACGGGTTCGTGCCCCGGTCCGGGAAGATCCCACATGCCGCGGAGCGGCTGTGCCCGTGAGCCATGGCCGCTGAGCCTGCGCGTCCGGAGCCTGTTGCTCGGCAACGGGAGAGGCCACAACAGTGAGAGGCCCGCGTACCGCAAAACAACAACAACAACAACAAAAGAAAACAATAATATACTGATGTCAAGGATAGAGGTGAAAGGAGTACAGGGATTAAAGAAAAATTAAAAAGAGTTTACAGGTGAAGAAAAAGGCAAGATTTCATGAGGATAAATATAACCCCGAATTAACAAATTTTCATAAGCTCATTATTTAAACTACTTTCAGAGGACTTATTTTATGAAACTATTTCTTTAAAGGTAATTGGGAGGAAGGTCAAAAAAGGCCTACAGGGAGACAGGAAGAATAATTAATCTTTTGTCCCATAACCCTCTGAGAAGATTACAGAGAAGATGAGTAGATATGGGGGCAGGGAGATACTGGCCTATAGGATGATTAGGATGGAGAACAGAAGGGGATTTTATTTTTCAACCTATGGTTTATCTTCCAACTAGTCTTCTACCTTCTGAAAAGCAGGATTAAGTCTTAAATATCATTAGGTCAGTTGCCTTGCAGCTGAGAAGATATTCAGTAAATGTTGGTTGAGTGAACAAAAATGAATGGATGGATTGAAGACTCTCTTTGTAGTCTCATAACATTGAATGGATCAATTTCTTCCCCAAAAAGTGTTTTCATAGAGCCCCAGGAAAGTAACCTCTCTGGCTTGCCTGTCTGATCTTTGGGTTCAGAGAAACAATGTCCTGGAGAAAAAACGGTATACAACCTAAAGCCTAAAGAGATTCACAAAGACCTTTAAGAGGACACAGCAAGCCTATTGACTTAGAGCCACTTCCTTGAGGTTATTGAAGACATGGTGTGTGTGTGTGTGTGTGTGTGTGTGTGTGTGTGTGTCTTTTAAAAGTTAGAAAATATTTTTGAATTCTCAATTCAAGCTCCGCCACCCCCATTCCTAAGTCTCTCAGCTTTCTCCTCTCATGAGACATAATGGGTAAGTGCTATAATCTCTTTAAGTTATAATTTAGTAAAATAGCTGAATGATTTATGGTACCTTAATTTTAGTTCTTTTTGTATTTTTGAGTAAATGTCTTTTTAAAGAAACATTTGAGGGGTAGGAAAGGCTTTTATCCACATATAGGCAAATGTTATTGGGCTCAAATATTATTTGTCCTCTAAAATGATCGTATTTTAACATGTTGAGGTACATTTTGAAAAGAATAATATTTTATATCTGGTTTGCTTTTCAAGGGTCCAATAAAGGTTTATTTAATTTTTAGGCATGAACAAAAGAGGAGAGCCAAAATTCAGAAGCTTAAATATTTTATTAAAATATTATACAACAATAAACAAGTTTCTTGCACTTCAGTATCTCCCCTACAGTTTGATTTTAAAGTCATGTTTCAACAAATTTTCAATATTCAGTTAATATATTGGCCTGAAACAATTTGCTTGGAGGTATGCCGTTGTCATTTAATTTTGTATCTTATTTTATGACATACATAATTTTAAATTTCTTGTTAGCTACTGTTATATGTGATAAGTAAGTTCTTTTATATTGAGATGACTGATCTATATGGATAGACATTTATAAATAATATATTTATAATTCATCAATAGTCTTTTATTAATAGCTGTAAGTACAAAATTATTTGATTTGTAGTTGTTCTAAATACTTCTATCCTGCTAAAATTCTTGCCAACCCTAGATGTGCAGCATTATTATTCATTTGTTAGTGAGGTGGAAGAGGGTTGTTTAAACTATGAGTAGTATAGCTATTGTAAGTGTTGAATGATTTCTCCAAATTGCCCCAACCTTAACTTGGTGATATCAGTCTCTTGATATATTTGTTCATTTTTTAAAAAAAGTTTGGATCCCTTTAAGAATCTGATGAAAGAACACACATACAGCAGACCCCTGATTTCCTGCCCAAACACCCCACCATAAGAATCCCTTCACTAAAAGAAGAAGAAAATAGGATGATGGAGAAAAATTAGAGACAGTAAAGGAGTTTAGACAAGAAGTCTTGCTGGTTAATATAAGGGTTAAACTTGTACCTAGAGCTGAAAGAAAAGTTAGGAGGGAATAAAGATTTGTTAACTAATGAGAACCCGCTGTATAGCACAGAGAACTCCACTTCACTGTACAGTAGAAACTAACACAACGTTGTAAAACAACTATACCCCAACAAAAAAATAAAATAAATAAAAGTAAAAATAAAAAGATTTGTGTATGTGAGTGTGGGGTGGAGTTTGAGGTGTGGGGAGAAGATTATTATTACAAATCTAAATCAAAGTTATTTTTCAATGCCTAAAATAATTTTGTGCTATCCCTGATCAAAAGCTGTATTCATTTTGTTCATCTGAGCTGTCAAGTTACTTTCATCTTAAAATGTACCTCTGTTGAAATTTTTATTTAAAAAATATACTGACTACACTTTCCTACTATTGTACCTAAAATAAATTGTGATATAATAATCCAACCACTTGAAGTTTAAAATCTGCCCCCTCCCAAAATAGATAAGTGTGTATTTTGAATCCCTCATCATCCCATGAATTAGCACATGATCTTAACAAAACAAGAGGCAGGGAAAGAAAGGAATCTATCTAGGGATAAGTTGTACCATTAGCAGTGCAAAACTTGCTAAATAAATCTATATGCCCTAGACTAACATTCTAACCTACATTTATAATTTTCTTCCTACTATTCTTCTTTACTCTTTCTTCACTTCAGCCAAACTGAACTGCTTGTTTTTTCCATACATTCTTGCAACTTCCTACTTAGAGTTTTGAATATTCTACTTTCTCCACTTATAATGCCTATTTTCATTCTTCACACTCCATCTCAGCCACACAGTGGTGTTGATAGCTTCCATTAGGAGACAAGTCTGTCTCTGGGGAGATTCCAGGTAGAATTCGCTACCTTTACATTTGCTACCATCCAGGATCTGGCCTCCAGCTCTGCAGTCTCAGAAACTGGATTTAACAGTTCCATGAGAATGCATCTACATACCCTAAATAAATTTACAAGGACGATGTGTAAAATCAGATTACGAATTCAATATCTGAATATATTTATCAGTTCGTTGTCTCTTTTTAGTCAATTTACTAATTTACAGTAAGAAAATTTTTTCACAGACCTAAATACTTTAAGTCCATTAGCTATAACCCCTACAAACATTTCTGTATTAGGGAGGCCTTTGTCAAAGGGACCGATGTGTTGGGTTAAATTCACTCTTACAGGGACAGTATTTAGATGACCAGAAAAAATTTGCCTCTTTGTCTTTCCTTTTCCCCTGCTTTCTTGGTTAATCAACTATCCTTTTGATTGGTACATTCTTTTTTATCTTTCACGGGGCATTTACCACCCCCCACTGTCCATTTCCTTCTTCTTAGAACACATATCACTGTTTCCCCAAACACTGATAACACAGTATAAGTCAAAATAAGATTTTTCTGTTGAAAAAACTTTAGGTTTGTAGTTATGGCAGTGATGGAACTATAGTAGAAAGCACAGCATACAGAATCAGAAGACCTGGGTTAGTACCCAGTGGACATCTATGGAACAGTCTACCCAGCACCTCCCTGACTCATTCTGGGACTTTTCCTCCCTTCCCTGCCCCATAGCTTGTTTAACCTGTCCTTGGATTCCATGAGCCAGCACATCTCCCCTTTTCTTAAGCACTTCACCTGGGTTTCTATCACTTTTAATAAAAATTAATATAGTTTCATATAGAGACTCCATTTCTTCATTTACAAAGTGGGAAGAATAATACCTATTTCCTATAATTTTTATCAGGTTTAAATGAGATAAAGAATTTTAAAAGTGCTACACAAAAGTGAGTTATTCGGGTATTGTGTTATAGGTAATATATTCACGGAACTGTATTTGTAATCCTTTTATTCAATTGATTTTCTTTGAAACCAGTAAAAGGCATTATACTTTTAAACACCTAGGATTATCTACTTTTCTCACAATCATGTGGATCAAATGCTATAGAGCAATACCTATTTTACATTCTAGTATTTTTAAAAGAATTATGTTAGTGATGATCTTTATTTTAGTTCTTTTTCTATTTTGTACTTTCAGTGATTTATCAACCATTTCTTTTATATTTAGGTTTATGAAATAAGTAAAAGGACAAGCTTATTGGCAAAACTACATTTACCCTTACCTAAAAACACAGAGCTAAAAAGCAAAACTGTTTTGGAATATGTAGAATTTAGCTCTGATCAGCTGGTCATACCTGCATATGGAGAAGTAGGAAGCAGTAAGTTTATTAGAAATGTTTCTTCCCTCCTATTTTCTTCATGAGTTCTATATCCTAAATGACCCTGGGTCATTTATATGAATAAAGAATCCTATATTTACAGTATTAGGTTAAAAATGAATTAAGTTCTTCTTCCAGACATTAAACTAATTTTTAAAACTTTGACTTGAATCAGATCTTTGGGATATCTAAAATTCGGGATTAGCCCCTTTGCTTTTCCCGGGACATCTGAGACAAGGGCGCTATGCTCTCTGGAACGTGAGCTCCACTCCTGAATGCGTAGGCTGCTCTGCCTCTGCCTATCCTTTAGTAAATCTTAAAGATGCTCCAGGACAGGTTGATTCATCTTTGAACTGAATAGGGGAGGGAGGAAGAGAAAGAGAGAGAAAGGAAGTGGTAAAGGAGAGAGGAAAGAAGAAGTGATGTTTTTGTTTATTGTTGTTCAATTGATTTTACTGCTCCTGCAATTAAATTTAAGTTAGCATGTCTGCCAGAATGCTGTCATTTCTCTTCTCCCCCAGCTCCCTTCTCTTTCACCTTCCTAGGGGTTTTGCAGTTGCTGCATCCAGCTGGTAAAAAGAAAGGGAGTATGAATGAGTGAGCAAGGAGGAGAGAGAAGAAAACAAATAGGCAAAGGAACCAGGGGAGAACAGAAAATGAGGGAGGAATGTAGTCTGCTTAGACAGAGTCCAGATGAAGCAGAAAATAGGGTTGTGGAGACCCAGCAGAAAAGACTTAAGAGTGAAAATTTTAGGGAGCACTAGGAACTTGGCAGAAGTTTCAAGGAGTATCGTTAAGCTCTCTGAAGACAGAAGGAAGATGAGGAGAGGGGGAACGCTCAAGAATGTAGGAAAGGAGACGCACAGTAGCTCTTTTTCTGCTGCCAATATTTTTTTCTTGCTGGCAGCCACTCCCAGAAAGAATGGGTTAAAAACTTCTGTGTCCAGATAAATGTGTTCCTCTCTCTTTTGTAGTCTGTTTGAAGCAGTCTACCTTGAGGGATCTTAGATGTGAGGTGAGGGAGAGCTCTAAGATTAGAGCCTATGGTCGACATAAACTTTGTGTTCCTGAGGTTCCACAAGTAAAAGTCTGGAAAAAAACTGTAATGTGCTCAGATATTCATTTGTTTTTAATGCCTTTTATAAATAGATGTGCCCTTTCTTCTTGAGGGAAACGGAACTGAAGAACTTTGTCTTTTGACTTCAGGAAAACTAAGCTATTCTCTCTCATGGGCCTTAGATGAAAATGGTGTTCCTCTGACACCTATGTCACAGTCATTAAGATCTGCTTACTGCAGGTAATAAATGTTTATGCTTGAAAAATAATGCCAGTCCTCAGCAAAGCATCTCACAAGACCTACAAAAGGGAAAACTCTAGAAACAGTTTAGTTTACTTGGATGTTGCTTTATTTTTTATTTGCATTTATAAATATGTAAAATATTTATATATTTTATTTATAATCACTCTACTAAGACAATAAGTATCTTTGTATGTAAGAGAATGTATCTCTTCAATGCTTAGGATTAGAGCCACGTGGATGATGAGAGAGGCAGTTCCACAGTCCTTAAACTGTAGGCAAAGGCCAAGACTCCGAAGGATTTTACTTCTGGGACCTTTATATCTCCCAGTCGTTCTGGATTATGAAAGAATCATTTTTTGCATTATCAATTTGCTGGAAGAAATTGCTGGACATAGAAATTTCATCTATATCCCAGGACTTCCTAGAGGAATTGGGATTAACTGTTAGACCACATCCACAAACAGGATTACTAGAAGTAAAGTAAAATTCTATAAAAACGATGATAATGCTGGCTTACCTATTGTGCTATGTTTGAGTAAGACGGTATATATAAAGGACCAAAGATCCCATCATTTAAAAATTAGTGAATGATGATAACAAGAAGATAGCCTTTACCCTCCCCATCTAAACACATATTTTTTAAAAAACCATGGCTATATCCAACTATGTGACATTATGGGAAAGGCAGAACTATGGAGACAGTAAAAAATGTGAGTGGTTGCCAGGGGTTAGGAAGAGAGAGGGATGAACAGGCAGAGCACACAGGATTTTTAGGGCAGTGAAACTACTCTGTATGATACTATAATTGTGGATACATGTCATTACATATTTGCCAAAATCCATATAATGTAAGACACCAAGAGTAAATCCTAATGTAAATCATGGACTTTGAGTGATAATGATGGGTCAACATAGGTTCATGGATTATAACAAGTGCAATTCTTTTATTGCAACAGACATAATAAATTATAACCCTGGTGCAGGATGTTGATAGTGAGGTAGGCTGTGCAGGGTGTTTTAGGAGAAAAATGGACAATTAATAAGGGTAATTCATTTTGGAACTAGTGAATAAGCTTTTAATACGCTGAACCATTATTTTCTTGTGTTTCTTAGTATTTCCCTGGCACAGTCCCCACTGCAGCTATTTTTAATCTTTGCCTCATCATACTATTCTTTGCCTTTTTCTTGGAGTCAGGTGTTTGTTCTCCTCACTCTAAAGCTAGCTTTTATCCAAGTAATTTGGAACTTTCCTTCGTCTCCATTAGGATTCTGCTGACATATTTATATCCTTTTCTTATCTTTTCTTCAACTTTTCCATTTCCTACGCTATAAGTCTTTTGTATCCAAGAAGCTTTCTGTGCTTTGAAACAAAGAAAAATCCAAGCGTTTGATTAAACCCTGAAAACTCTTTCTGGTGGTTTTTCTCGCCCAAGTCCTCATATGGGTGGTCTACTGGTCTGCATACATTGCCTCTACTTTTAATTCACACATTTCGTCCTTAACCCAACTCAGTTATTCCTGAAGGCTACCAGGGACCTTCTGGACATATTCATTGGCCTGTCCTCCTCGTTTTGCTTCTTGAAGTCTCTTGTCTCATGGCTTCTGTGATGCTGCACTTAACAGTTCCTGTTAGTTGGGAACTCAAGTTTCTAAAAGATTGAGAGTAATTCTGCAAGATTGGAACAGATGACAGGTTTCAACAGGGAATGAATTGCAGGAGAGGTTTTCAAAGTTCAAAGTACTTTCTAAAGTGAACTAGAAGTAAAACTTTACAGTTGGGGCCTGTGAGATCAGAGAAGGAAGTTACAGAACTCTCCTCCTCTACAGTTGTGGGAGCCCAAGGACTGGTGAGGAGCTGTGGTTCTAGGAACGGGATGGGTGCTCCAAAAGGCAAGATTGACTTGTGAGAGTCAGAGCATGGAGCCAAAGGAGAGCACAAAGAAAGTATGTTCATTCACTGTTTCACTCACTCATTCATTCATTTATTCATCAACTACTGACAGAGCCAGAGACAAAGAAGTGAACGAAAAGAAGATCTTAGAATGCTTCAGTATAACATTAGGCACACCTCTCCAATCCCATGTTGTCTAGAGTTTTTGTTTAATACATTTTTAAAACATAAAACAGTTTTTCTCACACTCACTAGTTAATTATTTTCTGATGTGGTTAATTGACTTTTATGTTTGCCTTCATTTCTTACCTCCCACGACTTTCATTCTGGATTTACTTGCTGAAAGTTGCTCCTTTAATGATTCAGTTTTCATGGCTAGCAAGCTTGTTTAGTCTTTGTAGATCTGAAAATGTATTTATATTTTCCTCCTTCTTGAATAATTGTTTAGATGGGCATAAAATTTGAGGCTGATATTTACTTTCCCTATTTGAAGCTATAGTTACATTATCTTCTGGGATTTATCATAGCTGTTTAAAAGTCTGCCATCAGTCTAAACATTAGTATTTTGTAGACTGTCTTTTCTCCCTGGTAACTTTAAAATTTTTTGCTTAATTCATAGAGACAAAGCCAGGGGCTGAGGGGAGGGAGGAATGGAGAGTTATTGTTTAACGGTACAGAATTTCTGTTTGGAATGATGAAAAATTCTGGAAGTACATAGTTATGGTGGTTGTACAACTGTGGGTATACTTAATATCACTGAATTATATTACTTGCTTAGCATTTGGTTGTGAAGGAGGGGGTGCAGATGACTGAGGAATTTCGCCGTAGCCCACAGCTAAACACCTGTAGGGCCAGCTGGGGGAATCAATATAGCAAGGGCAGGAAATGTTCTGTGGTCTTTATTACTTCCCCTGAGGCAGAAATCTGGAGACTACCTTGAAATACAATTACAACCTAAATTTTTTAGGCTATAATGGGATAAGTTTCTCTCCCTAATCTATTCTTTGACATTTAAACTGTACCTCAGCCTTTGTTCTCTAGGGGACCTGGGCTAAGAATCTTCCCGTGAGAAGGAAAATTTGTTACATGATGGTGTTAAGGGTGTCAGGCCCTAGATATCTCTTATGACAAAGACCTTAAAACAGTTAAATATGAGAGCAGACATAGGAATTAAAGAAAGGAAGAATACTCAAACTTTATCTGTTTGTAATTTTGCTTAACATCCTATCATACCATACATTGGCTTTGTTAGCAATAGCTTCCAAAGATTCATCCTAAAAATATGAATAGATACTGATGGAAAGTAGACAGTGTAAAATGTATGTCCATGTTTGGGTTGACATTATTGAATCTGAGTCAGAACTGTATTTCTGGAATCCTAGTTTATGGACTGGAATTTTTCTTGAGTACTTTACAGAAAGGATCTTAGAAATCTTCTAGTCCAAATTGCTCTAATTCTACATGATGAAACAAATTATCTGTGAAGAGAGAGATTAAATAACTGGGATAATTGATGGCTGAAAATAAACCCTTACTGTTTAGGGTTGAATTCCTTCTTCACTTAGCCTATAGTTGAGGTCACTAAGGATGCATTATGAGTCTAGCCCATCTTTTATAGCTCTCTTAACCTCTGAAGATGGCCTCACATGACCAAAGATATTCTTCTGGCCCTTACTTCCCAGTTAATTGTATTACATACTCTATATTATGTTTCAACTGTAAAGATATAGCCTAAAGATTCTTTTTATATTGTGGACTTTAGATAGCAAAGATGAATATTTACAGACTTTACCCTTAAGAAGCTTACTTGTCTCTTAAGGGAGGGGTAGACATTTATCAAAAAGCTATGATACACAGCTAGGTGGTTTGTGACCACCTAGAGGGGTGGGATAGGGAGGGTGGGAGGCAGGGAGATGCAAGAGGGAAGAGATATGGCAACATATGTATATGTATAACTGATTCACTTTGTTATAAAGCAGAAACTAACACACCATTGTAAAGCAATTATACTCCAATAAAGATGTTAAAAAAAAAAAAAGCTATGATATAGTTAGAAAGTGAGAAGAACCAGGAAAGATATCACATCTAAACCTTCTATTTTATCCTTAAACACAGGATAAGCTTTATCTTTAAATACCTGGGATGGGTAGGTTTTACCCCATATAACAGATTTATCACCTGCATATTATATAGAAGTTCACAAAATATTTTCCTTTATGTTAGTGTGTTTAGGGATGTAGATGCAAGAGGTGTTCCTGGAATTCCATGGCTAATTAATGCACAGAAGCTTTTTGAATGGGCAAATGAGGTCAGAATTGACCCAAATAATCCAGAATATTCTGATTTAATGGAATTTGTTATGGTAAGTTATAGCAAATATCTGTACTGTAAATATATTTTATTTCTTAAGCTCTACACTCATACTCCTCCACAGTTTGCAGTGTATTTTTCTAGGCATTAGGAGGCATTAAAAGTAAATCTGAGGACAGATAGAGTTTTCAGACAGTTTATAGTATTGTAAGGCAGTTAGAAATTCAGCAACTGAAATAATTACTACCTTAGGCCTGATGACTGGTACTCTGCCACTATTTAGCAGCCCTTGCCTGGTGCATCTTGCATCCAGGCTGACATCTATTGTACATCTACTGAATGCCCGCCATATTATTAAATGCTGAGGATTTTAAAGATGATTTATAGACACACTCCTTCCCTCAAAGACTCTATTATCTATTCACTTCTACTCCTCCTTACAGCCAACTGAACTGCTGTGTGTGCTCCAACAGGCTTTCTTCATACCTTTATTCATGTCGTTCCCTCTGTTTAGAAGCGCACCTATAGCAGCTGTCTTACCCACCCTGCAAGTCTGGGTAAATCCTTCCTTGGCAACCTCAGTTAGATATGGGCTTTTCTTCCCTTGCCGTCCTGTTAACTTTTTTTCTTTTTATAAACTCTTATGGCTCTAATACCATTCTGCCTTTTACCTTAGTTATTTGTTCATGTGCTTTATCTTTCCTTGTGGAACTACAACTAGTAAATCTTTGTCTCTCTTATGGCAGCTAGCACTTTTCCTTGCATGTACCATGTACTCACATTTACATTTATTGAATAAAGCAGTGCATGCATAGATTATTGCAATTAAGTTTCTTCAGATCAGAGCTTCTCAACTGATGTGCTGAATTGATTACATGTGTATGGAAATATTGAGCCTCTGTCGACTCATAGGGCAACCAGACACAAAAACTCTCATCTTTTAACCCGCTGTGCAGTACACATGTTTTCATTTTCTGTATAAATCATGACCAGGAAAAGGCTGAGAAACTGTATAGGCCGGATTCCGCATTTTTTTTTTTTCAGATTTTCTGTACAGATTCAGTTGCTCCATTTCCTATTTCTATTGCAACTCTCATATCTCACAGTTAGGGGGAAAAACTGTTTTGAAATAATTCTTGAATTTCAAAAAATTAATATTTTAAGTAAAGACTTTACATTATTTGTGTTTTATAGTACATGAAACATAAAGAACAGGATATTCCAAAGTATTTTCGTCTCAGACAGTTGCAAGATGAATTTAACTTTGTTTCTGAAGAGGAAATGAAAAAGAGTAAACGTTTCCAGCTATTGCAACTTAGAAATGCAGGTCAATTAGATGTTTTCCTTCTGCCGCAAATGCCTCTCTATGACAGAGAGATTCCAGATTTACTCTTCCAGGTACTTGGTTTCTATTTGAATATAGTTTATTCTATGATAAGTTAACGTTTTGCTGCTTTAAATCTATCTTAATTTTTTTTTAAACTGATAATCTGTAGACAACAATTTTCCCCTCTTAAATTTTTTTTAATTGAAGTATAGTTGATGAACAATATTTATATAAGTTTTACAGGTGTACAATATAGTGATTCACAACTTTTAAAGGTTATACTCCATTTATAGTTATTTATAAAATATTGGCTATATTCCCTGTGTTGTACAACATATCCTTGTAGCTTATTTTATATATGATGGTTTGTACCTCTTAATCTTCTACCCCTGTATTGCCCTTCCCCACTTCCCTCTCCCCACTTGTAACCGCTAGTTTGTTCTTTATATCTGTGAGTCTCTTTTTTGTTGTTGTTATATTCAGTTGTTTGAAACAATATGTTTTGTTGGACATATTAGGCAACATGTTGGACATAGATAGGCAACAGTCATGTCCATGTTGATAATACTTTCTCTTTCACAATTAAGTCGAGCTTGTTTCATGGGAATTTTTCTTTCTTGATTTTTTTGGGATCCCCTTTTCTTTAGGCATTAAAAACGTATAGCTCTCCCAAATTTCAGAAAGTCCTTAGCTTAACTTTGCAACTTAGTTGTCCCAACAACCTATTTCACAGCCAGACTCTTTTAAGTATATTATAAATTTATGTAAATATTGTGGGTTTTATTGTAAAATGTATCACCAATTTAATAGCAACTTTGGGGGATAATGGAGAGAAACACTACCACATTAAACTTACACTTGATTATAAAGCACATCTCAATTTCAGAAACTTTAAAATGTGGGGAAAAAAGAAAGAAAGAAAAGTTCATCTTATGCTGTGTAGTGATGGCACGCTGGAGCCTGCTGGGTGCATCTCTTCCCCGCTCCTCCTTCAGTGATTTCATGTTGGTTGCTTTAAATGTATTGCTGGGAGAATGTCTACACCATAAACCAACAAATGCTGCAAATTGGGGCTTCCCCTCCCACTCCCAGAGAACTGTCTGTTAAACATTTACCAGCACTCCACTAGGCTTAAAAGAATGGAATTATAAGAGCTAATTCCTGTAGAAAAAAACAATTGTACTAATCCTAACACTTGTGCTTGCAAAGAGATGGTTAAAGAAGGAAGAAACCAATGTTCCATCTCTGAAGAAAATGCCTGTGTAGTAGAATTACCACTGTAGGGTGATGTCAGCCAACTTAAAGATAGCAGATGCTGATGAAGGATATTGAGGTTTATACATCTTATGGGTCAGAAAGAGTGAATGCCTTATACTAAAATTGGTTATAACAGGTTTATTAACTTTGGTGAATTATTATCAATTGATAAAAAACGGATAAACTTTTTGATATTTGATTTCATTCGATTCTGGACTGAAGGGAAATAGCAGCAAGCCACTTAATATTAAAAATAGTAAAAGTTACTTATAAAAAAGTTTATGTTTTTTTCTTGTTGTTGCCACTCAGCCATCCTTTAGCTGTTATACCCTAACATAGAGGAGACACAAACAAAACTATACAGGACTCATTACATTTAAAACTCAAGTAATAGTGGGAAGACACTCATGGCTGAACCAAGTGGATTGTCTGAGAATCTCTTTTGGTGTGGCTCAGAGGTGAAAGAGGAAATGCAAGTCAATGATTTTTCAATGATAATATCATGGCACCACCAGTTAGCACATATGACTATAATAGTCATAGGATTTGCAGATTATTCATTATTTTCACAAACATGGGTGAGTAGAAATATATGTATTCACAAACAGACCAATTGATATTTGGCTTTGGAAAGCATTGCTCAACTTTTAATTGTGATTCATCTGTTTTGAGACCTTAGGAATTTCAGTTAGTAAACTGCAGTGGGAAGCCCTTGGCTTAGAATGGCTGAAAAGTTATTCAGTTTCCTCCTGCTTCTCTCAATGATTGAATTCAATTCTACAGTTACGTAAACTACTGTGGGCAAAGCACAGTGCTCAGCATAATTGAGGATATAACTTCATAAAAAAGGAAGAATTTAAGCTTCTGAAACTAGGGGCTTTGCTGACTTTCCTTATCTTATACAAAGTATTGAGAGAACACAAAAAGAGGGAAAGCAACCCAACTCATTTTCTGAGGTTGATGACCTTCATGCCAAAATTGGGCAAAGAAAGCAAAACATGATCATTTTAGGTCAATTTCACTTATGAGCATAGATGTGCAATTCCTAATAAAATTTTAACAAATCAAAAAGCAATATATTATGTATAAATATATAATTATACACCATAATCTAGTAGGGTTTATTTCCAGATAACAGAGCTAAGCTAATCTAATTAAGGAATCTATTAATATAATTTACCACATTAACAGAGTTAAGGAAGGAAAAAATATGCTCCTTTTAAATGCCCAAGGGAGTTCCCTGGTGGTCCAATGGTTAAAATTTCGCCTTCCAATGCAGGGGGTGCGGGTTCCATCCCTGGTCGGGGAGCTAAGATCCCACATGCCCGGAGACATCTTCAGCCTGTCCCCCTCCTCCTCCTCTTCCCTCCCTCTTACTCCCCCCTCTCCTCCCCCTTGTCCTCCTCCTCTAATTTGTTTACAAGAACTATGAGGAATAAAGGAACAAGTTAAATGACACCACAAAGAAACAATCAGACAAATTTGGAATGTGGGCCAACTGGCTAGCAAGTACAACTGTTTCTCTCTGTTGCATTTTCATCTCTTTAAAAAGTCATCATTCTTAGACCTAAATAGACATTTCTTCAAAGACATACAGATGGCCAACAGGCACATGAAAAGATGCTCAATATTGCTAATTATTAGAAAAACGCAAATCAGAACTACAGTGAGGCACCTCCTCACACTAGTCAGAATGGGCATCATCAAAAAGTCTACAAATTAAATAAATGCTGGAGAGGGTGTGGAGAAAAGGGAACCCTCCTACACTGTTGGTGGGAATGTAAATTGGTGTAGTCACTATGGAGAACAGTATGGAGGTTCTTTAAAAACTAAAAATAGAGTTACCATGTGATCCAGCAATCTCACTCCTGGGCATACATCCAGAGAAAACTCTAATTCGAAAAGATACATGCACCCCAATGTTCATAGCAGCACCATTTACAATAGCCAAGATGTGGAAGCAGCTTGAGTGTACATTGAGAGATGAATGGATAAAAAAGATGTGGTATATGTATACAATGGAATATTACTCAGCCATAAAAAGAATGAAATAATGCCATTTACAGCAACATGGTTGGACCTAGAGATTATTATACTAAGTGAAGTAAGTCAGAAAGAGAAAAACAAATACCGTATGATATCACCTTCAATTTAGGAAATGCATTACAAAGTCTTAAAAAGAGAGCTGTGCAATTATGTGCTCATACACATACGTCCCTTGATGGTATTAGGTTTGCTAGGAATTTCCAGGCTGGAATCAGTAGCAATTTTCTAGAATTTTGTAAAGCCATCATTTGGCTGTCTCATGTAAAGCTTGTTCTCAATAAAATAAGATGAAAGAAAAAAATATCATATGATACCACTTATATGTGGAATGTAAGAAAATGATACAAATGAACTTATTTAGAAAACAGAAACAGACTCATAGACATAGAAAACAAATTTATGATTACCAAAAGGGAAAGGGGGTGGGGGAGGGATAAATTAGGAGTTTGGGCTTAGCAGATACAAACTACTATATATAGAATAAATAAACAACAAGGGCGTACTCTATAGCACAGTGAACTTTATCCATATCTTGTAATAACCTATAATGGGAAAAAAAATCTGAAAAGAATATATATATGGAGATATACAATATATATATAGTGAAAAAACAGCAATTGGTGAAAAAACAGCAGTTGGTGAAATTTAGATATTGGACTATTATGTAATATTGATAATTGAATAGTAGATACATTGGAAAATTGTTAGTTTTGTTGTCTGTGATTATGGCACTGTGGTTGTGTCCTTAGTTTTTGGAGATTCATGATGATGTATTTATTTAGGAATGAAGTGTCATGGTGTCTGTAATTTGTACTTTGAGATATTTAGCCAAAAAAAAGAAAACAAAAGCAACAGATTAAGCAAATATGGCAAAATATTAATTACTTAATCTAAAGGGTAGGTACATAGATTTTAACATTCTTTCTAATTTTCTGTATGTTTGAAAAACTTGAGGAAAAATTAAAAACAAAAAATAAATAGCATTCTATACACCAACAAAAACCCACTAAAAATGTAACTTAACAAAGATACACCCTACAGTAGCAATAAAAACTCTTAGAGTCATAGGAATATATTGAACAAAACATGTACAAAAACTTGATGGAGAAAATTATAAAACATTTTTGAACGGTGTAAAATTAGATTCAGACCTCACAAAAGAAATAAATACTATGTGTAATGAAGATTACACATGAAATGCAAAACTTTAAATGTATATCTTAATCTTGGGCAGGAAAGTATTTCCTAAAACACAAAAAGTATAAATTATAAAGAAATAGATTAGTAAACTTGATAATATTAAAGTTTAAACCCCACAGATTAGGAAAAGATATTTTCAAATTATATATTAATTAATAAAAATTAGTATCCAGAGTATTTAAGTAACTCCTATAAATTAATACTTTTAAAATAAATAAAGTGATATGAAATAGTAATATAATATATCCCTAGGTAAAATGTTACTTGTCAACAGGATTAATTTCAAGATTTCTTGTGGATAATTAGAAAAACAAATAAATTACTTTCAGATAATTTATCTACTTAAGGTAAGAGATACTTCATAATTTTTGTGTCATCTTTAATGCTTTCTATAATGTAAAATGATTTCAGTGTGCAGTTAGGAACGTATCCCACAAATGCAGCTATAACAGATGCAATTTATTCTAAATTATATAGATGAAGCATCCTGACAAATAATCTTAGACCCACTGCTGGATGTTAAGTTAAAGTTATTGATTATGGCCAGCATATTTTGACTACTTACTGTATGCCATGCACTTTATAGATATTGTTTCAGTTAGATCTCACAGCAATCCTGTGACATATTAATAACAGTAATATTATAATTATTACAAAAGAGGAAACTGAGGTCTGCAGTAGTTAATCATCTTTTTCCCAAACCACAAAGTTAATAAATGGCAGGGCCAACTTGAATCCAGGACTATGGCCTCCAAAGCCCACTCTCTTGACCCTTATACTCTACCACTTTCCATTTCTTTTGTTTCTAGTGATTACCAGGTAAATGCATGCATGAAGAATTGTTCTCAGTCGTCTTTACATTTTCTTATAATTTTCTCAATTGCAAATTTTTTCTCAATCATTACTCAGTTTTAAAAGATGAATGGACCTCCTCCTAGAAGCAAACAAAATATGTGTTCTTAGCTAATTCTCATTGGGAGAATCTAAAAGAAGTATTCTCTCCTCTCAATTCCAGAGTGTTGCCAATATCTCCTACACATGAACTGAAATGAATAGTTAATATTTTATTGCAGTGTATCATATCTAAACTCTGTTACATTCAAGAAGTGAAACTAATTTAATTCTCTGTTTATAGGAATATGAAAGTCAGATAGAGAAGGATATGTCCATTTCAGATATGAATTCTATTACCGCACAAAGGATTAATTCTGCCAATTTTCTGAAAAAGGTAACAACAACAAAATAGTTTTATCAATATGTTTGAATTTACTTTTGTGAAAACTGGTCTCCTGGATGCACAGTACTATACTCTTCCCAGAGAGTCAGATGGACAGACTTGCTTACTCATCACCTCTTTCTGATCACTGAGAGGTTTTCTGTTCTATTCAGACTTCCTTTTCAGAGTTAGTTACTGACCATCTGTAAAAGTACACTGTTGATGTACATTGTTGATGCAGCAGTTACTTCAATTGACAGCAAACTCATTATTAAAGCATATCCCACTGTTTCCATTTACAAATGAACGTTAAAGACTTCCCATCTCTTTTTGACCCTAAAAGTTCATTTTGGGAAGTATGCCAGCATTTTGCCAGAATCCCTAGTTTTATTAATAACTCATAATGCCGTACACCAGAGCAGTTCACGGGACAAAGGGAGGAGCCACTAGGAGACAGAACACCGTAACAAAGCCTAAACCAGGTTTGAGGTGGAATCCCTCACTGAATTTCACCCCTGATTTCTTTCCACTGACCCCTCATCGCTCCAGTGACTATATGTATCGATCCATCATGCCCAGCACAGTGCTCTTCACTCAGAAAATGTTGAGAAACGCTTGAACAATTAATGAAGTAAGGGATAAAATTGCAGGCTGAGGAGGTTTCTAAGACTTCTGCAAGAGTAGAATCTATAGGCTTTGCTACAGGGCACCAGAGCAGCCTTTTAGGGTAACTTGAAAAGAAGCAGAGAGCCATGGGAAGATCTAAGAGGTACATACAATTCCCTCGTGGAGACAGGAGAGAAGCAACCTTGTGTGACTAGAAAAGCCCTAGACAGGTGTGTGAAGACCTGTTCTGACCATCCTGTTTGTCTTTGGGCAGGTAATCTATGCACTGAGTCCTGCCTTATTGTTCTATAAAAACAGACAATAAAAATGCCTGCCTTGCTTTACTTCTGAAGTAAGGGGCAAATAAGATAGAACCTCAAGTTCTATGCTAGTTTGTACTCTGTTCCTATGGAAGTGTGGTGGAAATGCAGACCACTATAGCTATTGTAGCCTGAAAGAGCACCTCCTCTTTATTGCTGGCAGATGTTTTTTTCCACTCACTCTTGCCCCTCCTACACCTTCTTCATTAGCTTCATATATATTTTTTTAAGTTGAGATGTGATTTAATAATGATATTTGCGTCTTAGGAAATAAAGAGGTGTTCTTACTCATAAGAAAAGAGAGGGCTTCCCTGGTGGCGCAGTGGTTGAGAGTCCGCCTGCCGATGCAGGGGACACGGGTTCGTGCCCCGGTCCGGGAGGATCCCACATGCCGCTGAGCGGCTGGGCCCGTGAGCCGTGGTCGCTGAGCCTGCGCATCTGGAGCCTGTGTTCCGCAACGGGAGAGGCCACAACAGTGAGAGGCCCGCGTACCACAAAAAAAAAAAAAAAAGGAAAGAGAATACATATCCTTCTTATGCCTTCTCTTTTTTTGGTGTATGAGGAAGCCCAGAAGGGAGGGCAGCAAAAGATCAGGAATGTGGTAAGAGAGCAAGTGTCTGAGGATTCTTGCCTTCATATAGGAATCCTGGGAAGGAGCTTTAAGAACATTGTGTGATTGGGTTTCACCTCCTTGTGAAGACTTCTTTGCTATCTCAGGATAGTTTAAAACTACAAGTTTAAGGGATAATTACTTTAATTACAGGTACTGGAATCCTGCTTTGACACTGGAGGCCTAATAGGGCCATGGTGTCTAAATCCTGCTGCGGGAGGGACTGTGAGTTACATGCATTACACTTCCTGCTGTGTTACTGGGGTCAGTGGTGGCTGAGGCCGGGATTGGAGCAGTAAAGTCCCGGCAGTCTCAAGGATTGCTAGATAAAGTTTTGCTGAAATATTTGCATCTAAGAGGCCAGTGCTTCTCCGCAACCTGTCCCTTTCATTAATTTACTCAATAAATACTTATTGGACACCTGCTATGAATCAGTCATTATACTAGACATTGGAATTACAGCAGTAAACAAAATAGATTAAAATTCCTGGCCTCCTAGAGGAGGTCGTTCTGGTGGGGGAAGTCAGATAATGAACAGAACATTAGTATGTTAGAAAGTGATATGTGCCATGACAAGTGAAGTAGGAAGAGAGGACAGGAGTGTGTATGGGGGTTGGGGGGGTCAGGTGTGATTTTAGATAAGGGAAAGCCTTCCTTAGATCAAGGAAAGCCCTCGAGATGCTAACGCTTCAGCAAAAGACCTGAAGTGAACTGAAGGAGCTAGCCATGGAGGTTTTTTGGGAGAAGAACATTCCAGGCTAATGGAACCACATGTGAAAACTGTGAGGAAGGAATATGCGTGGCCTTTGGGAGGAACGGCAAGGAGCTCAGTCTGTGTGATAGCAGGGGAGCAAGGGAGAGGGAGAGAGAAAGAGAGAAAGACAGAGAGAGAAAGCACAAGTGAGAAGGCTCAAGCACACTGATGGGGTCAGAGGGAGGAGGGCTGTGGTTCACCTTCAAAGGAAACAATTTGTTCCCCACATGGCAGGGTAATTCTTAGGAATTATAATTTCCCATTCTCCTATCACCCCATTTTCCTATCGAATTTAAGCAGATCATTAGGCTTTAGGTTACATTATCTTTGGGATGATTTGTGGCAGGACAGAAAGAAAATTGCCTCCAGACACACTTCTTCCTGGTTTCATTTCTAAAAGTCTAAACCTGTTGTGAAGCATGGGGTTAGGGGAGAAAGGGAGGGATTTCCTCAGACTAAAAAGAAGAATTTCAGAGTCCTTGGAGGAACCAAGGTTTGTGGGTTCTGCAAGGTGCAAGGGCTTAGGGGATTGGCTCTGTTCAAGCACTAAATATCTTACCAAGCTGACAGAATGAGAGCTTAAGGTCAGAATAGGATGGACTCAAAGGAAATACAGAAATGTGACCACATTTCCTTGTGAATCAAGATTTGTGTGTGTACAAGTGACTGTTGTAGAAACACATTCACAGGATAATCATCTCCTTTGGTGAAGATTCGTTCTGTCCACATATACTGAGAGTTAGGTGGAAAAAGAGATGAGAGGGACATTAATGAGAGCATTAGGAGTGATTTTAATAATGGTAGCAAACAGAACCATACTTTCACTTACCTAATTCCCCTTTCCATTTATTGGTTGAAAAAATTAGGAGTAAAAAATAGTGACACCAGTAGCATCGTATATACTTAATCTTAAAATATAAACTGTGCATTTCTTTAAATTCTAAAAATTTTTTTGTAGATGAGAAGGTCAATAATGAAAAGAATTGCCAAAGTTAGCAAATTTAACTTATCAGATATTGTGGCTGATTATGAAGAAATTGTATCTACAAGGTACATCTAAAATTATTATTATTTAAGTACAAAATATAAAGCTATAAGATAATACCTTCAGAGTCCTCTAATAAGTTCTGTATTTTTATATTAATTAAGTTAATGTCAAAATGCAATTACAAAGCATAAAATGAAATACAGTGACTTAATTTTTTTTGTCATTTTAAAATTGTATTTTGGACATAACTATATGATTTGTATTTTCAATTGTATAATATTTTAGATTTTAACCCTCTCCTTATTGATACTTTTTAGGGCAAGAAAGAAAAGAAAAGAAAAAAAGAAATACCTTTGTCCCAAATTAGTTTTGCCCTAAGATTTCCCTGTCCCGAGACTGCTACTGGAAGAGTCATTGCTGGTAGCACCACACACTAAGCCTGTAATCTCTCCCTTTCAAAACGGAATCCTCAGCCATATAAGGGCTCTGTGATCCACAGGCAGCAGTTGGGGGAGCCTTTGGCTGAAGTAGCTCAGTTCTCATACTGTCCTATCTGGGAAACTTAAGGGTGGGAGCAGGAATTAGGGATGCTGCGTTTGGGGAAACCGCCCTGGGGCCACTTGCAGATTCTTAGTATTAATAATAAGGTTTTAATTGGTGTAGGATGCTGAAGTCTATTGTTTTTGAGGGGGGTGTTCTATTCTAAAATATACCTTGAAGTAATTCTTTCATGGACACATTTTTTAAATGAAAACTTACTTTTAAAAAATTTTTACTGGGGTAGGGACTTCCCTGGTGGTGCAGTGGTTAAGAATCCGCCTGCCAATGCAGGGGACACAGGTTAGAGCCCTGGTCCGGGAAGATCCCACATGCCGCGGAGCAACTAAGCCCGGCTGCTACAACTACTGAGACCACACGCCACAGCTACTGAAGCCTGTGCGCCTAGGGCCTGTGCTCTGCAACAAGAGAAGCCACTGCAATGAGGAGCCCACGCACTGTAAGAAGAGTAGCCACTGCTCGCCGCAACTAGAGAAAGCCCATGTGCAGCAACGAAGACCCAGCACAGCCAAAAATAAATAAATTTTTAAAAATAAAATTTTTACTGGGGTAGAGTTGATTTACAATGTTGTGTTAGTTGCAGGTGTCCAGCAAAGGGAATCTGTTATACATATACATATGTCGACTCTTTTTTAGACTCTTTTCCCATATAGGCCATTACAGAGTGTTGAGTAGAGTTCTCTGTGCTATACAGTAGGTCCTTATTAGCTATCTATTTTGTATATAGTAGTGTGTGTGTGTCAATGATGAAAATTTATTTTTTTAAACTTTTTGTTTTTTATTGGAGTATAGTTGATTAACAATGTTGTGTTAGTTTCAGGTGTACAACAAAGTGATTCAGTTATACATATACATGTATCTATTCTTTTTCAAATTCTTTTCCCAGTCAGATTGTTACAGAATATTGAGCAAAAGTTCCCTGTGCTATACAATAGGTCCTTGTTGGTTATCCATTTTAAATATAGCAGTGTGTACATGTCAATCCCAAACTCCCTAACTATGCCTCCTCCCCTCCCTTCCCCCAGGTAACCATAAGTTCGTTCTCTAAGTCTGTGAGTCTGTTTCTGTTTTGTAAATAAGTTTATTTGTATCTTTTTTTTTAGATTCTGCATATAAGTGATATCATATGATAGTTCTATTTCTCTGTCTCACTTCACACAGTATGACAATCTCTGGGTCCATCCATGTTACTGCAATGGCATTATTTCATTCTTTTTAATGGCTAATATTCCATTGTATATATGTACCACATCTTCTTTAACCATTCTTCTGTCAGTGGATGTTTAGGTTGCTTCCATGTCTTGGCTATTGTAAACAGCACTGCAATGAACATTGGGATGAATGTATCCTTTTGGACCATGTTTTTCTCCAGGTGTATGCCCAGGAGTTGGGTTGCAGGTTTATATGGTAGCTCTATTTTTAGTTTCTTAAGGAACCTCCATACCATTCTCCATAGTGGCTGCACCAATTTACATTTCCACCAACAGTGTAAGAGGGTTCCCTTCTCTCCACACCCTCTCCAGCGTTTATTGCTTATGGATTTTTTGATGATAGCCATTCTGACTGGTGTGAGGTGATATCTCATTGAGGTTTTGATTTGCATTTCTCTAATAATTAGCAATATTGAACATCTTTTTTTTTAATTAATTTTTATTGGAGTATAGTTGCTTTACAATGTTGCGTTAGTTTCTACTGTACAGCAAAATGAATTGGCTATACATATACATATATCCCATCTTTTTTGGATTTCCTTCCCATTTAGGTCACCACAGTGCATTAAGTAGAGTTCCCTGTGCTATACAGCATATTCTTATTAGTTATCTATTTTATACATAGTATCAATAGTGTGTTTGTGTCAATCCCAATCTCCCAATTCCTCCCACTCCTGCTTTCCCCCTTGGTATCCATAGTTTCTTCTCTACATCTGTGTCTCTATTTCTGCTTTGCAAATAAGATCATCCATACCATTTTTCTAGATTCCACATATACGTGTTAATATATGATATTTGTTTCTCTCTTTTGACTTAACTTCACTCTGTATGACACTCTCTAGGTCCATCCACATCTCTACAAATAACCCAATTTTGTTCCTTTTTATGGCTGAGTAATATTCCATTGTATATATGTACCACATCTTCTTTATCCATTCCTCTGTTGATGGACATTTAGGTTGCTTCCATGTCCTGGCTATTGTAAATAGTGCTGCTGTGAACATTGGGGTGCATGTGTATTTTTGAATTATGGTTTTCTCTGGGTATATGCCCAATAGTGGGATTGCTAGGTCATATGGTAGTTCTATTTTTAGTTTTTTAAGGAACCTCCATACTGTTTTCCATAGTGACACTATCAATTTACATTCCCACCAACAGTGCAAGAGGGTTCCCTTTTCTCCACACCCTTTCCAGCATTTATTGTTTGTGGATTTTTTTTTTTAAGTAAATAAATTATTTATTTATTTTTGGCTGCATTGGGTCTTCGTTGCTGTGCACGGGCTTTCTCTAGTTGGGGCGAGCAGGGGCTCCTCTTTGTTGCGGTATGCAGGCTTCTCATTGCAGTGGCTTCCCTTGTTGCAGAGCACAGGCTCTAGGCATGTGGACTTCAGTAGTTGTGGCTCGTGGGCTCTAGAGTGCAGGCTCAGTAGTTGTGGCACACAGGCTTAGCTGCTCCGCGGCATGTGGCATCTTCCCAGCCCAGGGCTCGAACGTGTGTCCCCTGCATTGGCAGGCAGATTCTTAACCACTGTGCCACCAGGGAAGCCCATTTGTGGATTTTTTGATGATAGCCATTCTGACTGATGTGAGGTGATATCTCATTGTAGTTTTGATTTGCATTTCTTTAATAATTAGTGTTGTTGAACATCTTTTCATGTGCCTCTTGGCCATCTGTATGTCTTCTTTGCAGAAATGTCTATTTAGGTATGCTGCCCATTTTTTGATTGGGTTGTTTGTTTTGATGATATTAAGCCACATGAGCTGTTTGTAAATTTTGGAGACTAATCCCTTGTCAGTCACATTATTTGCAAATATTTTCTCCCATTCTGTGGGTTGTCTTTTCATTTTGTTTATGGTTTCCTTTGCTGTGCAAAAGCTTTTGAGTTTAATTAGGCCCCATTTGTTTATGTGTGTTTTTATTTCCATTACTCTGGGAGATGGATTGAAAAAGATATTGCTGTGATTTATGTCAGAGAGTGTTCTGCCTGTGTTTTCCTCTAAGAGTTTTATAGTGTCTGGTCTCATATTTAGGTCTTTAATCCATTTTGAGTTTATTTTTGTGCATGGTGTTAAAGAATGCTCCACTTTCATTTTTTTTACATGTAGCTGTCCAGTTTTCTCAGCACAGTTTGTTGAAGAGACTTTCTTTCCTCCATTTTATAGTCTTGCCTTCTTTGTCATATTTATAGATTAATTGACCATAGGTGTGTGGGTTTATTTCTGGGCTTTCTATCCTGTTCCATTGATCTATATTTCTACTTTTGTGCCAGTACCATACTGTTTTGATGACTATAGCTTTGTAGTATAGTCTGAAGTCTGTGTTTTATTTTCAGTCTTTGGAGGAAAATAGGTGTGACCATAAAGCTATAATTGCATAGATTTGTGTTGCCAGGGTTGGGAGCACATATAACTAACTCCTATTCAGAACCATGTAGAAAAGTTGAGTATCTAACCACTTTCAAGAGAACGATTCCTAAAAAATGAATAATCCTTTGATATAACGTCATGTTTCATGGAATTACCTCTCCACACCCTTGTTTCTTCTTGGACCATACACCCAAATTACGTGGAGCAATCACATTCTCTCTTAACATAGCATCTCTTCTATGCCCAGAAAAAGATTCTTTCCTTGGGTCTAAGACAACTCTGTCTCCCCTCCACAATGGAGAGAACATGGTTCAGAATAATGGCCTTATTTATAATAGTTAATTTAAAAAATTGATATATTTCAAATTTTAAGTTATCTTGTATCTGTGTGATTGATCATTTTTTACTCTTTAGCCAGTTGACACGTGCAGTTTGTAAGCTTCTTGAACGACGAAGAAAGTTAAAGCCTCAGAGGCAAGAAAGGAAAAAAGTGGCAGCACAGACTATCTGTGACGGAGATATTAAGATTCTTGTCAGAATATTGAGGGCTTATAATATTCCTACAAGGAAAGCAATAGTTAATAGGTAAGGCAATTGCGCCAATTTTTGGAGTTGCAAAAGATGTCTTAAATGTAAATTTCTATACTGTCTTCTTAATAAAACTTTGCACTTGGGGCTTCCCTGGTGGCGCAGCTGTTGAGAGTCCGCTTGCCGACGCAGGGGACACGGGTTCGTGCCCCGGTCCGGGAAGATCCCACATGCCGCGGAGCGACTGGGCCCATGAGCCATGGCCGCGGACCCTGCGCGTCCAGAGCCTGTGCTCTGCAACGGGAGAGGCCACAACAGTGAGAGGCCCTCGTAAAAAAAAAACAAAAAACAAAACAAACAAACAAACAAAACAAAACAAAAACTTTGCAGTTTATTAATGTTCAATATACAGAAACTAAATGAAAGTTGAAATCTTCATTTGGATAGTCAAACTTACTGTCATTGCTGTGTATTACAAATTTTCAGAAGTTTGAGATGCCCGAAGTACCTTTAACATGTATATTTTTGGGTGCTATATCAAATAAATACCTTCTGTCCCTATTCCCTATTGTGAAAACTTAAGCTGCTATTGCTAATTACACTGTTTTCTGCCACTGTCCCCTCACAGTATTGGAAGTATATAGACTACAGGAGAGAGTAAGCTCCATTTTGGATTTATCATTTTAGGTGACTTCTACAAAAATCAGATCTTACCTATCTCTTCTGCAGGCACTCAGTGTGTTTTATTTGCGTTTCTTGGGCAGAGGATATGTAGGGTCAGAGTGGCCAAATTAAGGCATCATGAATATTAAATACTCATGAATATTTAGTATAACCCGAATTTCAAGTGTTTCATATATTTAATCTCATGTATAATTTATGTGTTGTGAATATTTAGTGCCCAGGTACCTCAGGAACACTGATCAACCCTCTCTGTCTACATTTAACACTTATGTGCTCTACTTGCTTATTGTATGTTTACCACACCCCATGAACTCTACATATGCAAAACAAATATTTTGCTTACTAGCTACGAATCTATAGTTAAAACCTCTTAAAGGTTTTGCCTGTGTTTTATATTATAAAATATGACTTTATTTATGATAGAATTGATATTCTCAAAACAAATGCACATTTCAAGGCTGTTTTGTGAAATAAGGACATTACAAAATTACCACCATTTTCTATAATAATCAATTTGTAAAAGAAAGAATATTGTAACACCAAAAATAGGAAGAATATAGTCTCAAAGTATTACTTGCTCTATTTTTTTCCTTTTGCTGAGGGTCAGTGAAAACTCTGTCACAGACTGGTTCCAATCCATAGTTCAGCATTTAGGAGCTACCCTTTCAGAGTAGTGATTGTCACGTATTTATCTCTAACCACCTATGTTATGAAGATCCAAAGCAAACTCTATAAGATCCAGGGTAGCTGACTTATATACCTCTATAAGCATAAGCAAAAAGCCACCAAAACTAATATTAAAATTAATTAAAGTGCCTATCTCTATATTGTTTTTCAGAAGAGCCTTGGATATTCCTACTTATTTGATATCATCCATGTCTCGCCTCAGACATAAAGAAACAATCAAATCCGTAACCTCAGATGAGATCTTAAATGAGGTAAGTATTTAACACTTCTATAAAGTGCCGTTTTGATCATGTTTTCCCTGAATTGCAACTGGCCCCTAACTGGACTATCCATCTAATTCTAGTTTACTCTCCATAACACAGTGAAGGTGCTCTTTATAAAATGTAATTCTAACTATTTCATTCTCTGCTACCCTGCTCTCAGGGTCTATAGAATAAGGTGCAAGCTCCTTACAATGGTAGCTCCTTAGAACGGCTACCACTCTGTGATGGTCTGGTTCTTACATGCCAATCAGCCACATTTCTCATCAGCCCACAGCGGTATCATATCATACTACTACTTGTTCTAGAAGGCCTCCGTATATGCCCTTTCCTTTGCCTGGAATGGCCACCATACCTCCATGTTATTGGCCACATGAACTACTATTTAATGTTTCAAAGCTCAAGCCCAAGCAATGTTTTCTCTGTGAAGTTCTCCTTGTCCTCACCCCAGAGAGTTAATCATTCTCTCTCCTGAGTTACTATTATACCTTGAATATATTTCTTACATTTCATTGCAATTATTTGTTTACCTGTTTATTTTCTCCTGATAGACTTAAGATAAAAATCCTTAAGGATTTCCATTTATTTTTGGATCCTAGCAAAGTAGTACCTGATATTGAATAGGTTGAAGAAATGTTAATTGAATGAATGAATGAATAATTGTTGTTTGAAAAACTGGAAAAAGTAAGCCATCCAGTTATCAGCCAGTAACTAATTTCTACCTTCTATCAGCTATATAAAATATTACAAAAATCTAGTCGTGTTAATTATGTGTTTCAGGATACTGTGCACCCCTTTGTGGAAGTTTCCTTTCAGCACACTGTGTACCAAACCAGTGTTGCAAGTGGATCTCATCCATGCTGGAATGAAGAAATTAAAGTAGATTTTATGTAAGTTGGAGTCCATTTTCCCTCAGCTTCTAAAATAGAGCAGTAACAAAATTATTTTCTTGAGCTGGTTATTGAAAATAATGATGGATATAGGCTTAATTTTTAAGTTTTTAAATTATGAAGTATTTCTTACATAGATATTAATATATATAATGTATATGTAAATGTAAGTTCTGAGGAAAAATGATAAAATGAATACCTCTGTATCTACCATCTAGCTTAAAAAATGGAGTATTAGCAATATTTTTGAAGGCTCCATTGTGCCAATAACTATTTGTATCCCCTTTCTTTCTCCCCAGAGGTAACAACCATGAATTTGTTTATCATTCCCTCTCTTTATGACTTTAAATCATAGGTATTTATCCCTAGCTATGTTTTATTTACCTGTGGATGTTTTCCAACTTTATGTAAATTGAATGATCTTTTGCAATCTGTTTCTTTACTCTTATTTTGAGCGATTTATCCATATTCATATGAATATGAATTCATATTCCTTCCTTCCTTTATTTTCACTTCTGTATAGTATTCCACTGTATTAAAATGCCATAATTTATTTATACTTTATCCTGTTGATGCAGATTTGCCTGGTTTTAATGTTTTTCTATTGTAAATAGTATTGCTCTGAACATTCTTGTACTTGTCATCTGGAACACACATGTAAGAGTTTCTTTTTAAGACAGTAGTTCTCAAAGTATTTTGTGCACTGAAATCACCTGTACAGCTTCTTTAAACAGATTGCTGGGCCCAACTCCATAGTTTCTAGTTCAGTAGTTCTCATACATAATTCCATTTCTAACAAGTTCTCAGGTGTTACTGATGCTCCTAGTCAGGGGACACTTTGAGACCCTTTACTTTAGGATCTGTATCCAGGAGTGGAATTGCTTCAACTTTACTAGCTAATGCCAAAGTTTTTTCTAAAGCGATTGTGCCAATACATACTCACAACAGCAATATAAAAGTTCCTATTGTGCCACATCTTCAATAATATTTTGTATTTTTAAAATTAATGTTTCTAATACAGTGGATCTAAAGCGATATTCTTGTTGTGGTTTAATTTACATTCCTGGATTTCTAATGAGATTGAGTTTCTTTTTTTTTTTCCATTTTAAACAAATCGATAGGCTTTAATTTTTAGAGCAGTTTAGGTTCACAGTAAAACTGAGCAGAAAGCACAGAGTTCTTATACATCCTCTCCCTACAACACGCACACACAGCCTCCCTAAAGTGTCAGTGTGGTACATTTGTTACAATCAATGGACCAATGTTGACACATTATCAAAGTCCACAATTTACATTAGGGTTCACTCTTTGTGTTGTACATTCTATGGGTTTTGACAAATGTATGATGACATGTATCCACCACTGTAGTATCATACAGCATAGTTTCACTGCCCTAAAAATGCCCTGTGCTTCACCCATTTATCCGTTCATCCTTCCCCTGGAACCTCTGGCAACCACTGATCCTTTCACTGCCACCATAGTTTTACCTTTTCCAGAGTGTCATTGCATTTCAGGGTTCTCCATAAAAGCAGAACTAACAGGGTGTGTGTGTGTGTGTGTGTGTGTGTGTGTGTGTGTGTGTCTGTGACTCTCTTTACCCTCTGTAATAGGGGTGTGCCTCATCCATTTGGTTGGAGGCTTACCCCACTTAGGAAGATGGAATTCTGCCAGCACACTGGCTTCAGACTTGAACTGCAGCTCTCCCCTGGGCTTCCAGGCTGCCAGCTTACCCTGCAGATTTGGGGCTTGCCTTCCCCCACAATCACGTGAGCCACTGTTACAGAGGGTAGTTTGCCTTACTCAACGTCTACTGACTTTTTTAATGTGGAAAGAACACTTAACAGGACATCTACCCTTTGAACAAACTTTTAAGTGTGCAATATACTACTGCTGAATGTAGGTAAAAGGTTGTACAGCAGATCTAGAGCTTATTCATCTTGCTTCCCTGAAGTTTTACGCCTTGTTGATTAGTAACTTCCCATTTCCCCCTCCCCCCAGCCCCTGGTGACCACCATTCTGCTCTTTGACTCTATGAATTTGACTACTTTAGATGCCACATATAGGTGGAATCATGCAGTCTTTTTATGACTGGTTTATTTCATTTAGTATAATGTCCTCAAGATTCATCCATGCTGCCACATATTGCAGAATTTCCTTCTTTTTAAAGGGTGAGCAGTATTCCATATATATACCACATTTTCTTTATCCATTCATCTGTCAACAGACATTTAGCATGCTTCCATACTGTTGTGAATAGTGCTGCAATGAACATAAGAGTGCTAACATCTCTTTGATATTCTGATTCAGTTCTTTTGGATAAATACCTAGAAATGGGATTGCTAGATCATATGGTATCAGTTCTATTTTTAATTTTTTGAGGAACCTGCATAACGTTTTCCATAGCAGCTGCACCATTTCACATTCCCACCAACTGTGTGCAGGAGTTCCAGTTTTACACACCTTCACCAGCACTTGTTACTTTATTTTATTTTTTTTGATAATAGCCATCCTAACAATTGTGAAGTGATATCTCATTGTAGCTTTGAATTTCCCTGATTATTACTGAGTGTTTTATTATTAGTAATTTTGAGCATTTTTTCATGTATCTATTAGCCATTTGTATGTCATTTTTGGAAAATGTCCATTCAAGTTTTAGTACATTTTAAAATCAGATTATTAGCTTTTTTACTATTCAGTTGTATGAGCTCTTTATGTATGTTGGAGATGAACCCCCTTATAATATATATGGTTTGCAAATATTTTCTCCCATTCCATAAGTTGACCTTGTACTCTGACGATTATTTCCTTTGCTGTGCAGAAGGTTTACAGTTTGATATAGTTCCACTTTTTTATTTTTGCTTTTGTTGCCTGTGCTTTGGTATCATGTCCATGAAATTATTGCCACAACCTATGTCATGAAACTTTTCCCCTGTATTTTCTTCTAGAAGCTTTATAGTTTCAGGTCTTACATTTTAAATATTTAATTCATTTTGAGTTGAATTTTGTGTATGGTATAAGATAAAGATCAAATTTGATTCTTTTTTTTATTAACATCTTTATTGGAGTATAATTGCTTTACAATGGTGTGTTAGTTTCTGCTTTATAACAAAGTGAATCAGCTATATATATACATACATCCCCATATCTCCTCCCTCAAATTTGATCCTTTTGCACATAGTTTTACCAACACCATTTGTTGAAGAGATTGTCCTTTCTTCATTGAGTAGTCTTGGCACCCTTGTCAAAGATTGGTTGACCTGACATAGATGCAAGGATTTATATCTAGACTCTCTATTCTGTACCACTGGTCTATATGTCTGTTTTTAGGCCAGACTGCTTCAATTACTGTAACTTCGTAAAATATGTATTTTGAAATCAGGAAGTGGGATCTCCGGCTCTTTTCTTTCTCGAGGTTCATATTTGATGCTAAAGGTATATAAATAGGCTTTTGTAATTGAAAATAAAGTGCACTGATCAAGACAGATTTAAAATGTAGAACTTAAAATTGTTCTCTAAACTCAAGTAGCAATTTTCAGTTGTTACTTCCTATACATCTTTAGCTCTCCCTCGGGTAAAAGGAATATAAAGAACTGTCAACTACATCTGTTATCAAAGTCCTTTCTCTTTTCCTGGCGCCCTTACCCCCTTCTCTTGCCAATCTTGTTCATCTCCCTCAATTTCTGCAGATCATATGGTTCTTGACTATTTGCATGGTTTTTTGATGGCATCCCTCTGACTTTTTTTTTTTTTAACATCTTTATTGGAGTATAATTGCTTTACAATGCTGTTTTAGTTTCTGCTTTATAAGAAAGTGAATCAGCTATACATATACATCTATCCCCATATCTCTTCCCTCTTGCATCTCCCTCCCTCCCACCCTCCCTATCCCACCCCTCTAGGTGGTCACAAAGCACCGAGCTGATCTCCCTGTGCTATGCGGCTGCTTCCCACTAACTATCGATTTTACATTTAGTAGTGTATATATGTCCATGCCACTCTCCCACTTTGTCTCAGCTTACCCTTCCCCCTCCCCGTGTCCTCAAGTCCATTCTCTAGTAAGTCTGCGTCTTTATTCCCGTCCTGCCCCTAGGTTCTCCATAACTTTTTTTTTTTTAGATTCCATATATATGTGTTAGCATACGGTATTTGTCTTTCTCTTTCTGACGTACTTCACTCTGTATGACAGACTCTAGGCCCAACCACCTCACTACAAATAACTCAATTTCGTTTCTTTTTATGGCTGAGTAATATTCCGTTGTATATATGTGCCACATCTTCTTTATCCATTCATCTGTCGATGGACACTTAGGTTGCTTCCACATCCTGGCTATTGTAAATAGTTCGGCAATGAACATTGGGGTGCATGTATCTTTTTCAATTAGAGTTTTCTCTGGGTATATGCCCAGGAGTGGGATTGCTAGATCATTTGATAGTTCTATTTTTAGTTTTTTAAGGAACCTCCATACTGTTCTCCATAGTGGTTGTACCAATTTACACTCCCACCAACAGTGCAAGAGGGTTCCCTTTTCTCCACACCTTCTCCAGCATTTATTGTTTGTAGATATTTTGATACTGGCTTTAATGAAAGATAGCAGTTGTCCTGAAAGCACATAGATTTTCTTATCTTATACTTTATAAAAGAAAATAATGCAGGCAATTTTATAGTCCTTTATGAATAATGCTTTTATAAAATCAATTAAGCATTTAAATATGTTTTTCTTATTTACAGCTTACCAGGACATGATTATAGCGTCTCAAGCTTATCTAAAATAAAAGATAATATATATATCAACATTTTTGATGAAATGATTATTGAAAAACATGAGGTAAAGTATAATAATTATAATAATCAATGTTGAAATAATTATAAGTTCAGACTGAATGAAGTCTATTAACATATTTGTAAATTTGATTTTAGATACAGTATCTATTTCCAACATTTTCTAAAAAGGATATGGGGCAACTTGAAATAAAATCAGACATATGACAAGTCAATTCAAAAATAACAGGGATCGGGCTTACTAGGGAAAAGATACAGGGTCTTACGTCACAGGGTTGTACTTTGAAAAACATGTAAAACAGAGGCTTCCCTGGTGGCACAGTGGTTGAGAGTCCGCCTGCCGATGCAGGGTAGACGGGTTCGTGCCCCGGTCCGGGAAGATCCCACATGCCATGGAGCGGCTGGGCCCATGAGCCATGGCCGCTGAGCCTGAGCGTCCGGAGCCTGTGCTCCGCAACGGGAGAGGCCACAACAGTGAGAGGCCCGTGTACTGCAAAAAATAAATAAATAAAATAAAATAAAATAAAATAAAATAACAGGGATCATAAACCACATATAAGAGGAGGAGAGAGAAATATACCAAGAATTTGGGAAAAGTAGATTTCTGCAATTGAACGTTACATTTACACGTGAACTTCCTGGTAGCCAAGCTTTAGCGTATTTTTAAAGTTTGCTGCACTAAGCATATTTACTGTGATAAAGGTATATACATTAAGATGCTTTACATTGTTTACTGACATGTAGCAAGATATCCAAAAGCAGTGGTTATGAACTGAAGGCAGGAATCTGGGGTATCAGCAGCTTTTTTCAAACTTCGGCCCTTCCCCAGATTCAGGTAAATAGCAACAACAATCCCAGGGCTTGGAAATTGAATACCATGGCTTTCTTGATATTCTTAACAGTTGCATATGATCACTAGAATCTCAAAATTGTCTATTATGACCCTGGACTCCCTGGCATTTGTTCTTCTTAGAAGAGAGAGATCAGATTAAAATGGGAGCCAGAATATACTGCATTTTCTTTTGCAAGGTTTTTACATTTCTAACCTGGACTATCTACAAGTGGACCATCAGATGAATTTTCTAAGGAACGGGCCATGGCAACCTAACTGATACCATTATTTCTTGGCAGTAAGCCAACATGATCCATAATTACGGCAGCAAGGCAGAGGTGGATGGTGGAAAGGTAAAAAATGAAGCAGAAAGCAAGGTAGTGTGTGAGGAAAACTACAATGAATTATCCTTTTTATCTCCCTTCTTTTATCCTATCTCCTTACTTCAGCCCAGATAATAGTGTATAACTTTAATATTAACAGAAATTCTGAGTTTATGGATTTAAAAGAAGTCACATTAACATAAGTAATCTAAGGTCTTACTCTTGTTCCACCCTCTACTCACAGAACCTCCACCAGTCCCTCCGAAAATTTTCTGGAAGCCTCCAAGTAGTCCTCATATATGTGCCTAAACATGACTGTTAGCTATAGTCATCCTTCCCATTTCAACAGTGTGTGTGTGTTCTTTTGATTCAGGCTCCACAGCTCTCAAAGCCACTTAAAAGAATCTCACCACCACCACTGTTGACATTGCCCCTGATTAGGATGCCATCATCTGTGCCAAGGGTATTATCTCCCCAATTATCCTTGAGCCCAAAGCTATGAAACTTCAGAATACCCAAGAGGCACTGGATTCTGCACAAACATGGGAAGAATGGCCCTATTTTCTCTGAATTCATACTACATATTATATATCTAGATCTTAAAGCAATAGTATTGGTACACAAAATCTCACAGTAGAAGAGCTTCTCCAGCCGCCGACCCTAATCATCAGGGGTCAAACCCAGGACAAGGGACCTAGTGGGGTACAGTGCACACCAACCCTTTCCATGTCCTCATTGTCCTTTCTCTTCACCTTGCTTCCTAAACTCAGCCCAACCGCTCTCACCTTCCCTAATTACAAAAAAAAATTCAGTGGGTATAAGTACATACTAGTGCTAAAGAGAGGGATGTTGCCTATACTAGTCTTAAACGAGCAACATGCCTGTCCCAAGAGCTGTTCTCTAACACCTTTCCTATATTCCCCCATTTCAGCACTTTTGTTGATGAAGTGAAAAATTTAAATGGCTAAAAGTGGAGTGAATCATAGAGTACTGCCAGTGGGGTTGGTCGTGGTGGTAAATGCCAAACCCATTTATGTCTAGTCCCTGCTTCTCTTACTACACATACTTTCTCTAATTTAAAAAATAAGATTATTGTGGCATAATTAGCATATAATAAACTGCACATAATTAAAGTGTATACTTTGACAAGGTTGGTTTTTTTTGTTTGTTTGTTTGTTTTTTGCGGTACGCGGGCCTCTCACTGTTGTGGCCTCTCCCGTTGCAGAGCACAGGCTCCGGACGCGCAGGCTCAGCGGCCATGGCTCACGGGCCCAGCCGCTCCGCGGCATGTGGGATCTTCCTGTACCGGGGCACGAACCCGTGTCCCCTGCATCGGCAGGCGGGCTGTCTACCACTGCACCACCAGGGAAGCCCCTTTGACAAGTTTTGACGTATATATACCCATGAAACCATCATCAAAGTCAAGATAATGAACATATCCACCACTCTCAAAGGTTTTCCCCTGTCCTGTTAGAATACCTCCCTCCTTCCTTTCCTTCCTCCCACCCCAGGCAACCACTGATCTGCTTTCTGTAACTACAGTTTACATCTTCTGGAATTGTATAAAAATGGCATCATACAGTATGCACTTTTTTCCCCTTGGTCTGGCAACTTTCACAGGAAAATTATTTTGAGATGTGTCTCAGTTGTTTTATTTATCAACTAGTTCATTAATTTTTACTGTATAGTGGTAGTCTATTGAACACATACATTCTGTTGTATGTTTAAATATTCAGCTGTTGATGGACATTTGGGTTTTCTTTGGGGGTGGCTTTTATAAATAAAGCTGCTATGAGCATTTGTGTATAAGTCCTTGTATGGACAAATGCTTTAATTTCTCTTGGGTAAATACATAGGAGTGAAATGGCTGGATCATATGGTAAGTAGACATTTAAGAAACTGCTAAACTGTTTTTCCAAAGTGACTGTACCATTTTTTATTTCCACCAGTAATGTATGAGACTTCTAGTTCTTTCACAGTCTTACAGACAAGTGGTCAGACTTAAAAATTTTAGCCACTCTAGTAACCGTGTGGTTGTATTTCATTGTAGTTTTAATTTGTATTTCCTAATGACTAACGATGGCGAGCACTTTTCCATGTATTTATTTGCTATCTGAATATCTTTGGTGAAGTGTCTGTCCAAATCTTTTGTCTATTTTTCAAATTGGGTTATTTGTTTTCTTATTATTCAGTTCTGAGGATTCTTTACATATTCTGTGTACAAATCCTTTATCAGATATATGATTTACAAATATTTTCTCCTGGTACATAGCTTGTCTTTTCATTTTCTCAACAGTGCCTTTTGAAGAGCAAAGTTTTAAGTTTTGATGAAGTCAAATTTATCAACTTGCTTTTGGTGTCATATGTTTTAGCTCTGTTTTTGCTTTATATATTTTGTAACTCTTTATTAGGTGCATGTACTTTTCTTAATTTTTGAATTTTATTTTATTTATTTTTTTATACAGCAGGTTCTTATTAGTCATCAATTTTATACACATCAGTGTATATATGTATATATGTCAATCCCAATAGCCCAATTCATCCCACCCCACCCCCCCGCCACTTTCCCCCCTTGGTGTCCATACGTTTGTTCTCTACATCTGTGTCTCTATTGCTGCCCTGCAAACTGGTTCATCTGTACCATTTTTCTAGGTTCCACATATGTGCCTTAATATACGATATTTGTTTTTCTCTTTCTGACTTTCTTCACTCTGTATGACAGTCTCTAGATCCATCCACGTCTCAACAAATGACCCAGTTTCATTCCTTTTTATGGCTGAGTAATATTCCATTGTACACATGTACCACATCTTCTTTATCCATTCGTCTGTTGATGGGCATTTAGGTTGCTTCCATGACCTGGCTATTGTAAATAGTGCTGCAATGAACATTGGGGTACATGTGTCTTTTTGAATTATGGTTTTCTTTGGGTATATGCCCAGTAGTGGGATTGCTGGATCATATGGTAATTCTATTTTTAGTTTTTTAAGGAACCTCCATACTGTTCTCCGTAGTGGCTGTAGCAATTTACATTCCCACCAACAGTGCAAGAGGGTTCCCTTTTCTCCACACCCTCTCCAGCATTTGTTGGTTGTAGATTTTCTGATGATGCCCATTCTAACTGGTGTGAGGTGATACCTCATTGTAGTTTTGATTTGCATTTCTCTAATAATTAGTGATGTTGAGCAGCTTTTCATGTGCTTCTTGGCCATCTGTATGTCTTCTTTGGAGAACTGTCTATTTAGGTCTTCTGCCCATTTTTGGATTGGGTTGTTTGTTTTTTTAAATTGAGCTGCATGAGCTGTTTATATATTTTGGAGACTAATCGTTTGTCTGTTGATTCATTTGCAAATATTTTCTCCCATTCTGAGGGTTGTCTTTTCGTCTTGTTTATAGTTTCCTTTGTTGTGCAAAAGCTTTTAAGTTTTATTAGGTCCCTTTTGTTTTTATTTCCATTACTCTAGGAGGTGGGTCAAAAAAGATCTTGCTGTGATTTACATCAAAGAGTATTCTTCCTATGTTTTCCTCTAAGTGTTTTATAGTGTCCGGTCTTACATTTAGGTCTTTAATCCATTTTGAGTTTATTTTTGTGTATGGTGTTAGGTTTTATTATATATTCTTTATCACAGTCTATCTTTATATAATATTATGCCACTTCATATATAGTGTAAGAACAGGATATTACTATACTACCATTTCCCCTCCTGTGCTCTGTGTTAGTGTTGTCATACATTTTCCTTATATGTATGTCATAAACTCCACAACAGGTCATTATTATTGCTTTAAATGGTCAATTCTCTTTTAAAGAAATTTTTTAAAGGGAGAAAAAAAATCTTTTCTATTTACTCTTTGGTTTCTTTTTAAAAAGGAAGAGAATTTTTTATACTTACCTACATGTTTGTGTGAAATTATCCAACACATGATAGAGAATGAGTAATAGAAAAATTATTTATTTTAATAGGATCACAGTTTCAAGAGCTGCAGTGGTCATTCATATATAAGAAAGAATTGGCTTGGATCCATTGTCTTCCCTTTCTCTGCTCTCCTGCAACAATCTGAGGTAATAGGAGATGATTCTTTGCTAATTATTCTGAATTTTTGTCTCTGGCTAATAGAAATACCTGTGTCTTTGAGTCAGATTCTGACTGGCAGGTTGATAAGTCAGTCAAAATGATCCTGTATTCAACTGCCCCATGGGTGTTGGAGTATTTGAAGGTTTTAGCTGTCTCTGGAATAGGAGACACCCACAAATTTATTTCATGTATTTTTAGAGTGTTTGTTGATGAAGAAAAGGACAGGTAGCCTTAGGTCTTAAAGCAACATTCATATTTGCTCATAATAGTTTTGTAAGACCAGATTCATAAATATTCTGATTAATGACATTGCTTTGTAACCATGGGTTCCAGGAGTTTCAGCTCCTCAAACACTGTTTATTGATAATGGTGAGACTGATGATAGCATCTGTGTCTGTGGTACCCCCAGAGGGCTCTGCTGTTGGGTTTTGCAGCAAGAAAATGCCTACATGGCCAGCAAAATATAAAAACCCCATTCTAGATTTCATCTGGGGCCCTGTAACTTACAGAGATATGCCAGTTACAGATGATTCAGAAATGAATTTTCTACCTCAAGGAGTTCACTGTCTATAGAAGAAAACCATTTCAGTACGACATGGTAATGCTGTAGGGCTTTGATAGGGGCATGAGATTGGTACTATGAGAACACTGAGTAAGGAGTACCCTACCCTTCCTGGTTTGGAGGGGGAAGCAAGGGGGTGTTCAGAGGGGTTCGGGGTAGGTGAGAGGGGAATGAGGAGGAGGATGAAAGATCAGGGGAATATTTACAGAGGAGATAACTTTTAATCAAGTCCCTAAAGATGCATTTATCAAGCACACAAAGTCATCTGACTCAGAAGGATTTATGTGTCTATCAGTTAGTACTGTATTCAGTCATATGCAACAGAAAACCTGACTAACAGTGGCTGTTGTAAGAGGTCTATTTATCTCACAAAAAAGAAGTCTAGATGCCAGTGCATCTGCTCAAGAATATCATCAAGGATCCAAGCTACTTCTGTCTTTCTGTTCTATTCTCCTTATCATGTGACTTTCATCCTCATAATTGCACCTCCAGCCTCATATTCATGCTGCAGACAGGAGGTGGGGTGAAGCAAGAAGGGGCAGTGCCTGTATCAGGAAAACAGACACTTCCCCAGAAAACCTCTCAGACTTCTTGCATTTTACTTATGTGACTTGGTCACTACATGGCTGTCATGTTACCACCTAAAACTGTTGGTAAGAAAGGAGAAGAGAATGGAGGAGAGTAGAAACGTCTGCGTATTATGCAATCACAGGATGTCATGAGGGAGCACGTTGAAAATACAAGTGCTGCAAATAAAGAGCAACGGAGATTTTAAATTGTTGGAGGTATAGGGCTTCCTATGTTTGTAAATCCCTGCAGGTGTTTCTCAGTCTCAGGCCAGATGCTAGGATAGAGAAGTAGTTAAGAATGTGAGCTTTAAAGGGGGACCAACCAGGCTTCCCTGGTGGCGCAGTGGTTGAGAGTCCGCCTGCCGATGCAGGGGACACGGGTTCGTGTCCCAGTCTGGGAAGATCCCACATGCCGCGGAGCAGCTGGGCTCGTGAGCCATGGCCGCTGAGCCTGCGCGTCCGGAGCACAGGCTCCGCAGCGGGAGAGGCCACGGCAGTGAGAGGCCCGCGTACCGCAAAAAAAAAGGTGGACCAACCTGGGTTGTGATCCCGGCTCTACTACTCATTAGTTTTGTGATCTCGCACAAATTACTTACATGCTCTGAGCCCCAGTTTCCTTATCTATAAAATGGAGATAAGAGCGGTGTCTACCTTATTGAATAATATGATCTATATCAAGCACTTGGCAGAATGCCTTGTACATAGTAAGTGCTCAATAACTATTAGTTATATTAGTATTATTATTAGTTATTATTGTAAATTATCTCCTCCCAAACATGCACACACACACACACACACACACAAGATCCCTCCTCCAGTGGACTTTGGGTCATCCTTCCTGCTGTTACATTTTTTTTCCTCTTTCCAGACCCAATGCAAAATGTATCATGGTCTTTTAGCATTTTCTCTGAGCTTAAATTAGATCTTCTAAGAGCTTTTATCACTCTGGTCCATTAACTTGCTTCACTGTTTCATCCCTTTCTTACTTCTGCCTTCTCCACGTACTACATATTAGACAGGGACCCAGGGTGTCAAGGTTGCCTGTGAACAAATCATCATGGAGAACCTTACCATCCTTGTGCAAGTACCTATTAGTAGAATCAGCATGAACCCATGCAAGCCTGTTTCCTGCAATGGAGAAGACTGAACTGAGCTATACTATATTTGACTGATGTTTATTTTCATCATGCAGAATCCATTATACTGATATACTCTTTCAGATTAGTGGAACATTTCAAGTAAATATTCCACCAGTTTTGCTTGGGTATACTTGGAGTGAGACTTACGTGTCTCCTAAAGAAGATTATAATGGACAGAATTTAAAAGAATGCACCTTCTTAAATATTTTTGCTACTATTGAACCTCAAATATCATATGTCATCTGTAATCCAGAACTAAACAAGGTAGGTTTTACACTGAATTGTTTTCATATATACTATCAAAGAAGTGTAAATTTCAAAGCTGACAAAAATGAATGTTGCTTCTTGATATTTTCCTGTGGAGACAATATAGTACAATGTTGAAATGTTTTAAACTCGATTCTAGTTTTCAGGTCAAATAGATGTTTTGGAGAGAGCACAGATTTTTAAAAAAAATTGTAAGGCATTATTTCCTGAACGAAGAATCACAACTACTGTTTTTAATGATGAAGGGATACAGATCTTAGTAACAAGATATATCAAGGCATTGAATCCACCTCAACAACTCCTGGATATATTTCTTCATGATTCTAATGCAACACTTGTAAGTTATATTTATTTTAGTAGCTTTATTGTGATATTCGTATACCATACAATTTGCCCTTCCAAAGCATATAATTCAATAGCTTTTACGTTATACACGGAGTTGTGCCACCATCACCACAGTAACTTTTAGAACATTTTGATCACTCCAAATTTATATTTATTTTAACTTGTTTACTTTTTATTATTAACTTTGAGTATAACTTTCGTATTAAAATTACTTTACCTTCAGAGACAGTTTCCTGAGAGAGAAACCATCTATGTTGCAATGTGTCCTCTTGAGCACCAGATGGAAGAAAACATTTCTTCCTGATCCCCTTCACTTCTGCCCACTTGTACTAGAGAGTCACTGTTGACACACCAGTTCACATGACCATATCAGCTTCACAACTTTTCTGTCAAACTTTGAAAAATGACACAGAAAAATTCCTTTGACTTCCAGGCAAAATTAAAAGTTATGTTTCTAGAGGAGGTGCCCCTCTCAGGATTGCTTCTTGTTGTGTGTGGGAGTGAAGAAACTATGTTTTTTTGTTTTATTTATTTTTGGCTGCCTCGGGTCTTCATTACTGCACACAGGCTTTCTCTAGTTGCGGTGAGCGGGGGCTACTCTTCGTTGTGGTGCGTGGGCTTCTCATTGCGGTGGCTTCTCTTGTTGCAGAGCACGGCCTCTAGGAGCGCGGGCTTCAGTAGTTGCAGCACGTGGGCTCAGTAGTTGTGGCGCACGGGCTTAGTTGTTCTGCAGCATGTGGGATCTTCCCGGACCAAGGATCAAACCCGTGTCCCCTGCATTGGCAGGCGGATTCTTTAACCACTGTGCCACCAGGGAAGTCCAACTATGTTACGTTTTGCTCTGTAAACCGCCAACATAAACACTTCCCACCCCATCCTTATGTGGCTTTATGCATATCTGTTATTTACCAGCTGACAAAAGAGACATGTACCTGTATTCATTATGGACTCAGAAGAGAATGTAGCTTCTTCCACTTTGAGAAACGAAAATGTGAAATCAGAGATCTAGTCTCCCGTTGAAGAAAAAAATAAGCTTTGCAGACACCTTTACTTTATAGGTTGGAACAGCAGCACCATCCATGAAATACAAACCACAAATTGACTGTTTCTGAAGTTCCTATATTGTTATTAATTTTGGTCTTAAGTTGATAGATTCCACAGAAGGTGATAAGTATCTTTTACCTCTTCCTCCATTAGAAAATTAGTTTAATAATGGATTTCTTGATCAAGAGCATCACCACTTACTAAAACGTACATGGAGAGAATAATCAATAAACAGGCTTTCTAGGATCTTTTGTTTTTTAAGTCTTCTGCAACATTTATTGATAAACAGGAAAGGGGTTTTATTTACAGTTTTAAAGCTCTTTTTTGTCACTATTATTAGTAATTTTCTATCTATGTATGGTAATATCCAGTTTTAAAAATACTTTATGATTTAAGACTTTAAATCATAACATGTCTGTTTAGCTGATTAGTTCTCCCCTATACTTCTAAAAGAGAAATTGTACAGTACAAGAGTCATTCATTGGGATTAGATTTATTAATCTAGTTACCTACTAGTTTGACATTTTAGGAAGGAGGTAATTGGGTTTTTTTAATGATGGATAAACTTGTGCTGGTGTTTTGGATCTTATGATGCTGAGCATGTTCTGCACTGGTGCTAATGTTTAACATAATTTTATATTTACAAACATACCTGCTACCCAGAGGCAAGTATTAATTTAGTCCATATGGACTACTGACCCCTCTTGAGACTGCAACATACATACTCCTAAACACACTCATACGTATTGTGTTTAGACTTTAAAGTATCTTAACCCATTTCTGGACATGAATGTGTTATAAACCTCCTGATTTCTAGCAACATATTAAAAAACACTGCTATTAAAAACACTTCACAAGTCATTGTCAGCCATTGCTGGCGTTCTGTCACTAGAAAATACACAGCAATATCTGGTATGTTGCAAGCTTTCAAGATAGCCTGGATTTTAAAAGTTAGTCCATTAGTTGTATCTGATGGATGTAAATTTGCCTCCTAGTTCACTTTGTGTCAAGAGCTAAAACTGTGAACTTTCTCTTATTGGTGGGTAATAACTGAAAATAAAGATTTTATTTTCATAAAAAAAAAAGAAAAAAGAAGCTTTGATTAAAGGGCATCTATGAAAAATCATTTATACCTTTTATTTATTCAGGCTTGATCGAGTCAATTGACTCTCCTCAGAAAATTTATATTATTTCCCAGTATAAAGCTCTTACCTGGATTCTTTAAGCTAAAATCAAAAGTCCTAGTTTAGATCACCATTTGCTACACTCTGCTTTTCCATTACGTGTTTCTTCTTGCCTGTTTCCTGACACCGAAAGTCCAAGGAGATAATAATGCTCTCAGATTTCTTTCAAGGACAATCTTTGCCTTTTTAAAAAAGCATAAATCCTAGCTCCTTTGCTTATCAAGGATTGTGAACTATGTTTAATTAATTGCATGAAGTCAGAAACGTGACCAGTGTAGGAAGTCATAATAGTGCATAAATGGTAGCTATTGTAAATCAGTGAAAATGTTGGTGAACTTTCTGTGTTAGCTCATTGTTTATTTGTACTCCTTTCTTCTTTCCTACTCTAGTCCGAGTCCTTATCTCCAGCCCTATAGGGGGAACAATCCACAATAGATCTGTTGTTGGAAAAAGTCGGCTGCACCAATGACTTCTTGCTGCAGCAACTTATAACTAGTTTTTATTAATAAAAATATTTCTGCTAGATTTTGAACCTAAAAGTAAATCAAACTTTTGCTATTCTTCAACATCTTTTTTCATTTTTTAAACAGTTATACTTTAAAGTATACATGTAATGTATCGTGTTTAAATTTTTTACTTATTACAATGAAATATAATGGTTAACATGCATGCTCTGAAGTCACGCTAACTTGGGCTTATTCCCAGAGACCCATAAATTGTGTTCGTGTGTGACCCTGAGCAAGTTATCTTAGCACTCTAAGCTTGTTTCTTCTTTTGTAAAATAAAATTAATAATAGTGTGTACTTCATAGGCTTGTAGGATACACTAAATGTGATGACAGTGCATGTAAAGCACTGTGCTTGGTGATAGGCATATAGTATGCTCTCAATAACTGTTAGTTAATATTATTTTAGGACCTCGTTGCTCGCTTTGTATCTTTGATTCCTATTATGCCTGATACACTGGATGAAAATGATGGTTTTGATATATGGATGACATCAGAGGTAACAAATTACATTTTATAATTTAAATGTATAGCATTTCTTACTTGCTTTTCTTTTAAAGAAAACTTTTAAAAAATATTATGCACTTATGTAGTAATTTGCTTCGTGCAATTTGAAGGTAATTGATAATTTAATACATCATTTTCAGCTCTATAACGATCCGTAAAAATAATTTTTAAAGACCAAAATTCTTATTCAACATTTTAAGTAGCTCATAATATTGAGATTCAACGGGAATTCCAGGAGTACAATATTATGACATTCTCCAGAGAGAAATATGGCTTGTTCACTATAGAGGTGGTCAGACCCTGAAGTCTAGCAGAAATACCACCACTTCCCAGAAGCTTTCCCCAGTTTTCCCACATCTGAATGAAGAGCTTGTATAGCAGTGCTCTTCCTTGGCACTTGGATTAAAATTGTCTTTAGTCTGATTTCCAAGTAAAATACAGGCCCCATGCAATATTTGGGACATATTTATACTAAAAGACTACTTGTTTATCTGAAATTCAAATTGAACTAGGCATCCTATTCCCCGCCCCCCTCCACAAGTGTGGCAGCCCTAATTAGAGCACATTTTCCATTCCACCTTAAATTATATTTAATTGCTTATATACTGGCCCTATACCCACACACTGTACATATACATCCCAAGTTTAATCTCCTTGAATGATAAGGAAGATTTGATTCTTATTTATTTTTATATTCGTCACTTGTACGTACTTTAAATTTAGCAAGTATTCAATATTTTTAATGGAAAATACCAGCCTGATGGGAGCCTAAGAGAAGGACACTCTCCATCTGGAACTGATAGTCCTGGCACTTATCTAGAATGTTTTAGAGGTTAGATTGTTTTAGCTGAAATGGACTTAGCGGGCACAGGACTAACTTAATAGGTCAGCTACCCTGCCTTCTGCTAAGTGGGAGTAAGGGAGATACAAGCACGTGGTTTGTTTCAGGATCCAGTGATTCAAATCTGGTAAAACTCAAAGAGGAGTCAGTTAACTCTAGATTCTTCTTAGACTCTTCAAACTAATCAGAATGTGTCCAGGGGTATTATGATCCTGCAGAACATTGAAAGATAGCCTCTAAAGTAGCTAAAAATAACCACAAAATAACCATTCAGGCAAATACTAGTGCTCCCGAGTGCCCTCCAATCCAAACAATACCCATAATCCACAGGTTACCACGGTCATAGGCTTCCTCTTGGCCAATGTCTTCCCATTGACATGAACTGTTTGGACTTGGGATACCCATGAGTGAATGACTAATTAGTTTGTCACAAGACAAGAGTTATTTCTCCTACCCAACATACAGTCTTGGAGTCAAACAAACCTTGGTTCAAATCCTACGTCAACCATCAGCTGTGTGACCTAAGATAAGTTATTTAGCTTCTTTGGACCTCAGTTTCCTCATCTTTGGCATGCAGGGGTTTTGAAAGGATAGGCACCTGGAACGCAGTATGTTAGTTACCTACTCTCATCCGTTCCCTCCTTCTCTTATGAAATCCAGTCAGGGGAACCTCCTTGGCCTGACGTTGAAGACTGCTCATAATCTGCTCTTCATTCTCCTGTTCACACACACCTTTCAGAAGAGCCACGTTACCATCCTCCCTAGCCTCCTCAGCATCACATTCAGCCGGTGTGTACTGATGCGGCCATATCAGTTGTTAAAACATTGAAATGCTTCCAGACTGGTAAATAGTCACTCCAAGGGCTCCTGAGCGCCCCCTCCCCAAGCTCCCTGACCACCACAGCCCTTTCTCTGGGACTAATGAAATGGAAGCACACGTGCAGTCTAAATGGTGCAGCCGCTACTCAGCAATAGCACATCATTGCCATATGAACATTTGGGCCTGTACATTTTGTTAGATCCTTTGATTTTTCAAGCCAGAAATCCAGAGTTTTATATGAGATCTTCCAACTTTTAAAAGCATTTCGGGGCCAAACGAAACAGACCTATCAACTAGAACTAGGTTACAGACCACTGGTCTGCCACCTCTGCTGTGCTTTCTCTCTCCTGCTACCACTGCTTTACTAGGCACGCTGTATGTGATTACACCCAGCCCAACTGTTCAGCTCTTTCAATTAAAGAAGTTTGCATTACTCTTTTTGATTGGGCTCCAACTCAGATCTCTTCCTCTCTTTCAGTTGAGAGCACTGTGTTGGTACAGGACAGAGTGTAGCTCCATTGACCAAAGGATCCCTTCCTCCAAAAACACTATGTGATTTCCCGTCAGGTGAAGATCCTTAAAATATCAGCCAAGATATCCCTGTTTTCCCAGGGTATTTGTCTCAAACAAAAATGCCCCATTTTGGAGGATAAAATTATTGGGTCACTTACACAGTATCCACATTAATTATCCCATGATAAAGGTGATCCTTATGTTCCAAGTTAATGTTCTCTCTTTCTAATGCCCTAGTGTGTTAACAGGCAAAGGGTGCTGGAGCTTTCGGCTTTGCAGTCATCTTAGTGACCTGGCAAGAATGTGTGTGTGAGGGTTTGGAGGGACTCTAAATCTGTTGAATGCTTGCATTACTCATCTTTCTCTCCTCCCCTCCTTTTTTGTGTCCTTGTTGCTTTTGTTTTGCCTTAGCGCTGCATCAGTTTGGCTATTGGAAATAAGGAGGAGCATGCCATACTTCTCTGTAATTTCTTCCTGTATTTTGGAAAGAAAGCTTTGGTCCTCCTAGGAACCTCGATGTTGGAAGTAAGTGTTGGACTTAATATTTAAATAGTGTAAGCAAAACTAATTAGCTTTTAGCTGCAAGTTTAAAAGACTTCAACCCCAAGTTTCCTTCTTTTCACAAGCTAATTAGGAAATTTCCTAGGCGAACAATTATTTACTTAGGAGGGTAATGTTCGTTCATCAAAATTTCTACAACGTAAAGAATGACTTCCTTTTGTTTTTCTTCTTCGTAAAGTAGTACAAATAATACTGCTACTTCATGGAGCTACTAAAAATATTAAATTACATAGTCAATAGCACTGGGGACAGCACCTGGTTTATGTGGAAAATGCTCAGTAAAATGGTGGTGGTAGGTGATGTAGTAATAGTTACAGTAGTAGTTATAGTGGTTGTTAACCATCATCACCACCATCATCTTTATGTGTCCCTAACATTATATTTTAAGATCCTTAAGAAGTACTTCTTCCTGTTTTACACTGCTCAATTTTTAATCGTGTAAGAAGTGGGCCAGAAATTTATGTTAACCTACCTGAAATTTTTACAACTTATATACACCTGCATTCAAACCTCCAGAAAGCTGTCTTCTTTTGGATGTTTCTATTTCTACTATGAATATCTTGATAAGTGTCAAAAACTTCCAGTCTTGTTCTTGTCATGATCATTTATTTCTCTATATTCCCTTAATTTCCCCATATGATCCCCCGCTGTAGTTTTGAGTGCCACTAGATGGCAGTAAACAGCCAACAATATTTCAACAAACATTTTTACAGTTTTACCTCTGAGTCAACACTGGGTGGCAGCACTCATCTGTGCCTTTCACCTCTGCTACTGGTTGAGGTGAAGCCTCTTTACTGTAAAGATGAGCACAGTGATAAAGAGCAAGAGCTTTGGAGTTAGGGAAACCAGGCTACACAGCACAGTGTTAACAGTACAGGTTTGGGGTTTCCCTGGGGCTTCCCTGGTGGCGCAGGGGTTGAGAGTCCGCCTGCCAATGCAGGGGACACGGGTTCGTGCCCCCGTGTGGGAAGATCCCACATGCCGCGGAGCGGCTGGGCCCGTGAGCCATGGCGGCTGAGCCTGCGCGTTCGGAGCCTGTTGCTCCGCAACAGGAGAGGCCCGCGTACCGCAAAAAAGAGAGTATAGATTTGGAAGTCATAAGAGGATTTTAAAACCCAGAAATGACGTTTACTAACTGTACGATCTCAGCCTTATTTCTCTGAGCCTCATTTATCTCCTCCCCGAAAAGGAGTCATTCCATTTACTGTTACCCTAGACAAGCTTCATGTGAAAGATGGGCATGACCATCATCCCTGCCTCACAGAATTTGGAATTCATGTGAGAAAATTAGTGAGTGCTGAGTACAGTAGCTGGGGTACTCAATAAATGTTAAATAGTCATTATTATTGTTACCTGACATTTTTATTCTTTGCTAAATAAGAAAGGTTTATACTTCAAAAGTATGTGCAGAGCGAAATAATCACATAATGACTACTTTTATTCCTCAGTTGCTTTCCTGTGTAATTTCTCTCTGGCCTCTAACTCTGTATCTTGCTCACAAAATTAATTTTATGGCTTTTCAACTTCACTTGGCTTTTCAGAGCCTTAGGCAAAATTCCATTCCCTAACTCTGCACGGTGTTCACCCTTGGTCTCCAAGTATGTTCCACATAAAGCAGGGCTAATCCATGTAGCACCTTCGTGTGAATCACACAAAAGCGCCCCTACCTCCAAACCCTTTAGTACTGGCTACTGGGAATTGGTCATAATATACTGATTTTGTTAGAACAACATATTTTATTGCTATGAGGGTACACCCTTCAGGACCATACGTGGCAGCACTAGCTCAAAAGTTCTCATTTGAATCCTGATGCTAGCCTGGGCCTGAGGATTTCAGTTGCTTTGGTTTTATCCTTTTCAAAAAAATTGTAAAGGTCCTAAAAAAGGCTTTTAAAAATCAGAGATAGCAGGGAGTTCCCTTGTGGTCTAGTGGCTAGGATTTGGGGCTGTCACTGCCGTGGCCCAGGTTCAATCCCTGGTCAGGGAACTGAGATCCCGCAAGCTGTGCGGCAAGGCAAATAAATAAATAATACAGGAATAAAGAATAACCAAGGTAACTGGCAATATTATCTATTAAAAAATCAGAGATACCACATGCTTACAGTATAATTTCCACATACGAAAATGAGTGAAATCAATCATCCACCAAAAATGCCTTTAACTCTTTCTTCGCACAGGGGCATGTGGCTTATGTATTAACGCCAGAAACTGATGAATATTTGCTTTGGAATCCATTAACTGGGCAATGTCATAAGCAGTTTGACCCATTTTGTCCCTTACAAAGTGTAGATTGTTTGTTTGATGGTGAAAATGTAAGTATATGGCGGGGGGCGGCGGGATCTTGAGTTATCACCTCAAGAGTTAAACCTGTGGTTCTGTACACTGACCATACATTAGAATCATGTGGGAACTTTGAAGAAGCTATAGATGTTCAGTTAGAATCCCTGGGGTGTAGGGCCAGGGGAATCTTTTATCCCCAAGGCTCCTTAACGTGATTCTGCAGTGCCTCCGAGGTTGAGAACCAGCGAGCATTCTAGTGCGCACACACCCCTGGAATCTCTGTACCTCCTGCCTCAGAACCATCCTTGGCTTCTGCCACTTCACTGGGGAGTAGGACTGTAAAATTTTGCTCCGTCCTAACCTACTATGGGCTTCGTACTCCTGTGGGCCTCTACTGATTTTATGTTGATGTATTAATAGGTCTGGTTTAACATTCAGCAAAATAATTCACCAGGGGCTGTATATTTTGACTATTCAAAGGAAAGTTTCTGGAAACAGTTGCTTCCAAAAAATTATCAAGGGACGAAAGCACAAAGCATACAGGTAAATTATACTTTTCCAGGTGTGTCTCTATGAAAGTTACCATTGGTTCTAATCTTAGGAATTGTGACAGCTGTTATTATGTTTATACAGCTGATTGCTTATTGAATTATTTGGCAGTATTAATAAAACCTAGTTTTCTCTGCCCTCCAGCCTGAGTTTGGGCTATTGTGATCCTTTTTCTCTACTTGCAGAAAAGAGGAATTGAGAAGAAGGTATCATCTTAATTGTGCATTTAGGTTTTAAAATAAAAATTTTAAAATGTTCATCATGAAACATAAAAAATAATGTCAAGATGGTGTAATAAGTTCTTACTTGGACCTAGCCCTTCTACTACATATCCATAACAATGATAAAGTATAAAAATTGAAAAACAGAAGGCTTATCTGGGCTCCCAACCATGATAGTTATCTCATGGAATAGAAGCAGGACAGAAACACTAGCAGTGAGTGGGGCCCAAAGAGGACGGAACCAAGGTCTGAAAATGCTTCATGAAATCCAGAGAACCAGAGCCAGTCTCACTTTTTGAAGCCAGGGACTGTGTTGCGGCTCCCCTACTTTGCTACTCTTGAGAGAAGATGGGAAAGAAAAGCAGCAGACTCACTGCCTGGGGCTCAGGAGGTAAGAGACCAAAGTACAGAGCTGAGAATCAGGAACCAACCTAATCACCAGATGGCTTGTCCAGGGGATCTATGATGTACTCACTACTGCTTTGGGAAGGCACCCAAATTCCATTTCGACAGCTGTTTCTGGATTGAGAGCCATGGTATGGCAGTGTGCAGGCAATTGCAAAATTCAAAAACTAGGAGCTATGACCCAGAGGAAGAAAGAGAGGGGGGATGAGAAAAAGGACAATGGAAAAATAGGAAGAAGACAATTCACAGAAGCAGAAACTCTAGGGCTCAACGTCACTCATAACGAGGGAAATGCAATTTAAAACAATAAAACACTATTTCACATGTAGAAGATTGGCCAAACTTTTTAAAAAGTGTGATCACATCTAGTATTGGCAAAGAGGCAGAGAAATGGTGGGAGTGTGAATTGCTATAAACACTTTAGAAAGCAATATGGTAAGGTTGGTAAAGCTGAAGAAACCCAGCCTCTGATCCACCAGTTCATCTTCTAAGTATATACCCTAGAGATACACGCACAGGGAGACAAGTACACGAAGGTCATTACTGAATTGCTTGAGATAGCAATAAATAAATAAATAAATAAAAGGAAACAATTCATCAACCAGAAAATGGGCACATGAGTTATGAATACTCCTACTATAAAATATTCTATACAGCAGTAAAAAAAGAATATATGAAACTACTTTACTGTAGTTCTTAACTTGGCTGTACATGCATTGTATCAGAATGTCTGAGGGAAGAGCCCACGCATTGGTATTACTTAAAGCTCCCCACGTGATCCCACATGCAGCCAAGGTTGAGAACTACTGACCTAGAGCCACTGTTATCAGCATGAATGAATATAAAGAATGTAATGTTAAGCAAAGTAAGGAAGATGTGAAATGACACACTTATACGAAGTTTGAAAAATATATGTTGTTTACGTATATAGAGATATATAGTGATAGTGTAAAAGCTTGCATGGGAATGATAAACACCCAATTTAGGTTAAAGTTTACCTTTGGAAAGAGGAAAAAAAAAAAAGAATGATATCAGGGAGCAGTATACAGAGTACTTCAAATCTGTCTGTAATGTTTTACATCTTTAAAAAAAAACCTAAAACAAGTATGGAAGAATGCAAAGATTAGATGTAGCTTGGTGGTATGTATGTTGGGTGGATGTTCACTACATTATTCTCAGTGCTTTATCTGAGAATGTTTGACATAGTTCATAATATCAAAAAGAAGGAATGGTGGTTGTGGGGAGAAAAATCAAACAGTATCAAAGTGTAAAAAGTGAAGAGTTTCTCTCCTCTTCAACATCTTTTCCCCACTTTCTAAGAAATAGCCACTGTTGGTAGCTTCTTGTGCATCCTTCTAACATTCTCCTTGCAGATGTTTTGTAAAGTCCTTATAAGGAAGGGGAAATGTGCTTATCTCTCTTGAGCAAACCACATTTATGGCATCCACAGACCTTGCTTGCTTTTCCCATCCCAAAGTTGTGACCAAAAGTATTGCTGCCTCCTAGGGGGGAGAATGATATATTTAGAGTTGAAGTTTTTTGTTTCTATTAATCATTCTCTTATTAATTCAGGTAATGTGTATTGAGTGCTGCAGCAGGCCAGCACTGTTTTAGGTATAGGTACCACAAGGAAAAAGACATGTCTCAGTGCTCTTGGAGCTTGTGTTCTAGAGGAGGAAACAGAAGGAAATGAGCACTTGCTGTACAGAGCGATAAATGCTATTATAGAAGAAATGAATGTGCTTTGGGGAGCACTCAGCAGGAGGCCTGAGGTGAAGGGGAGTTGCAGGGGCTTCCTGGGGAAAAAAGTGATGACTAGCAGAGTGAAGAAGGGTGAGCAGGAGCTGGTCTAGATGGAAGTTAAGGAGGAGTATGGTCCCAGCACAGAGCGGGGACAGCAGGCATGAAGACCTGCAGTGGCAAGCGGATGTCTGTCGAGGAGCTGAAAGGCCAGCCTGGCTGCTGCCAAGGAGTGAGCCGAGGACAGTCAGAAGCCAACATCACCAAGGCAAGGGCTGCCATCATCAAAAGTGTATTTTTAAAAGCCACTAAACCCTTTGACAAGTTGAATATATAAATATAAAACTCATAGTTGCATTTGACTTGTATCCCTACTGATTTCTTTCCTGTGGGTTAATGGCCCTTGATCTTCTGCCTTGTCGCACACATACAGGAATAAACCACTATCTGTGGTGAGCACTGTTGTCGTTTTTTTTCTTAATCGCAATGGAGAACACAAATTTGAGTGTGTATGATGAGAATATGGGTATTCAGAGATGGAGTTAACAGGGAAATCCTCTCAAAGTTTTAAAGGATATGAATTCCCTGAAAGGGGCCTTTGCCTGAAAAGAAAATAGACTAACACTCCATAAACTTATCAAGTCAACATAACCCAGGCCTCTTTTTCAGGCCTGAAAGTGGCCTAACTAATCCGTAAGAGTTGCCAGGATAGGGGTGCAGGGGATTGTTTTGGAGGTGCAGACAGTGGTTGGTGACAGCAATCAGGGACTTCAGTTTACCTGTCCTGACTGTGATAGCTGGTGGCCCCTGTAAGGTGATGCTGCAGTTTATGCTTCCCTTTCTCCAGTATCTCTCATCTCCTGCCGTGTTCACTGTGGGGAAAGTCACTGTGCTTGAGCCTATGCTCTAATCTGGTGGTTATCCAACCACGGCAGGCATCAGAACCTTCTGGAAGGCTTGTGGAAAAATGGATTGCTGGGCCTTACCCTCAGAGTTTCTGAATCACTGGGTCTGAGGTTGCTGGTCTGGGGGCCACATTTTGGGAGCCACTGGCTTAGATCATCACCTGACAGACTGAGCCCCCTCAAATCACTCCCGAAATTTTCTAAGACCTAGAGGCCTAGCAAATGTTTCCTTCTTTTCGTACAACCCTCATTCCACTCATGAGGGGGAAACATCTGTCCGTGTCTCTATAGCTCCTCTATTTCTCAGCTCAGAAATATCCTAAGTAAAAACCGCCTAAACCCAACCCCTCACTCTTGTCTATATGAGCCCTGCAGGGAGGGGAGGAACGGGTTAGGTAGGGGGGAGGGGGTTGGAGAAGTCCTCTCCTCCTCCCAGAAAATCCTGCTCAGGGGGCAACATGGGGAAACATGGTAGAGCATTGCTCTCTGCTGTTGCTGGGGTGCCTGGGGCAAAGGCTTGGCGACGGGGAGATTGAAATGGACTCTGCATGTATGTGCGAGTGTGTGCACATGCGCACATGCAAACACAGAGCCCTGACTCCCGCCTGCTGAAAGGAACAAATAATCAAAGAAGGAAGATGATACACCATGTTACAAGAGTAATAATAACAATAGTATCTGATCTTTGTTGAACAATATGTGCCAGGCTTTACATGTATTACTTGATTTTAAAATCTTTGCATGATCCCAGGGAAGTAGGTACTGTTATTGTCCCTCTTTAAAAGACGTGGTAACTGAGACTCACAGAGGTTAAGTGACTTCACCAAGGTCACAGTTAATAAGTGGAAGATACCAGTGCAACTTCCAAGATTATCTGGTGGAATCAATAAACATGTCCAATGCTTGTTTGAATAAACAGATGGGGATAGCAGATCTGTCTTCTTCTGTCATGAAAAATACCTTTTGTACATCCATTCTCCCTTCCATGCCCTGGTGAAGTAGTATTAACATCAAAGGGAACACTGTGATCTGTGTTACCTTTGTGCCTCTACCATGGAGTGTTTTTGCCACATGAGACTGGTTTAGGTTCACCCTCATTATAATCAGGACTCCAAGGGCCTACTGATGTAAAGAGGGTCTCCCTAGAATCTTTTCTAACTTTCAGTTTTCTGTATTTCAGCCTGAAGAAATAATTTATTCTGATACTAATAAAAGCATGGTGGAAGATCTAAAGAACAGGTATGATCTCTATTTATATATTATGAGTATCATGTTTTCTCTCTAATCTCTCATTCAGCCACCCTTCAGTCCTCTAACCCAGTCTCTCAAAATACCCATTAGATTCAGCAACAGGAGCATGAAATGGAGATTACAATCGTCACTTCCACTGAGTCATCTGTCTCTTGGTGCATCAAATGTCACCCCTCTGCTATCCAGGGCGCTCCTTGAAAACACATGCCAAGTTAAATATGGTTGCATCTGGAAAACACTGTGGGCTGCCGTTAGGAAGTTCTCAACACAGACACCTGTTGAGCCGTATAGTAATAATAATGCAGTAGCTGACACTTCTTGAAAGGACAGGAAGGTAAATGGCCCACAACCTGGTGTGTGGTAAAAACAGCCAAGCTGGGTGGCAGCAACATCAGTACTGTCCCTCGTCGGCACCCTCCCCGTCCCCCCACCACACACACACACACACACACACACACACACACACACACACGTCCGGAGGAGTGGTTGAGTCAAGCCCAAAGGGTCACAGCCTTGCAGCAGACCTCACTCCTACTCCAGATGTGTCAGAAGCTTCTAGATCTGACTACCTCCAGTGACTCATGCTGACACAGCAGGCTGGCATGTAAGCCGCTACCAACTAATTGAAACAGAATATGACAAAAATCATTTTGCCACTCCCTTTTCTCACTAGCACACAACTCTCACCTCTTATTCCCCTCCTTCTTCCCCAACTCTTAACAAACAAGGAATAAAAGCACTAGGAAAATGGTCCCCAACTTCTGGTTTTCATCAGAATTGCTTCTAGAACTATTTTAAAATATAGGTGCCAGAGGTCAAGACCAGACCTGTTGAATCACTATCTGGAAGATAGTGAAATATTTTGATAAAGTCCTACAGGTGATTCTGGCGTATAGCCGTGACCGAGACTCTCTGCAAACTCGAAACCGCTTAGTCACTTTATGGACTCAGCCGAGAGGAGAGGCCCAGCAGCTTCTTCCGGAGCACACAACGATTCTGCCCAGAGGAGAAGCTTCCATCAACCAACTCACACTGTGCTCCACTTTCTCCCCTCCCCGAAACAGTTTCTCAGCAGGCACTGTTTTAGAGGCGGCATAGGTAGGCAAAACTCCCTGCCCTCGTGGAGCATACGTTCTGGTAGGGAAACTGCTCATCATACTGACCAATCCAGTGCTTCATTTCCTCCCAATGCTGCTTGCTGAATTAACTGATCCAGTTACCCCATTCCTGCTAACATTATCCCAGACAAGATATCTGAATTTTTATAAAGGCATTTCTTGGAAACACAATGTCTTATGTCAAAGGAGGGTCTTGGAGAATAGGAATGCCAACCCAGTAATCAGATGGTAGGCAAATCACACCCAGTAGGCAGATATCCCTAGCCATAGAGGTCTGGTTTTCTCCTAAATCAAAAAAGTATCATTCTCATACTTGAGAAAAAGTGACAAAACTTTTTCCACATTTATTTAAATGAGTTGTAATTTATCATAAAATAATCTTTGCATTCTTACCTTAGGATTGAAAGAACTCTGAAATATAAAATAATGGAATGGCGACCTAAACAGCCAACACGTTGGAATAGACAATGTACTTTCATTTTAAGACAAATCCTTCCTAAGTTAGAGCTTGGCACCGGAAACGTTGTTTCATCTGAAGAAGAGAGTGAATTTGAAAGACTGCTACAATTTTATTGGGTTTGTATATGATTTAATGCATTAATGTCATTTGTTTTATCTATGTTATTAATTGCCAGATGATACTAATCTTAAGTATCCCTGAAATGCCTTTTATCTTGATCTTAGGTGATACATGCTATGGCATTAAAATGCATTTACTTATAGACTGAGAAATTTCAAATGTAGTGAGTAACTAGTACCATGACCAGATTGCATGACATTTTCTTGGAATCAGTTTTTTAATGTATAAACCACAAACTTTGGAAAGAGATACCCGAAAGGAAACCACTTGCAACTAAGAAACTAAAAAATGATTTCTAGATGGTACAGTAATAGAATGGATTCCATGTCCTTGCTTCTGGGCAAGAGGACTAAGGCAAGCTTTAATATCTTCTACATGCAAATTATTCTCAAATTTATACATCCAGCCTGGACTTCTGACCTCCTCTCATATATTCACCAGCACATTTGACATCATCATGGATGGTAGAAAGGCACTTCAAACTCAGTTAAGTCCATAATCAGACATGGTGGGCATCTGGTGTATTGTTAGGGTCCTTCTTTTCTTCCCCTATGATATCCTTAGTTATGGAATCCTCTCACCTCCTTTTCCCTATGAATTGTTCCAGTGGTTTTTTGGAAGCCCCAGCCTCTCAAGAGTGATATTCCTTCCCCCTACTATCCCGTAGACTAGAAGATGTCTCCTCGGGAAACCCTCTAAGAGAAGAAAGGAAGGAATCTGTTGGGAGTTTATACTCAGGCTGCCAGGGAGGGATCTGCAGGCACTATTCATTCATGAATAGGGAGGAAGTTGTTTTGTTTTGCTTTCTTTTTAAATAGAATTAGGGGGTAAAGAGATAAGCAAAGCATAGTTAAGTATAAGCCAAGGTTTAAAACTTGGAGTTCCTTTGTAAAATTATCTGCTATTTAATAACACACATTCATGAACCTAGACCGAATCCTGCAGCTTGGGTTCAAATCCTGGCTCAACCACTCATTAACTTTGACCAGATTGCCTAACTTCTCTATACCTTCTACCCCACGGCTCAAGATAAACAGGGATAAAAAGAGTTACCTGCTTTGTGGTTGTGGTGAGGATTAAGTGAGCTGTTTAACCATAGCACCCAGCACTTAATAAATGTTAACTATTATTTGTATCCTATGTGGCAGCCATTGTGCTAGACACTTGGGGTTATGACAGTAAACAAGACAGATACAATCTTGAGCATTCACAGAGACTGTGGGCTAGTTTGAGAAATGGACCAGAAAACGAGTAATTGCAGTATATTTTATTAAATAAGCTAGGAAAGGACAGTGTCCTATGCAACCACAAGAGAAGAGCACATCAACAGATTTAAAGATCAGGAAAAGCCTCCTGAAGTAAGCAAACTAAGTCTTGAAAGAAGCTAATGACTGTCCTTTGTATATTCTTAAATAGATAATTTTACATGGGACCATGTTCCGTACCCCTTAATTCTGTCATATGGTTATCAATAAATATAAACTGAATCAATGTTAAATAAATTCTTCCAAAGTGCTCCCTTAAATCTGTCACTTATAGGATCAAGGTTTCCTTGTTGGCAGTTTGCGATTCCAGAAAGGGTGCAAATATGTGGAATGTTAAGTGTGCAGCCTCTGGCATTAGACAGACCCGGTTCTGCTCCTCTCTCTGTAAAGTGGGGATTATAACAAAGCCTACCTCATAGGGTTGTTTGAGGATTAAATATGTATGTGAAGTATTTAGCATTGTGCCTAGAACATAGTAAGCACCCACAAAATGATAACTATTATTATTATTTTATGACTTCCATTTCTTTGAGGCTTCTGTAATCTCTTTGCATCCAGTAATTCTCCATCACCTACGTGACCGTAATGTGGTTTGACGTGTTATTCTGCCATTTGTCTAGGTCGCAGGATTTCCTATCCAGATGCCATACACTGATGTACAGTCAGTTATTGATGCTGTGTATCAAACTGGAATTCATTCCTCTGAATTTCCTCAGACAGAATTTGCTCTAGCTGTGTATATTCACCCCTACCCAAACAACATATTATCTGTTTGGGTCTATTTGGCTTCATTAGCGCGGTATCAGTGAAAAGGAATAAGGGAAAAGGGAAAGATTGTACATAGCCCCCCTCCAACCAGAAGCCAAACTTTTCTAGTACTTGGGATTTTCCTATTTATCCTCAAATCCAGACAGGTGTGAGCCCAATTTTTGGTTCACTTATAGAGTTGGGCACAAGACTCACTCCCTGAGTCTTTGAGGACAAGCATAAATGACCTCCTCACCGGAGACCTCGTCAGGGAGGACACTTTGGGAAGTCTGGCGCCTTGGGTCGCTGTCTACGGTAGGTCTTATTCTGGGAAAGAAGCAATTCTGACTTCTCTCTGAATCAGTGTTACTCAAATTGGGGGCCCCACACCACCTCCATCAAAATCACCTGGAAAGCCTTATTGAAAATGCAGAATCCCACATCCCACCCAGGACCTACTAAATGGGGATCTCTGGGAGTACAGCTCCAGAACCTACATTATTTTAAACAAGCTCCCCAGGTAACTCTCTTGACCAGTTAAGAGTGACAACCTTACCTTATAGAGTGTTGTCTTTACTGAAGTGAGGCTAGTACATCTGATGCTGGTTCTGATGGAATTCCAGGCAGAAGTTATTCAAATAGAAACCCAAGGTCATTGCTTCTCGTGAGATAAAAGATTATTTCACTGGTTAAGAATAAGAGGGAAATATGCCGTGTTGGGTTGAGGGCCGCTTCTGGCGGCTTCTCAGAAATTTTCTCTTTAGATGCCACTGACCTGAAGTCATTTCATCTCCAAGTATTTGGAAGGGACTCCCAGGAGACACTACCTAAATGCTTTCCTGATTCTGTGAGAAAGAGAGAAAATGGTCTTACCAAATCCCAGAGCTCCTTTTTTTCTTAATGAGCAGCCCCCCATTCTGCCTCTGGCACTTTTCTGCTGCTTTTCTTTCACAACGGTGCCCCCCAGGAGACCCATCTAGGGCCTCAAGAAAGAGTGGATAGGTATCTAAGTAGGAAACACTGTACTTTCTTGTATTTGATTGTTCTGTGCTTCATTGAGAAGAGTAGTCATACAGTTTATTTAAATGTTACATAACAACTTATTTTTTTTAATCAAAAGATACAGATTTCCAAAGGTTTTATATGATGAGAGCAGTTTTATATGAGGTAAAAGTCATAAAAAGAAAATTCGCTTCTCCTGCTGTAGTGGCACTGGGGCTTCTTGAGTCACTCCCACAAGCAGAGAGCAGAGACCCCAAATTCATCCTCAGGGAACCCTCAGTCTGTATCCCCTCCCCCAATATACCCGCATAGGTTGATGCCAGAGAAGACCTCATTTATTTGCAGGGTGTTAGTCTCGGACCAAACTCAAGATTACTAGAAGAGTAGAAAGAGTGGGCATGTGGGTAAGGAGAATGCTTTCTCTGCAAGGTTAAAACCTAGTTATATATGTCCTCTGACATGCATGAGAAAAATGATCAGAATTTTTGTTTTTATTTGAATGTTTGTGTTTAAATGCTATAGGAAGTTTTGTTATTAACAAGTCTCCCACACTGATTGGGGTAGCACAGAATTGTATCTATGAAAAGACAAGTTTGCCAAAGAAATGCTGAATTCATGCAGTTCATTTTTGTGACACACTGAATGTTTACATAGCTATTTTGCTAATCGTTTGTGGTTTTAGAATTGATAGTCCACTTGAGAGTAAGGTAGAAAGTGTTCATAGGCACGTGTGTATTGTATTCTGTATTATATGCATTTTTAAATATGTGTATGTGTTTCTCAACTAAAAATTTTTCCTAAAAATTGTGATTGTCTATAATGAACCAATGTTTTCATTTTACTGTTTTAAAAATACATGATATTAAATTTAACATGCAATTATAAAATTCTATGAATCGTTCCACAAATAATTACAAAGCATGCATTATGTACCAGACACTTTATATGTGCTGGAGGACAGTAGTGAAAAGACATTCTTACAAGGGAAGTTTACATTCTTACAAGGGAAACAGCTCAGAAGCAAATAAACAGTAAGTAAGTGAGATCATTTCAGGATATGATGAGTGCTATAAAGCAGTGGTCCTCAACCTTTTTGGCACCAGGGACTGGTTTCGTGGAAGACAATTTTTCCACAGACGGCGGTGGGGGAGTGGAGGGGGTGGGGTGGGATGGCTCAGGCGGTAATGCGAGCAGCGGGGAGCGGCAGATGAAGCTTCGCTCACTCGCCCACCGCTCACCTCCTGCTTGGCGGCCCGGTTCCTAACAGGCCACTGACGGGAGGCTGGGGACTCCTGCTATAAAGGAAGCAAAAAGGTTGGCATGATGGAGAAGGACTTTGCTGGGGATGGAGGATATAAGCAGTGTAGTGAGGGAAGGCCTCTCCACGGAGATAATGTTTGAGCGGAGATTTAAAAGATGATTTATCAAATAGAATTGCATTCAGTTGCATGTAACAGAAACCTAATCACAGTAGTGTAACCAAATAGGGATTATACAACTGCCAAGTGTGAAGGAGGCAGTCCAACTCTAGTGCAGTAGCTCTGTGATGTCAGAAGTGTACTAATCTTCATCCGTCTTCTTCACCATCTCTAAGGAGACTTCTATCCTCTTTCTCAGTGGCTCTCAAACTTCAGCATGCCTAAGAGTCACCTGAAGACTTTGTTGAAACACAGATTGCTGGGCCTAACCTTCAGAGTTACTGATTCAGTGGGATCTGGGGTGGGGCCTGATAATTTGCATTTATAACAAGTTCCCAGGTGATACTGAGACTGCTGACCTGGGAACCACAGAGGCCATAGCCTCGCAGTCATTTTCATGGCAAGAAAATGCAGAAAGGGAAGGAGGAGGTAGAAAAGGCCTCTGGTTTAGCTCTTTTAAAAGGCTTTCCAGGAGGCTGTGTCCAGTAACTTCTACTTACATTCCATTGGCCAGAATTGCATCACTCCTAGCCACAAGAGAGGCCAGAGATCAAGTATTTTAAATGGACATATTGCTCTCCCAGTAAAATCAGGGTTCTGTTGGTGAGGAAGTAGGGGAGGATGGCTATTGGGTAGGCATCTGTGACTTCCACAGTTGAGAGGAAGCCAGTCATGCAGAGACCTGTGGCAAAAGCATTTCAGGCAGAGGAGACTGCAATTACAAAGGCCTCTAGTCCAGAAAGAGACTTATATGGAGCGGGAAGGGTAGTAGCACATAAGGTTGGAGAGGTAGACGAGGACCAGATCGCACAGGTCATGGTAAAGAGTTTGTATTTTATTTAAAGTATAATAGCAAATCAATCATTGAAAGATTTTAGGTAACCGAATAAAGTAGTATTTTTCCTTTTTTATATTTGAGAATACTTTAAAATTATTTTTAGAGGGACTTATTATTCGTGCATAAAAATGATCATGTTTTAAAGTGCAGGTTTTCTTTTTCTTTTCCTTTTCTGCTTGGGTCCCTGTCCTACTATTCTCCCCTCCTCCACCCACATTATTCACTCCACCCACCCCCTTACCAACAGGTATCTTCCACTTACCAACATTCTCATGTATACATATATACATATATGCATATGTTCCTGTTTGTTTTATAAAAATGGGACCACATTGTGTATGCTTTCCTGCATGTTATTTTTCTCCTTCAAAAATAGTGAAAATACTCCAAGTAAACTAATTCATTCTTCTTAAAACATCCATATTATTCTAAAGTGTGGGCAGGACCACTACGTGCACTTAAGCAGCTTGTGTGCCACACAACTCACAATTTATGTGCAAGGGCCCCTGGAGTTGTATATTATGTGACAGCCCTGGTTGTGAATATTATCTATTATAGTTTATTCATCATTCTCCTACCGATAAGAATAACTTCTGATCCAGTTGATCAAAGTGTTGTTTAGTTTTTCTATATCCTTGCTGTTTTTCTGTATACTAGTTCTATCAGTTACTGAGAGAGGAGAATTGAAGTTGCCAACTGTAATTATGAGTTTGTCCATTTCTTCTTTTAGTTCTATCAGTTTTTGCTCCATGTATTTTGAAACTCTGCTGTTAGATGCACACAGATTTAGAATTTATGTCTTCTTGGTGAATTAACCCATTTATCATTGTGCAATGTTCCTCTTTATCCTTAGCAATTTTCTTTGCTCTGAACTCTATTTTGGCTGATGTTTATATAGCCACTCCACCTTCTTTGGATTAGTGTTTACCTGGTGTATATATTTTCATCTTTTTATTTTTAATTTAATTTTATTTTATTTTATTTTTTTGCGGTACGCAGGCCTCTCATTGCTGCGGCCCCTCCCACTGCGGAGCACAGGCTCCGGACGCACAGGCCCAGCGGCCATGGCTCACGGGCCCAGCCGCTCCGCGGCACGTGGGATCCTCCCGGACCGGGGCACGAACCCGCGTTCCCTGCATCGGCAGGCAGACTCTCAACCACTGCGCCACCAGGGAAGCCCCTCATCTTTTTATTTTTAATGTATCTATATAATTATATTTGAAGTGAGTTTTTTGTAGATAGCATATAGTTGGGTTATGTTTTCTTTTTTAATACCTTTTGACAATTTCTTTTTTAATTGGAATATTTAGACTGTTTACACTTAATACAATTATTTATGTTTGGACTTAGGTCTACCATTTTATTATTTGTATTCCATTTGTTCCATCTGTTTTTGTCCCACTGTTTTCTCTTTCCTACATTATTAGGTTATTTGAACATTTCTTAGCATTTCATTTTAATATATCTATTATTATTATTTTTATTTAATTTATTTATTTATTTTTTGCGGTACGCGGGCCTCTCACTGTGGTGGCCTCTCCCGTTGCAGAGCACAGGCTCCGGATGCGCAGGCTCAGTGGCCATGGCTCGCTGGCCCAGCTGCTCCGCGGCTTGTGGGATCCTCCCAGACCGGGGCACGAACCTGTGTCCCCTGAATCGGCAGGAGGACTCTCAACCACTGCGCCACCAGGGTAGCCCCTATTATATTTTTTACTATACATTTTTGTATATATTTTTTAAAGTTTCTTTGAGGATTGTAGTATACATAGTTAACTTTTCACAGTCTACTTAGAATTTTTTTTTTTACCACTTTAAGTGGATTGTAGAGCTATTACCACCTTATATGTTTCTTTTTTTGTTTTAGGTTTTTTTTTCCTTTTTATTTTTTAAATTTTAATTTTATAATGGAGTATAGCTGATTTACAATGTTGTGTTTCTTTTGGGTGTACAGTAACTTGATTCACTTATACAGAGACATCTATATATTCTTTTTTTTTTCTTTTTCCTTTCTTTTTTTTTAATTGGGGTATAGTTGTTTTACAATGTTGTGTTAGTTTCTACTGTACAGCAAAGTGCAGTACCCTGTGCTATGCAGCAGGTTCTCATTAGTTATCTATTTTATATGTATTAGTGTATATATGTTAGTCCCAATCTCACAATTCATCCCACCCTCCTTTCCCCCCTTGGTGTCCATATGTTTGTTTTCTACATCTGTGTCTCTCTTTCTGCCTTGCAAACTGGTTCATCTGTACCATTTTTCTAGATTCCACAAATATGCATTAACATACTATATTTGTTTTTCTCTTTCTGACTTACTTCACTCCGTATGACAGTCTCTAGGTCCATCCACATCTCTACAAATGACCCAATTTCGTTCTTTTTTATGGCTGAGTAGTATTCCATTGTATATATGTACCACACCTTCTTTACCATTTGTCTGCCGATAGATATTTAGGTTGCTTCCATCCACCTTATATGTTTCTTTACATTTCTGCCTTTATGCCATATATATATATATATATATTTTTTTAAGATAAAGAATTGTCTCATGCAATAATGAAGGCTGAGAAGTCCCAAGATCTGCAGTCAGCAAGCTAGAGACCGAGGGGAGCCAATGGTGTAAGTTCCAGTCTGAAAGCCAGGGGGCTCAAGACCCTCAAAGTGTCAGTGTTTTTGTTTTGAGTTTGAAGGCTGATAAAGATCTGTGCCCCACCTCATAAGCAGTCAGGCAGGAGGAGTTCCTTCTCATTCACAGGAAGTTCTGCCTTTTTGTTGTATTCAGGCCTTCAGCTGATTGAATGAGGGCCACCCACATTAGGAAGGTGTGATATTATGATATAATAAATATATATTTGATCTTTGTCTCAGTTCTGACACAGAGCTTCTAAAACCCTTGGAATTTCCTGAGTGATGGGGGTGAGAGAAGTATCTTTTGATATTCATAAGCCCCTTTCAAGCATATACCTGAGTTCATGCTAACAAGGTACCTCTTGGTGGGCCCCTAGATAGCTTCAGGATGGGGGCTGGAACCAATGCATGATTAATTAAATCACTGGCCATTGGTAATTAACTCAATATCCAACCTGTCCCCTTTCCCTGGAAGTCAGGGAATAGGGCTGAGAGTTCCAACCCTTTAAACACATATAAAGAAGAACTAATACTTAAACTTCTCAAACTATCCCCAAAAAATTGAAGAGGAGGGAAACTCCCAAAGTCATTCTATGAGGCCACCATTACCCTGATATCAAAATCAGACAAAGACACTAAAAAAAAGAAAAAGAAAATTCCAGGCCAGTGTCTCTGTTGAAGATAGATGCAAAGGTCCTCCAGAAAATATTAGCAAACAAATCATTAAGAAGATAGACAGATAGATAGACAGATGGATAGACATGTACTTGCCACCATTCTGTTACTTGGTTTCTGGTGGTTTTTGTAGTTCTTCTCTATTCTTTTCTTTTAGTTTCTTCCCTTGTGGTTTCTCTAGTGGTATGCTTGTGTTCCTTTCTCTCTAGTTTTTGGGTATCTATCGTAGGTTTTGATTTGTAGTTACCATGGGATTTATATATGTTGACCTATAACTGTATCTACTTGTTTTAAACTGGTATTCATTTAAGTTTA